TAGTCGGCTTTCAAACCAATGCTGTTGAGTACGATCGAACGGATACTTTGGTGTATCCGAGAGTAGCATGGGCAAGTTTGAGCTAGCTGTGTATCGATTGACTGCAGCGATGGAGACAGGGTAGCCACGGGTGAAGAGATGACCGGCTACTTCCATTGTTGTCTTTATAGGTGACACAAGCTTCGATAAGATGGATACATATGCGAAGGTCCTGTAATTCGGCACCTGGCTTAATGTCTCCTTGATGGGTCGCCGTAGTGCTCCGTGGGGGCCGACTTCAATGTAGTCGGATATCGCTTTGATACCATCTAGCTTCGGTGCAGCTATTGCGAGATACTGGAGCGCATCGAGGAAGCGCACTGGCGAAGTAAGGTTGTCGGCCCAGTATTGTGCCGTACACAAGTCTGTTGCGGTTACTCTTTGTCCTGTGACTGAAGACACCATCAAGGTAGCACAAGATCCAGGTGTAGACTCAACGAGATTGCTCAGGCACGAAACGTATTCCTGGGCCATCTCATTCATAACCGCAGTGTGGTATGCGATTCCAGTATTCAGCTTCTGTGCGAATATGCGGTCGTCATCCAGATGACATTTCAGTGCATCGACGTCTGCTTCAGGCCCCGCCAAAGTCACATTCGAAGGACTGTTGACGCAGGCTACTCGGATATTCGCGTCCAAACGATACTTGTCAATGTATGCACGAACTTGGCCTTCTTGAAGATTGGCAGACATCATGGCTCCAGTCTTAATGGAAGCTGCCAACTGCGCAGCCAACTGGCCACTCAGCCTACCCCTGTGATATGAAATCCTGCAGGCAGACTCGAGAGACAACGCACCAATAGCGTATGCAGCCGCAATCTCACCGGATGAGTGGCCAACGACAGCCACCGGAGCAATGTGGAAGCTTTTCAACAACTCAACAAGGGCTATTTGGAGAGCGGTGCATAGGGGTTGACTGAACTGCGGGAGATTGATCCTCTCTCCGCTTTTCATCTCATCTGGTATCATTGGTCAGCTATGCGCGTATTGTGTGTGGAGGGCCGACGCAAGGCAACATACCGAATAAGGACCATTCAGCCCCAGTGCTCTGGAAAACGCGATCGGCCTGAGTCAGAACGTCCTTGAACACAGGATAATCAATAAGTTCGAGCCCCATTTTCGCATATTGGGCACCTTGGCCCGTGAATACGAAGCAAAGCTGTGGCTCCCCCAACGATCGTACGCAGTTCAAATTCGGCAGGCCTAAACTCAAAGACGATGAGTCCGAATCGGCGACTATGAATGATCGCATGGCCATTGTGTTTCGACGCGCCGCGAGAGTATAAGCGAGATCATCCAGCATTCTGGGCGCTCCAACTATGCTGCGATCGTAGTATTCTGCGTATTGCTGATGGATTCGCTTCAAGGCCGCTTCGTCGCGGGCAGTGAAGACTAGAATCTGGCGGTAGTTTGAAGATGTGCCGTTCGATACAGTATTGCCGTCGGTCTTCTTCTCTGAGCCCTTGGTCGATTGGGTTTCTGTTTCACCAAGGATTGCTGACAGCCCATTGGTAGGCGTCAAAGTCACGACGTCAGCAGATGATGAAGTCAGGCCGTTAGCTCTCGCAGCATCATCGATAACAGAAGTTGGTCCGTCGACTTTCTCTTCCGATACTGATCCCATCACTTTCACCTTGTTCTGACGGTGTCCGTTCGACGTTGCTGGCAGCGCGACTCTCGGTGTTACGATGCTACGGAGACTGTCTCGGAAACTAAGCGTTTCAAGTGTATGATACGCATCGTCGAGAATAGCGTGAGCATTCGAGCCACCAAACCCAAACGAGTTGACGGAGATTCGACGCAAGCCTTCACCTGGCCAACGAATACAAGACCCTGGGACCTTGCAGCTGTCAGTACCAAGTAGACTCAAATTGCAGGACTGCCATTACCTGGATGTTATGTCGTTTAGCATTGACTTTCGTGTTCAGTCTCTCAAACAGCGCGTTCGGTGGTATGAAACCTTTCTCAAGAATGAGGATGGATTTGGCAATCCCGGCCAGTCCACTTCCACCCTCAAGGTGTCCAATGTTGGTCTTGACAGACCCACTTCATAATTGTAAGTAGATGTGCACTTAGATTTGGGAGGTTGACTGACACAAAGAGAGGCGCTTTGGGCGAGCGAGCTGTTCTAAAGACAGCACCAAGAGCTCTCATCTCCATGGCATCTCCGATCTGCGTTCCGGTTCCTGAACTCTAAGTCAGAAGATCATACCAAAGTCTGCGGACATTGCAGGGACTGACCGTGAGCTTCTATGTAGCGTGTCGATTCGAATCCAAGATTGCAAGTCCGGTATGTATATCGGATAAGGTTCTCTTGCGACACCGAACTTGGTTGGGTGATCCCTGGTGTTCGGCCGTCTTGATTTGATCCTGTGCCTCGAATGACAGCACGTATGTTGTCCCCGTCTAAGATTGCCGTGGACAACTTTTTGAGAATCATGACTATGACACCCTCGCCTCTGCTGTAGCCGTTCGCGCGGTCGTCAAAGCTGTGACAGATACCGTCAGGCGACAGCATGTTCATATTACTCAGATATAATGAGTATTCGGGGTCCAACATCAGGCTTGATCCTGCGACAAGCACCTAATGGGGTATCAGTATGTCATCATAGTGCAGCATGGGTTGAGAAGTCTTTACCGTAGAAGTTTGACCTGATCGGATCGACTGGCAGCCAAGGTCTACTGCGATCATGCTTGAGGAACAAGCCGTATTCAGTTGCATGGAGGGACCCTTCAGATCGAAGTACCAACTCAATCTGTTGGCCATGATGGAGACTGATATACCTGTCGCCGTAGTCATTGGTGCGTCATCTGGATCTTTTGAGATCATCCTGTGATAATCGCTTTCCATCGTGCCAACAAACACGCCTGTTTCAGTCCCAGCAATGCGACTGAGTGGGATCCCGGCTGAGCCTGTCAGAACACACTCGAGAAAGTGTGTAGCAAGATTAGACAAACAGTAACGTACCGTTTTCTAGTGCATGATAAGATGTTTCCAACAGCATGCGTTGCTGTGGATCCATCGCCGATGCCTCTTTGGAGGATATAGAGAAGAACGGAGCATCGAAACTGGCGAGGTTTTGTTCTAGAAAGTGTCCTCGGGTCGAGTTTAACTGTGTATCATTGTGTTAGAACCGCGCATCTTGCATTCCTCGGTCTGAACCTACGGTGTTGAGTGCAGCCTCAGGTGATCTTGCAAACGCATTGGCATCGACTCTCGACTTAGGCCATTCTGTCATCACACTTTGACCTTGCTCGAGTATGCGCCAGAAGCTTGCTTCATCCTCTATATCCTGAGGGAGCTTGTATGCAAGTCCAACGATAGCGATGGGTTCCATGGCGGATAGCTGACTTGAACTTTTTTGAGCTTGGGGATCTGATATGAGGAAATTGAAGTATGAATGAGTGCTAAACTGATTTGGTTTTTCAATTTGGCGATATGATTATGATGGTGTTAAGTCGATATGTATTCGACAACGAGAAACTATCGGATATGTCTACAAAAGATGTTCGTATTTGTAAGTCGAACTATTGCCTGGAAGTCTCTACTTCGATTGACGTATGAATCATCTTTGCCGCCCGTCAATTTCACCAAACCAGGCAACATCAGCGGTAAGACATGATATCACATATTCTGTTACTGCTAGAACTTCGAACCGACGCAATGGTGTGCATGTTTATCTTTCAGCCCCCGTTGCTCAGCGTTTGCCCAAAATATCAATACCGGCTTGAGCATACCCTGTAGTGTCAGTAGCGTCGGCATTCGAACGTATACTGCCTCCACGGCGACCATTTTATTCGGGGGATAGTCGTCCGGTGAGGCGTATTTCTGAAGCGGGTCTGCAGCGAGATGGGTGTAGTACTTTAGGCTCAAGTATCAACAGCCCCGGAGGTCTCCACATTATCATAAGACGAGACTAATGCGGCTTATTTTTTTCATTGAACGAATAACATGTTTGCAAGGTTTCCGATGAGTCTGCTAGCCGGGTTCGAGATAAAGTAACCACGGGCCGTGGGCGGTTGGCGCATTGTCCGCTGACGCGCAAGTGAGGGCCAAGTTCAAGCTCCGACAGGCCTAGAGTGCGGAGGTCTTAGTCTTGAATCATCGGTTAGTGTTCTACACTGGGCATGTGCACTGCTCAAGGATACCCACATCAGCGCTAGGGTCTCCGCTGGGACGAACAGCCGGCTCCATACCCCGGTATGCATGGATCTAGTAAGCGCTGCCAGGGTAACACCCACCATGCACATTGCATGCCACTGATGGCTGTGAGTTTACAAAAGGAGAAAGTCGTGCCACCTGATAGTAACATCTGCCAAACTTGGAACGAGCGAAACTAAGCCACAACTAGCTGGTGATTGTAGAGAAGAGTGATCCGTTCCGACATGAAGATATTGCTCTCGATGGACCAAAGGGCCAGTCTGATTTCCAAATATAGATCAACTTCGATATGGCGGAACGATACCATAGCAGATTCTAAACCATCCCGAAGCCACTCAATCCCTCTATCTTCATCCATGCATACACTTGTTTGGCTGCTCCAGTGACCTTCTCTCCCGAACTTCCATCTTCAATAGCCATGACTTCCCCCAACCATACATAGATTTGTTCCACCAGGCTTATCACCTGCTTAGTGGTATTCTCAGCGTGAAATGTGACTCTAAGTCGACTTTGACCACTGGGCACAACCGGATGCTTCACAGGAAGCACGAACAATGAAGCTGAAAGGAGATGCATGTAAATCCAGTAGACATATTCCTGACGAGTCCAAATAGTGACGATGTGGGTAAGAAATGGGCGTTCCTCCCAGCCACTGGCTAACGGCACGTCGAGCAGACCTTTTTTTCGCGCGACTGGCCAAAGTTGATGCGACGTCAGTGTCTCGAAGAAAGTGCGAGCGATGGATTGAACGTTGTCTTGCCCCTATCTCTGTCATTAATGCTTCCGTCACGAGAACATGTCATGCTGTACTTGCCTTGACCGCCTCTGGGGTACCGAGTAGCCTATGTCCAGCTCGAATCGCTGCGACGAACGGGAATGGTGGTGCTGCAGAGTAGACTGTGGGGCGCGCAAAATTGATCAAAGCGGACTTCACGATGTCGTTGCTGAGTATGATTCCTACGTCGGTTGCGTTAGCCGTGATCGAAGTCATGAAAACTTTCCCTACCTCCACAGGAACCCATTGCTTTTGAGTACGTATGCAGCCGCACCGCAACGTCGGCTTCCAGACCCAGTTCGCACACTAGACCTGTGCCATTTGGTCCTATGAGCCCGGCGCTGTGCGTCTCATCTACTACGAATTGGATATTTCCAAGACCGTCTGAGATTTCATCGGCTATCTCAACAAGCTCTAGTAAGGGGCAGACGTCGCCCTCCATACTATACACTGATTCAACTGCTACGAGTATAGAGCGCCGACCTTGTTTGATCAGCGGTTGAGTATCCAGGATAGAGGTCAAGACGTTCCGGAATGCGGCGATGTTGTTGTGTTGGAATTCGGTTCTCTGAATGGCAAGGCTTCGCTCCATCCCATCGTGGGTAGATGCATGAACCAAACTATCGTATACGATCACATCGCCAGGTCTTGGAAGTGCAGACCAAACCATAACATTCGCATCGAAAGCTGAGTTCACAATCAAACCCTGCTCAGCATTATGGTCCTTTGCAATCTCTAGCTCTGTCTCTTCAATATAGGGATAATTCCCTTCCATGACTCTTGAACCACCAGCGGCGACGCTAAAGTCCGGGTAGCGGCTCAATTCTTCGAGGAAGGCCTTACGAATCAGACCGGTAGTGTTCCAACTGAGGTAATCGTTCGAGCAGAAATCGACAGCATCTTTGGTCTGCCAGTTACTATGAACTATGGAGAACAGACTTTGAGTTGCGCGGCGCTTGTCAAGCGCTTCTTCGACATTACGGTAGAAGGCCGGAAGGTTTTTCGTCGAATTTGGCTGGATCTGCTGAGCCTTTATTTGCTTCGTGATTGATCGATCTGGGTTAAAAAGCTGCTTGCCTCTCGTTGGGGTAGTGGTAACCATTTCCAGTGCTTCGTTGAGTATGCAGGAAAGTTGACTGTGGTCAAGATTCGAGGTGTCGCTAGATCGCGCGTCGTGCAAGCAGTAGGCTGTGCGTCTGCCGTCGCAATTACGAACAAGGATGGTTCGATCAAGAAGTTTCACAAAAGTTGGAACCTGATCTAAAAGTATGCAGTGTTACTCTTGTCAGTATCTAAAGGGAGGAAACGGTGTGTATCCTTAGCATGACACCAAGGAAAGGTACGACCTGGGAAAACAACTGGGCTCCTTTGCATGATCGTTGACGGTTCTCCAGTCGCAATGACTGCGGGAAGGATTGTCGGTAGGCGCCGTCGGAATTACCACCCCTGCTTGATGTCAGCCTGGTTGCTTTGTGGTGGGGTAGCAGTACAGGGTATCAAAAGCTCGATACCAGGGTCTGCAGAAACACAGCCCCTTCAGAGACAAGGTGACGGAGTTTTCATATTGACTGTATACCAAGTCTGTCAGCTGTGCATGCATGATAAGCAGTTGCGCCCAATCCTATGCCGGGAGGCGCCCATAGGCACATTAGCCTAGTGGCGCATACAGCCATTGTACTACCCGACTATCTGCAGCACTATTGTGATCTCACCTTGTACCGGCTCGCAACTCCCCATTACCCGCGTTCAATCTCCCATACAAACATAGACTTTTCCAATGTCTATGATCCATGCGTGTTTCCTTGATTTTCTTCCTGGACGTCGTGCAAAACATACTCCGCCAAGAATTACAACATCCTCATTCATAACATGGGAAACGCGACTTTTGATGCTATTTTGTTGAAGCCTGCCCTAGACCCGCCACCTGGTGTGGTGGCCGACTTTGCCAATCCTGGTGGGAGCCACAATCTTGGGTATGGCATCGTCATCGCAACCTCTGCCATAGCATTCATCGCCGTCGCAGCACGATTGGTGAGTAGCTCCATGGCTAAAAAGTTCGTCATCGAAGACTTCTTGATGGTTGCAGCATTGGTAAGTAGTAGCATTTGGTTCGTTTAGTCACCAGGAACAGGGGATGGGTGTATACTAACCGATTCTTAGGGCGTATTCGCCGGAAATCAATACATGACCTGGAACCTCTGCAGATGGCCAGGTGTATGGGTTCATCAATGGAACGTGGACAACAAGACACTCATTGACTTCCTCCATGTGAGTACCCTTCAATAGGCTTGCCTTTCCAGTGTCGTCCGCACATCGTACTGATGTCTTTAGGGCTCGCATCTGGGTGCTGTTTACTATGGACCAGTCGCCATGTGCATAAAAGTCGCCATCTTGGCTAATTGGCTTCGCATATTCGTCCCAACAGGAACGCGCAACGCCTTCTACTGGACCCTCCATGTGTTGATCTGGACCAATGTACTTTACTACACCATTACGACCTTCACTGAAGTGTTCCGCTGCTGGCCGCGTGAGAAGATCTGGAATCCCTGGTTTGAAGGTGGCACGTGCTCTGTCGACGTGTTGGGACAGAATCTCGCGACTAGTGTTCTGAACTTCATCTCGGATACAGTCATCCTCGCTATTCCACAATGGGTGATCTGGCATCTGAATATGTCGCGCGACCAAAAAGTAGGCCTATCCCTGCTCTTTGTCGTAGGTCTCGGGTTCGTGAGTTCCTTCAATATCACCATGACTACGAGACTAACCGCACGTTGTTTAGGGCATGGACCATGGGGGTGGTGCGTACAGTATATTTCGTCAACTTACTCCACTCCGACGATGTTACTTATCAGATGACTGGCGTCGCTTTATGGACTATCTGGGAGGTCACAACCGGTTTCCTTATCATGGGGATACCCGCGTTTCCTCGGATCGCCAAAGCTGTACCAGTACCGGATGCCGTATCATCGTTTTTCCGCTCGTTGTCGAGCGGCAGCAGACAGAATGGCTCATCCAGACCAAAGAAATGGCAGGTGATGTACAAGCCGAAGTCTCGACAGCGTCGCAGCGTGTTTGAGGTTGAGAGCGAACTGAATACGCACGACCTGTTGTCGACAAGCAGTGTTGATGATTCTAGAAGCAGAAGCGACGATGTTCGGGACCCAGAGATGGTACATGTACGTGTAACGAAAGGGGTTGCTCAGAACAGGCAGCTGCAGACTGTCTAAGCTCCTTATGGAAGGAAGTACGTATGTACAAGCCAATGGAGGTTTCGTAGAGTGATGCAAAGCGCACGGATTTGATGGTTATGCAAGGAGAGTGAGCAAGGTCGCATGTGCAATGTCAATTTAAGTCTGCAGCTTCCAACAGTCCGTGCGGACGCGCTAAGCCGACTAGCTCGGTGTGGCGTGGCTCCTCCACGGCTGCGTATATAGACCACCAGTAGTCATCTACCATACCAAGAACAAAAGCGCTACAGCCGATCGTATAGTTGCTTCTGCCACTATCACAGTTCATTATCTCCGCCCTGGTAATCACTAGGTGCCCGTCGCACATGCGAACGGACTCCAATCATGGCCGCAACTGATGGCAAAGCGGGCGCCGTAATTCGCGGCATGGGATGCCAGTAAGTGCGACGATACACCAGGACTCTACTGGAGCGTGGGTGCTCACACATAGCAGTGAAGCTTACCAGCTGGCGATGCACACGCTCGACCAGTACCGCGGCACCATTGTCGTCTGCCGTTACTTCCCGCCACCAATTCTTGCACGCCTAGAATTGTTCGTAGACGTCCAAGCTCGATTCATCGATTCTGTTGCACGAGTTGTGATCTCTCAGCCTCATCTACAGGTCGGAATCACCGGGGAGCATTCGAAGAACCCCACCTTCGTTCGTCTGGATCACCTCGATCTTCGCAACCACATTCAATGGATTGATGTAAAAGATTTCGCCTCGTCACGGCAACAGTATCTCAAGATTGTGCAGGATCAGCTTGACATGAGATTTGAAGACTTATCGACTCGGCCGGGTTGGCGGGTGATTGTCTTACATCAGGCTGGGGCCGAATCGATGGAGGTGCTCTACGTCTGGAACCACCCACATCACGATGGCTCAAGTGGCAGAATATTTCACCAAAACTTGCTGCACCAACTCCGCGAAGCTTCTAAACATGACAAGGAGCCAATAATCGAAGTTGCTAAGAATTCGGATAAGTGGATTCTCAATCTACCCGATCCGACGGATAGGCTACCACCGAATCCGGAAATTTTGTCTTCGTGGCCTGTATCCCTAGGCTTCATGCTACGGGAAGTCTGGAAAAGCCTGAAACCAGAATGGATCTTCCCGCCTGGCAACACGCATGCACGCTGGGCTCCAGTCCAAGCATCTCCTTACCGGACTCAGTTTCGCAACTTTGCAATCGACAGTCATTGTGTAACGAAATTAGTAGATGCTTGTCGTCAGCACCACACCACTCTCACAGGTCTTCTCCAGGCTCTTTGCCTAGTCTCACTTTCAACTGCGCTCCACGACGCAAGTGGCTTTGCAAGCAGAACACCGTACGACCTGCGACACATTCTACCATCCAACACTAAGCAGTACCCTTCGATACAACCCAAAGAGCTCATGTGTAACTACGTGTCAGTCGTTGAACACGAGTTCGGCTCTGACCTGGTCGATTCAATCCGCTCTCAAATCCCAGTCACCTCTTCAGGATCAAGATTACCTCTAGATGCGATGAATATAGTGTGGTCTGTCTCTGCAAGAGTCCGCAAAGAGATCAAGGCAAGATTAGAGTCCGGCACACGCAACGATCTGATAGGTATTATGAAGCTATGCCCCGACTGGAACAGCCAACAGCAAAGCGAGATGCGCAGGACGAGGTATCTGTCTTGGCTAGTTACCAACCTCGGTGTCATCGACGGGGCAACTAGCGTCAGCGATGGAGGTCAGGACGCCTGGTCGCTTCGTCGAGCCGAACTCATCTTGAGTGCAGAGACACCTTCAGCTGCATTCTCGGTGTCGATCATGACAGTCAAGGGTGGAGAGATGTGTGTCACATGTAGTTGGCAAGACTGCGTGGTTGATACGGAACTTGGCGAGCGCTTGATGAGCGACCTTCAACGATGGTTGGAAGACATCGGGTCGTGATCGTTCACCGGTTCACGTCATTCCTGGGCGGGTGTATTGGGTGCGGGTAAATTGCTCCATGCGATTCGCCAACGTTTTGACCAATCGGACATATTATCCATCATACTTGTGGGTTTGCACAACCATCTCGCAAGGCAGACAGTCTAGCCAAGATCAAGTATTCTATGGGCAACCGGGGAACATGCGCGCCCCAAGGTGTACAGCGGGTATGGCCGCCGCCCTGGTGCCACCACTTTCAGCCAAAGTCAGGCTGCCAATCGGAGTGTTAGATTGCGGCACAGCGGAGTCTGAGCTCCGCATGCTGATCGGATCATCCATGTAAGCCACCATGCCGCCTAGCTGTATCATGCATCAATAAATGATTTGAGTTCGATACTGCGAGAAGTAACGTACCTTGTCAAGCGACATTTCAGACATTATCGGCGAAGATGGTGGGGGCCAAACTGACCCACATATGCAGTGAGATGATCCAAATCAGCATTAGTTTAGTATCCATCCGAGTTTAGCCCATTGAGTGACTTCAATAGCTACTCGCATGGTGTGATACACCCTAGTACAAGCGCTTCGTAAGGGTAGCTGCCTGGTTCAATGCTGATCTTTATCCTTGCGATGTCTTCTCAGCATTAGACCATGCTACAGCACGTATTGATGTGTGGCGAAGCCATTATCCTCGTCTGGTAACACTTCCTATCGCAAGAACGACCCACTGTAACGGATGAGCAATATCCGCCCAAAAATAGTCGTGACTTACGGTGGTGCATCGCTGAGGTACGGTCGGGAGTTGCGAGGGTCGCCGTCAAGGAAAGTTGCGTGCTTCTACTACCACTGCAGACATCCTATCACGCTCATACCAAAAGAAATCAACATGGTGAATCTCGAGATTCGAAAACAAGTATGTGTGACGTCTGATGGTCCGCGACCCGTGACGAGAAGCCATCACAGCGACGACAAATACAACCAAGTCGACAATTATGCATCGACACCTCAAGAGCCGCTGCGTGGGAAATCACTGGCATTTCATATGTCGTTCCTCTCCCTTTTGATTATGGGCTTTATCTGCGCTCTTGATGCTACGGTACTTGGTGTCGCAATTGCTGTAAGATCTTTCGTCGGGATGATACACTGCTGAAATACTGATATCAATGTAGTCCATAGTTCATGAGCTCGACGGGTCAACTCTGGAAGGCTTCTGGGCTAGCATATCCTTCTTACTGGCAGTAGTCATTGTCCAACCACTCTACACCAGTATCTCCAACGTCGTGGGTCGCAAAATGCCCTTGTACATCTCGTACATATTCTTCATCGCTGGGTCCATCATTTTCGGCCTGAGTCAAAGTATGGCTGTGCTGATTGCAGGCCGAACACTGCAGGGCTTTGGTGCTGGCGGCTTAGACGTCCTCAACGAGATCATCCTAGCTGATATCACGACGCTGAAAGAACGCCCAATGTACCTCGGATACTTCTCGATACCCATGTTGGCAGGCACTGTCCTTGGACCTGTTCTTGGTGGTGTGTTCAGTCAGAATGTCACATGGAGGTGGATCGGTTGGATCAACCTACCATTGTCTGCCATCGGACTGGTATTGGCGATTATCTTCATGAGGCTGAAGACAATTGACCAGCCACTAAGTGTGAAGCTACGTCGCTTAGATTGGAGAGGAATCGTTCTGTTCACTATCGGCTGCACGTTGTTCGCCACACCAATTGCATGGGCTGGTGGCATGTTTCCGTGGTCTTCATACAAAACTATTGTTCCCCTTATACTGGGGTTGATTCTGTTGATCGCATTTCTCCGTTACGAAAAAACGCCTGTGGAGCCAGTTCTACCATACCGGATGTTCAACGACCGCACCGCATCCCTCACATTGCTTGCAGCCTTTCTGCACGGCGTTGTAAATTACAGCATCACTCTGTACATCCCATTATTCTTCCAGGCTGTATACCTCAAAGGGCCTTTACCAGCAGCTGTCTTGACTTTGCCAGTCTGCTTTCTGGCTATTGCCACAGCAGTTGCGTCTGCAGTCGCAGTCGAGATCATGCGCAAGTACAAGCTCGTGATAATCACCAGCTGGGTCTTTATGGCGGTCGGTGCGGGCGTCCTTACACTTTTGGATCGTTCCTCCACTTTGACAGAGATGGAGTCATTCCAAGTGCTTCTTGGTATTGGTATCGGCCCTTTTTGGTCTGTATTGAACCTCCCGCTCCAAGCCAGTGTGCCTGTCGACGACATGGGTTTCGCTGCCGGCATCTTGTGTTCTTTTCGCCTCTTTGGTGGCCTCATAGGACTGGCTATATCGTCAACCATCTTCAACTCGATCTTCGCCGATATCATCGCAAGCCTGCAGCCACTACCCGGCCAGCTGGCTGCACTCCATGATGTGAAAGAAGCGGTCGGCTTTGTGACGCTCTTGAGGCGTGTTGAGGCGCCGGCGGATGTACTGGGTAGGATCATTGAGGCTTACAGGAAATCTATTTTCGGGGTCTTGTGGATGGTAACCGCTACTGCCGTGGTTGGATTCGTCGTTTCTTGGTTCATCAATGATAAACCGTTAGATCAGGAAGAGCAGGGGAAGCAGTATCTCGAGGAAAGGAAGCAAGTTTCTGGCCATGCGTAGTTGGTCCGGGAAAGAGCTATCGTCTCTACTGACTGGACTATTTCCTTAGACTTCTGTAGATGTGCCTTCACCCAAGCGTGTTGAAGCAAGCTAGTATACATGAGCATCTGACCAGATGTGAAGCACACAAAATTTTCAAAGCCAAAAGTCTGATTCTTTATGCATGTGTGATGGCGCGAGCATAGATCGTAAGGCATGCATTTGTTTGTAGGAGTGACAGTGCGGCAAGAGGTGTTGACGGTATCTAACCCGGCGGCAACGAGAGATGGTCAGCTGCTGATTGTGCAGCTCCCGTGGACCCCGCCACGACGATAATCGACTATTCGTAAGGCAGGATAACGCGCAAGCAAGTGATAGCCATGTTTGCTGGATATGCAAGGCTTCAAGGATGTATTTGGTCTGCCATTGCATCACGGGCGGTATGCCGGGGGTGACGTGACAGCTGATTGGTCGAACCACCGGCTGGTGAAGCTCTACCTCACCACGCGTTGGCAGCGGGCGTGTTCTGTCCGGAGCTGTATGCACACACAACGAACATGGGCATCTTGCACAACTTCCATCTCTTTGATCGTCAGGGCCGCGATAGCGCAGTTTCATCGAGCATTCTCGACATGTGTGAGACGGACGAGCAGCGCCTTTTCCTGCGTGTTCGAAGACACCTACACGCCTGCTAACGGGAACACATAACAGGCCGCCAATTCCAGCAATGTCAGTTTCCGCTTGTGTGTCTGCAGCTACGTAATCTTATCAACTATCTGACTGGCACCTATTGCAGCGACAGACGATCAACACCGTGCCAGATTGTACCGTCGCAACACATCGTGTTCACGATGCTATGCGCTCGAATCAGCTGCCTCAGCCCTCGACAAGCTACTCCTAGAACCGCAATTACAACCCTGCAATCAGCTAACTCGCGGTAGACGCCCTCTAAAATAGTCCAGCCAGTAAAGATGCACTTGTCATCGCCCTCTGAACCATAAATATCTTCACCACCCATCCTTGCCACCAACGAGTTGCGGCCGCAAACCAAGTCGCGCACGGGACAACGGCGCAAACCTATAACAAACAGGAGCGCCGGGAGAAGAGGTAGTGGTAGCAAAGCGCCCGCACACCAACAGAGGAACAGTGGTAGTGATTACAGTGAAGGCCTTAGTATCCTACTCGGACTCGTGACCCATGGCGCGCACAAGCAGTAGGGTTCATGTCTCAGTAGTGGCGCCACTATGTCTGCACGCCTGACATAGTTCTTGTTCTTCGTGCTCGTGGATATATAAGAGATTTTGGCTTTGATCGGCGTCGGGGTGCTGGGTACAAGCACGGCAGTGCTGCAGAGTCACCTGTTCGATGGAAAGAAACACAATTAAGTATATCGGTCGCAACACTTGACATCATATCCACAATTTGTCCCTTGTTGGAGAAATCATATTTTCACAGAGAGATGCCATTCAATGTCGCTATCAAGTGTGGGATCAGGCGAAGCAAAAAAGCATAAGGCTTTCGTGGAAGCGCCTGCCTAGCGCATTTCGGACACATACCCTTCACTAATGGGTACCATATGTACAACCGACGCCAAAAGACGCCTTACCCTCTTGCACTCGATGTTGCTGATGGAAGCAATGCTTTGGCAGAGTTTCGTCTGACGATTGTGAGTCGGGTACCCACTAGGTGGCGCTCGATCACAGCCCACTATATACGACGTGCTTGAGGGGTCTAACAAGGGCCACTGCAGCAATATACATCACCTTCACGCGCCGAAGACCAGCTTAACGTCTCGAACCCCATCTTCAATTAAGTGGTAGCACAAAGGAACATGCTTAGTGAGCTCGTGAAATCCTCAACTACTGCCGTGGGGTGTGGTCCAATAAACGTCGTTGAGTCGTGTTGGGGTGTATACCCCGGGATGGGACAAATGCTTCATGTACGACCGGAAGAAAGTATGCCAACTGTGGAGTATTATATGCAGATAAGCTTTACATAAAGTTCATAGAGAGGTTCTCGAGAGCGTGGTGGTTAGAAGGGTGCTAGGGAGGGACGCCTGTCGAAGACCGAAAGGCGATGATGGAAGCATTAGACGCCCTAGCTAGCAGCCTTGAACATGCCCACACATAATTTGTATCTTTTGGAACTGGCCACAGCAGGCTGACGCAGTTTTCAACATCCACATCCTGTCTTGGTGGGTTTAGAAACAGACGCGCGATGACGGGTCTGAAGCGACCTGCGAACTCTTTTTTGTAGTACGAATGGAAAATAGACCACAACCGCTTCGTGGGTCAAGAAGGCAGCGCTTCTGGCTATATGGATAGCTTTTCTGTCGCGGCTCCTGCGCCTCGAGAGTGTCGACCCTTCTATCTTCTTTGCGCTGTAGTACACAGCTTAGCGTGGATATTCGTAACTTCTTTGTCTCGAAAAATTTTGCCTACAGAGATTCTTTGTTGTTGACATACAACTAGAATGTTCCTTAATCGGCTTACCACTGTCCAGACTCGGTGTAGGGAGCATCTTGTTGATATGGAGACGTTCATCAGCTGAGAATCTTACCAAGCTCTAGCTGATTTTTCTCTCGATCACCGGCTTGCACATGCGCTATGACAGGTCGGCAGCTCAACTCCCTACTGCTTAGGATACTCAACTGGCTTATGGCTAGGTTGCCGGATACCTGAGGAGCAGCGTTCGTTGTCACTCTGCCATTCTGCAGTCGCACGATTTGTACATTCAGTGATCAATCATACACTACAGCATTGATCGAGACGATAGTGAAATCTTGAGGCTCAACTATATCCAGGTACCTGTGTAAGATAGTCTGTGCTGCCTTGCGATACTAAGCCCTCAGGCATCCTGGAGGCAGGCTCGATAGTGTTGTTTGCAACGCGATACGATCTGAAAGCGACTCGTTTGCACATCCATTGTTCGCAAACACACAGCGTGGAATGCTAATTGTCTTCGTGTGTTCTCGAGGTTGTAGAAGTTGAGCTGATCTGACTCTAGCAAGCCTATGGGCTTAACAATTTGGTAGCGTTAGTAGCGTAGCATGGTGCATTGGGGGAACCCACTCTGCGCCACCTAGAACACGAGAAAGAGTAACATCCCACTCATCTTCTTCAGCGCAGCGGTCATTTCCCGGGCGGAAGATTCACGAAGACCAGGTCGGTCAATGTGCGGGTGCATTCAGGAGCCGCATCTTTGTTACACCATGCGCTTTTCCCTGACGCTGAGGCATACCTGGCCTGTTTTACGCCCCAGCTTCGTTGCATGGAACGACTGGCAGCTCTTCTACAACGTTGAGCATAACAGAACGTTTCCATCGCAAACTCTCTATTTGTACCTGGACTCCTAGAAATCCATCTTGCTGTTATTGCGTGGGCATAGTATAGCCCACCTGAATATGAGCGGAATCCGCATCGGTTGTCGCACATCCATTCTGGACAACAAAATCAAGGAACAAAGTGGGCCAGTTCAAAGCAAAGCAATTCAAAACCACAGATATACTAGTACGATAAGAGCTATTACTGAACAGCCATAAACGCCGCATATTCCGAAACGACGCTGGTGGAACAAAGCATTCTCTCCAATTTTCAGGTGTCAGGTCTTTCACCCTCGTACCTAGGGCTAGAAAGCGTTCATGCCTGCTTCGTGCACCAGCACAACAGCCTTCGCCACGATTATGTCATGCTTCAAAGATGGGCTTGCCTTTTGGGCCGGGGGAAAGAAGCTCTTCGCCTGTAATAGTGCTGTAGAGATGTCTGCATCAGCAGGCAGTTTCTTCGTTGGTGCCTGCACGAGTCCGGGGAACACGCAAATAGATACCTTCATCTTAGCACACGTCAGTGGGTCCAAACTTTCGCCGTTTTCATTCTCTGCATCCATCCAAACTGGGTTGAAGTCCATTCCAGGAGTAGCGAAATAGATTTCGTATTCGAAAACGCTCAGCATCAGTGCTCGCTTCAGAGTGAGCGCATGTTTGACCGCTTCGACCGACATAAAATCAAGATGACGAAAAGGGGACTTGCAACCAATAGCAGTAGCAAACTCTCTAGCGCAGGCTTCCAGACACTTCTGAATTTTCTGGATACGACCTGGGAGAACCTCTGTATCGAAGCATGGCTGCCTGCTGAAGAGCTGGAAGGCAATTGTGTCAATACGTCTTATCTCTTCTCTATCGTCTTGGGGAGAATAGTCAGTTTCGGATATAAGACGTCATCAGATGTCGGAACATACCTGTCATAGTCCTGTAGATCTGGAACGCCCGACTTGCAGGCGTCACTTCGCACATGGTTTCAGTCCCGCAGAATAGCAACTGACATAAAGCAACTGCCAGTAGATGCTGCGCTGCGGCCGGATTGTCCAGATACACATGACGTGTAGATATCCACGGTTGTGCTTCGTATGTTCCACCCTCCAGGTGGTTGGCAAGATTCGCCAGATGTGTGTTCGAGAAAGAGCCAGTCATAGCTAAGTTTATTCGCGAAATAGGTGCTACATTGACCACCATGGTGTCTTTGAGTGGTGATCGAATGCGACGCCAATCTTCAGCGAGCTCAGATGGAAGAGGCAGTGGTGGATACTCTACCTTTCTCCCGTAGTTGCGTTGCCCAATCAGATCACTGACGATCTCTTGATACTTCTGGCGAATGACGTTCGCTTGCTGCAAGTCCTTGATAAGTCTGACGAAAGCATCGCTCGGATCATCTTTGATGGTCCCTTCAACAAGCTCCATCGTCGAGAAGATCTCGTTGGGTATCTTATTCTTAGGTCCAACCTGCTCCCGGAAGACCCAAGTTATGCAATGAATAGCCATTTTTAATGCTCGTTCTGTGTTCTGTCCCAGTGCAGACAGGGACTTGACTTCTTCTTCAAGGGCTTCCAGTCGTTTGTGTATGTGCGAAACATTATCTTCCGACTCCGAACTTCGGAGTTGCCCTGGTAGGTCGGATTCTGTCGTCGTTCCCAATGTTACAGTCTCGGGTTTGGAAAGCTCGAGAGAGGACGCGTTGTCATTATAGGATACGCTGTTTGCACGTTTTCGTTTTCGATCGACCACGCTGTGATTGGTGACGGGACGACTGTTCTCTCTTGAGCCAGAAGGTCTATCATGAAACGAATTGCAGTCATTAGTCAATCGACGCTTCTTCTTTCTCTGCTGTTTGCCGCGCTGTTTAACATTAATTGACATTCTCGAAGCATCCTTATATGTACTTACCTGCGATAAGCCGGCCTGCGATGGTGGAATCTCTTTTCTACGTTTCCCCGAGACATCAAGGCTCAGATTGTCTCTACCATGTTTGATGGCCTCTAAGATGGGCCCGGCGATCGTGGCGTCCTCCAGTACCTTAGTACCGCGGTCGATCAAATGCTTGTAATCGATTCTTGGGGTCTGCTTTTGACAAATATACTTGAGACGGGTCACAATCTGCGACTCGTCAGGCACTCGACCGGTCTCCTCATTGAACTTGCTGTGTATCGTCTGCCAGTAATCCTTTTTGTTGTCAAGGCACCAATCAATGTGATTTAACACCACCACTGTTTCGTCGTTTGACCATTTAAAGTATTTCATCACGACGATACAATATGATATGTAACAAGAATACAAGACTGTGAACGGAGTTCGATCGGGAACGGGGTGCGAAAATCGAGAAAGCGGGCAGAAAGAAGAAAATACTTGGGTGTTCTTGGCAACACAGAAGAGAAGGACGAGCGCCTAAACGAAGGCGAGGCACGTAACTGAAGTGATAAGCCTAAACGGTGTAATAATTTTCTCGCGGATCCTTCTGCAACGTTACCCCTGGCAATGTAGCGACGTTGACCAATGTTAGCCCCTGATCAGCCGGGGTGCTTGTCGGTTGCCTTGTTTCAGGCGAATTCAACTACGCCACGGCGATCCGAGCAAGATAATCCAACATGCAGCCTTATCACAGAACTAAAAGAGCGATTGTTATACAGATGTTTGGAACATTAAGAACTGACTTGCATCATGCATTGTCCAGAGACAGCCGCTTCAATGATACCTATGTAGCAGTCGAAGGGTCTCAGTTGTCAACAAGGATAAATTTGAGAACCGAAAAGAGATGCATAAGACCATTCATGACCATCGGTCCGAGCTCGAGTGGCGTATCGTATTCACCTATTGACGTGCCAGACGCCCATGGTGCATACGCGGCTATGATATGCGTGCCAACCTTGCCGAAGCTTTACATATGAGGACACCGCTCAATGTCTAAGCGAAGATGATACTCTACCTAGACAAAGCGGGACTATTAGTATGATTGCTTACTAGACTATCTTCCCATAAAGTTGATAGGCTTATCTACTTCTTCTCATGAACGGGACCTGCTGTCCATCACCTCCGAGACGCAATGGCTGGAGACATGTCGGATTCCAAATCGTCAAGGGCGGGAAGAATCCTCAGACGTCCAGTCAATGAGAACTTTGTAACACTCAATAAAAGACGGCCCAAGAGACGATGCAATTCCCCTCCATGCTTGGTCCCGCAGGTATCCAACATGTCAGACTCCGATTCCAACGATTCCGTTCTGGGGGCTTCTGCAAAAAGGATGAGAGGCGCTCACAATATTGCACACCAGTCACCCTTCGCTACACAGCCATCAGCCATGGTCACTGACCAATTCACTGAGCCCGACTATCGTGTTGCGCTCGACTTTGGCACGACATATACTAGCATCGCGTTCGTTAGAAAGGGCGAACGAGAGATCAACACCATTGATCAGTGGGATGGAGATCGCTGTCATCATTCCAATGGGAGACAAGTCCCAACGGAAAGTGTCTATCGCCCTGCTTCCAGACTACACGGCTACGAAGCACAACGCTGGCTAGAGGAGTCACAACCCGACGACGCAGTCATAGCTCACATCAAACGAATGAAGCTGCTCCTTGACGACACGGGTTGTGTCTGGACTCAAGATGCTAAAAGCGAAGTTGCGAAGGGAATACAGAAACTTCAAGCCCATCACTTGATAGATTCTGAGCAGGATATCATACGACACATATTGAAATATTATTTCCGCCACGTCAAGCGAACTCTGGAAATGGCTGAAGGCTTCCACGATGGTAACTCTGGTACGTGACAGTGCAGCCTGGCAGTTTCCCATCGCTCTTGCTAATACCCGAGTTTAGTTGAACTTACATTCTCTGTACCGGTCTGCTGGAGCACCATGGCCAATGCTACGATGAGTAAATGCATCGAAACAGCGATGAGAGAGTCTGGGTTCGGGGTTATTCAAGACCAACATGGTTCCTCAGTCAACCTATTCATGGTGAATGAAGCTGAGGCAGGAGCTTCATACGCACTTGATTCCAGTCGGCATGACGGTGTCATCAAGGTACTTGCATGCATCCCATTGGAAAAGACAAACATGCTAACTTGATCAGCGTAGGGGAGTGTTTCTTCTCGTCGACAGCGGTGGGGGTACGACGGACCTTGGTCTATATCGAACAACGGAACCTGAACCCTTGCGCCTCGAAAGGGAGATAAATCCTCCTTCTGGTAAATCACCATTTGAGAAATAACTGAGAAACGGGAACTGACTTCTCAGGGGCCATGTGTGGATCGAGCGACCTCAATGAGCGAATGCGAGCGAGGGCGTTGCTTGATCTTCGCGACCAGGGATATCTCACGACAGATAGAACTATCGAAACCATTGTCGATGAATTCATCATGCCGGCATTCGAGAACGAACACAAGAGGTCCTTTCGATGGCGTGACAGATCCCAACGCTTCAGATATCCGATCCTGGGTCTCCAGGCATCTCAGAACAACCGACGCATACAGAAAGGGGATTACGTGTTGAACTAGTAAGTGCACTACCTTTTCCATTGCAAGAAACTTTCCGCTGATAAACCAAGCGACGACATGTGGAGCATTTTCGAACCTTCCTTGGAGACCATCCGAGATCTCATCGTGGATCAGATTCAGTCCGCCAGACTTAAAGACATTGTCGTTAAATCAATTGTCGTGCTTGGCGGATTCGGGGATTCTCCAGCTTTGAGAGAGTACCTTCGAATATGGTTGAACGAATACAACCACAAGAATGGCTTGGTGATTGAGATGAAGTTCGCTCTCGCGTACGTTTTGCACTGGAAACAGGCTTGTCGTGTTGGCGCTATCATCGCTAACTCATACCAATAGTAATAAAGGAGCTTCTGCGATAGCCATAGGCGCGATCATACGAGCACAGAACAAACAACTTGGGCCGGAACGTATTCCGACCCAGAGTATTGGGCTGTACCGCCACATCAATTGGGAAGAAGACTCCACAGATCCATGTATCACCAAACAGAAGGCACAAAAGGATGGAGAAGGGGAATATGTCATTAAAAACACGATTCTGTGGATGATCAAAAGAGTACGCATGAGCTCCATACATGCCGTCTATCACGTAGGCTGACTTCTTCTCTCAGGGCCACGATGTGATCCCGCGCGTACACCGAGTAGAGGTTGTGGTCCGGCATCTATTCTGGGAGAAAAAAAGGTATTGGAAAGGAGAAGAGGTTCTCTTCATTTCGGACAGTTGCACGGAGGACTACTGGCAGCGCACATCCAAACACAACAAAGGTTAGTGAGTATCCCATTACTACAATATATCACAACGCTCATGTAATACTTCTAGGCAAGACTACACAGCTAGGCAAGGTTGTCTTTGATGTGACCGATCTCAAAGAGCATCATGTCAAAGTCCACAAAGAAAAAGGGTTGTGTACGCAAAAATGGAAGATCCGCGTAGAGGTGCTCCTCCAGATCGAGATAATCGGTAGAGACTTGAAATTCTTTGTTCGATGGCCAGCAAACCGGGAAGGGAAACTGCTTCCTGCATCGCGAAGTTCCTTTTCCCTAGCTGCCGCCTTCAAACCTGGCACAGAGTGAGTAAGTCAATGACGGTGGCCTATAATGAGCTAATTTCCTTAAATTCTCTCTTTTCTACATTGGTACATTCAATAGAGGTGTTTCGTGAAGTTGAACTTGTGGGGTAGGAAGGTTCTAGGTTACAATCACATAACGTTTCTGAACATGGACTGTCTGGCGATTGCAAGGTGAAGCCGCAATCGACCCGCCGGCGCCCGATGCATCATTCAGTGTGAAGAAAAGTGGAACGGCGCCTCTTGGTACTTTCATAACGCAGTCCGGATTTGCATCTCTGATTGGATCGCATGCTTTCCGATTGATGTTCATGATAAAACGCCGTGGCAAACGGTTGTACCGGCATCGTGCCAAGCGATGTCTAGAGCATGCTATGAGTTTCCAAACCAGAAGGAGCCTCCAAATTGATTTCATTACCCTTGGATTGATGGCTCGAGTGTGACTCAACAGCTTTGGTCCTATCCAATCAGAATGTGAAGGATTCTGCGTCCCGAGATCCCCTGGCGCCGCGGACGGGGAAAGCGGAAGGGCTGAAGGTGCCTTGGACGCACAGTCTCTACGGTGTGACACTGCGGACTTCCAGCCCGCTGATCGGGTCCTTGAGAAGAGACGCGCATATATACACCCCGTGCTCAGCATGCCGCTCAATCGCGACATGCAGATCTGTAGAAACTTAGTAGACCCAGCCGCGGCCTTGTTTACCAGGAAGGTTTAAATCTAGAGCAACCAGAGCTGCATAGTCTGTAGCTCAAACGTCAGCCTGACGCCTTTACGCCACCCCGGTCAATCTGTAAGGCTATGCAGCCCTGGTCAAAGCTTCAAGTGTTTCGTGATGTGGCTGCCTAGTCTTGGTCATAGCGTCTCGCACCGGGGCTACGGGCTGGAGCAAGTGCAGAGTTATACATTGCTCGAACGATTGCTGTGAGATGGCTCCGTGCGCTGACCAGGGCATACGCCGCATTCGAGACTGTTCGGACCATGGCCACTGTAAATAGTTCTCGAGCTTTTTGCTCAATACCTGTGTATTGCCCGGGTTATCTTTTCCTCGATTCGGCCGGGCCTGCATGTGACGAAGCAAGGGATAGGTCCACAGTCCGTCAAAATGGTCGGCCATCCGGTCTAGTAGCACCAGATTGTTGGCAGGGAAATTGTAGTAAGCAATAGGGGCTTGACCATGTTTAATGTGCTTTGGCTACAGAGCGTCCATAAGCTTGTGGATGTGTTAGTGAACGTATGTGCGACCCAGGTCGATCCAAAGCTAGTTGGTCAACTTGGCACTACGTTGGTAGGCTGAGCCAGACTCTTTGAACATATACGAGGCAGTCTGTAGGTCAGACTCGACTTGGAAGCATGCTATTGCAGGATCGATAGAAGTTCCTAGTCTTGACGTGGTGCGCCGAGAATCTACTCCGTCTTGAACGCCTGTAGGCAGAGGAGGAGCTGCTACATGCAGCTTCTAGCGATGATAAGGCAGAAATAGTCTGTTATTACTGGCTCGATCAGACTGCGGTCTGTCTTGCCGTGTCCAATGTGCATATAACATCCAGTGGCTGCAGTTGCGCGATTATCGTAGGGATTGATGCTCGGACATGAGTTGGCCTGTGGCCAGCTGAAGGTATGGGTCGGTTTGACTACTGTGACCTATAGCATGCCTTGTAACATATTAGGAGCATATTGACTTACATGGGTACGGATCGGGCGGTTGCGGTGACTTTAGCTAGGCAAGTCACAATACACAAATGGTTCTTGACGTTATTTACCTATTTACCTCTACAAAATAGTACCAAAACACAGTTTCCATTCTTTTCATGACTGATGCAATGTATGAAGAATGATTGAGCAAGGTTCGGCGTGCATTGAGCAAGCGCTACCTGGGTACCTTTTGTGCCGTCCAACTCCTTCCACTCAGACTCGATGAGCAGATCCATGCACTGTGTATCTGATCATTCTGACGCGGTGTCCATCATGCGGTCTGCGATCTGTTCCTTATTTCACGAGCCACAGCCGCCTACAGGTGCCGGCCGGATTGTTTGTGACCTTATCTATCATCTTCGTCCTAACCACTTGTAGCTTGTACTACCGATGAGCTTGCTTTTGTCAGCGGGGCTTTCATCAACCCTAGCGTGAGTGATCGGCAATGGCTATGCCTCTGTGCGAGTTGGTAATGACATGGCAGAACGTCTAGCTTTGTTGTCACCTGTGACGTTCCCAAAGAACAGAAGGACATTGGAAGTGATGACTTCACTACAAAGATAGTCAGCTCTCTATATGCACCGATTGGCCAGTCTCCAACCATGTAGACAGCGTGATACGCCTGCCTAAGGGCAAGATATTCCTGAAGATGGTTACATGTTGGCATGACCTTCACTACTACTGTCTCGAAAGGCCTTGGAAGTCCGGCATAGGACCAGATCGGCCTCATGGCTGACCAGTATACCCCATGAACATGCTACTATCCATGTCAACGTTAACATTGCGTCGCGTGAATCTAGAAGGAGAAGATGAAGTGCGTGCGATACTTCGTTCTTCATCTGTCGCTCGGGAGTCGTGCGGGGTGGAAGCAGTGGTGGCGGCAAGCGGTGTTTACGTCCGATCAACGTTGACATTTCACGCGCTCAACCACATCATAGTTCGATAGTACATGATATGAGTGTAAAGATGGCTCAGGACTTTCATGGCATTATCCCTCGATACATATGCCAAATAACGTGTTGGCGTTGTTAGCAACAAGTCAGGTGCGCTAAGCACGTTGGGTACCTAGGTAGTCACCTTTGCGATCACATTGGTCTCGACGCAACATAATTGGCGCATCATGAATACTGCAACCCGCTTGCAAGTCTCTTTCTATTTGGGGAAGTGCGTTACAATGCCTCATGTATCTGCACTGGCAACCGTGATAGGGTCGCAAACTTGCAGTCGTCGCGAGCAGACCTCGGTAGGCTGTTGTCTCTCCGTGCCCGCAAGCGCAGCAGAAAACAACAATGCAGCATCTACTTACCGGCTCATTCAATCTGTTTAATTCGCACTTTACCGCATGAGTCTTTCTGCTTGTGGATCTCTTGTTGTCGCGGATGCATGTGCATTCAAAACATGGTGGGTGCATGATGGTATCTAGCAGTAACAATAACGAACTGTGATAGGTAGCTTGGGCTTTCAGTATACCCGCCATCTCCCCACGTGGGATTCATGGATTGATACCGTTATGCCTACGCTTTTGTGTTGTTTAGTAGTGGACCAAAGGCTGGCACGGTGGGTAGGTTGAGTCTAGACCATACGGTCTGCAGAGAAAGACACGCTAGGATCCGTTTGCTGGAAACTGTGAGTATGAACAGGTGCAGGAGCTCTCGTTCTTTGGTTCCCATATAGTTTTTGGTGCACGATAGGTGGATGAGCCTAGATGGAGACAAGTCAAGCGGGACAGGCATCGGAGATGATGCTAACAAACGACACGCGCGCAAGAGAGGATGGCAACGAGAAAGTTGATTTTCTCTTCGTACGCAGCAAAATGAGCGTGATGCGTAAGGCGTTATCATGTATGTACAGCGACATAAAACGAATGTGATGGTGTATATACATGAACATGAAATGAGTGTGTTAGTGCAAGTGCGCACAAGCGTGAGAGCCTTATACAGTGAGACCAAGGAAAAAGGATCGGGATGCAGCCAACGACAACTAGATCAAGATTAAGCTGATATGCTCACCGTCTATACGGTGACATACTCCATGATCACAGAAGTCACAACCGTAGTTCTCGGGTCAGCGGGCGCAGTTGGTTCAGGCGCTTGCTCCGAGACAGTGGGTGCAGTAGATACAGGCGCCTCTGACACAATCTTCTTGCTAGAAACCTGGACAGCCGTCGACATGGGTGTGGACGTCTGGGCAGCAGAAGCACCAAGTGTCACATACTGCGTGATGACGGACTCCAAGAGCCTAGTTTCAGTCTTGGGATCCGCCGGCACTGGCGCAACATCCGGTGCTTTCTTCCACTCGAACTCGCCGGTGCCAACATTGTAAGAACCACTCGCCTCGTCAGCAGGGAGAGTCGAGTTCGTGCCGTCAGGACCAGGTCCATCATATACGGGCGGGTTACCTTCGATGTCGTCATTGTATTCGACATCACCGTTCCAGGTAGGCACTTCGGTGTCGGACTCTGGGATGCTGACTGGCACGTTAAAAACGGTGACGTTCAAGCCAGCCGGAGGCTTGTTACGTGGGATCTCGCTGAAGTCCAGAGCCTGAATGCGCCAGCTGAACTTCTCCTTCAGGTAGGCTTGCACAGTTTCCTTGTCCAGGCTCTTGAGCTCGCCAGAGGCATGCTTTTGCGCAAGCTTCTCGGTCAGGCCGATGTTACCTGTGACGATGACCGAGGAACTCATTCGTGGAGAAGACATGGATGCGAGCTGACCAACATAGTTGGGATCCGTAGGCCAGTCAATCGGGTTGGAACTTGGTTCACCAAGGAAGGCGCGAACGGAGTAGGATATCTTGATATCGGTTGGCATGTTGACTTCACATTGCCAGTCGATAGCCTGTGCCGTACGGTTGTTCGTGCCACTGCCTGGAGCCGGGACTGTCGAGTTGGTATCGCTCAAGCCCTGAGTCTGAGCCTTGTATAAGTGATTGATGGAAGATGTCAGTGTTGCGTTGCTAGGGTTGTTGGCAACCTCAGGGTAGGTGTATCCAAAGGAAGTCCAGTTCCGCGAAGTGGTGGCAGTCCACATATCGCCGAGAGCGTTCATATGGAACGGTGCCAATGGCGAAGCAGTCCCGAGAACACTACCCCTGGCAACGGCGAACGTGCCTGAATGCTGTACAGCGTCTTCAATCCAAGTATCAGGATAACGGGCTTGATACATGGCTATGATTCGATCGATGTTACAATGATGAAACCAGAAGATGGGGTCAAACGCCGAAACCTCGACGATACCCATATGACCCAATCCGAAGACGTTGTGCAGACCATCGTGAAGTGTCTCGAAATTCCCAATCTTGCCGCCATTCGCCTTGTTACTTACTTGACTGAACGGCTGGTAGGTCGTCAACAACTTGTAAAGCATGTCGCGGAGGTTAGGTTGCTGTTTGCCGACTCGCGCGTTGACATCGCTGTTACGGCTAGTAGCATTGGCAGCATGCGGATCAAGTGGGTACCGAATAGTGTGGTTCCAGTACTTGAACTCGAATTCGCTCAAAGGAGCAAAATCATCGTACTTCAGCGGATGGAAATCGTATCGATATAGCGGGTTCGGGATGTCGGCTACAGTGCCATTGGGAAAAGTGACAGTTTGCGTTCGGCAACGAACACTTTCAGGTACGACGCCTTCCTGTACGTTCGGCGGATCCATCGCCCAATCCCAGTATGGAAGGCGCACGCGTTTGGCGATGTCCAAGGCCTTGTTACGGGCCTCGCCAATAGGATACTCATTGGCAACGTCTACAGCGCGATCATGGAGAACCTGCTCGAATAGCGCGAGATACGGTCGGTGCCACGGACCAAACATGCTAGATGTATGAGGGCAGTAGCCCATCATCTCTTGGCCAGCTGTTCCATTTACGCCATCCCATTGTTTGAAGGGCACTCCGTGTATCCCTAGCGGCTGTCAGTGAAGCACCCTAGTAGTAGCGGGGATTGCATACCTGCAACCTGGTAGAAAGAGGTCTTTTGACTCTGGTCCATAGCCTGGAAGCGAGAAAACGCCTGGATAAAGATGTTCCATAGTTCCGCGTCTTTCTCAAGCTCACGGAGCTCCTGTCGCGGGTATACTCCAGTTCCCTGGACTCCAACGACACTGAAGTAGGAGCTGTCGTCTGCCTTGGCGACTCCGCACGAGGGGCCGTTCGTTGAGTTGGATAAAGCCTGTACATTTCCGAGTAACGAGAGCAAGGAAGCAAGACCAGTGAGTGTAGAAAAGAATGATTGCATGATGGCACAGCCGGTAACGAAAGGAAGAGATCGTCAAGATCTGAAAGAATGAAGATGCAACAAGTTGCTGGGGAAAAGACTGAATGTCACTGGGACTGAAAGAAAGACTGGACGAGCGATGCTGTGGTGTGCAACTGAACAGCGACATGATCGGGTATATAAGATGCCAGTAAGATGAACGGCTATTCGCACAACCCACTGCCCCGCTCCGTGTGAGTGACGTACCGGGCTGTACCACAGGTACTTCATGCGTAGGATTATCCACACCTTCTCAATATGCATCTGTCGCGGCATATGCACCACTGTTTCCCAGTGTATCCTTGCAAGTAAGGTGATGTTCGAAACATGTTTGGTTTCTACGCATGAAAATGCCAAGGACGGTGGAGCGCGAATGGCAGACAGCCAGAACACCAAGCAGATTTATCGTGAATGCCCCCAACTGGAAATTCTAAACTGCAAAGCTCCATCACCTCTGCGCATGTCGGTCGATGTGATCATCACAAGCACGTAGCCGAAGATGTGTGTAGATGGATGAAGCAGGTGGTAGGGGCACTCCATCTCCATCCAGCGAGTGTGTCCAAAATTTGCTACGAACCGACCATCTCCCCTCGAGCCGTATACTGATTGTGGCTGTGACGTGGAGAAGGTGTGCGATGTTGATTGTCTAAGATGGCAGGGCTGCAGCACAGGCCACCGCGGCATGGTGCGACACTCACGAAGAGCGAATTGACGAGCAGCCGAAATTCAGGCACCTGCCAAAATCGGGAATGACGGATGGAGGTGAAACATGCGACAATTGTTATCGGCACGTGGTGATTGCTAACCGGCAAATCTGGTCTCATCGTGAAGTTGTGGGGAATGCACTTTATACACTTTCCATGGTATCGGGAGGCATCGAATCATCGACATCAAAACTTTGACAAGTCCGTTTCGGGTATCTTCCTTGCTTTGCAGCGCCTCCTTTTCTCTTCCTTGAGCCTGCAGTATCAGAAGCGATATGCATCTTTGCCCATTTCCTGACCCTTTTGAGGGTCTCAGCTACTGGCGCGGGTAGTCCACCTAGCTGAGCAGATGAACCGGCGCCACTTTTTGTCAAGACGTCGATGCTTGTCCGTGCACGTGCAATAGTTGGGTTCAGAGATTGGCCAAAAACGTTGTCGCCGAAAGACGTCAGCGCAATGTTCCGTAGAAGAAGAATGTCGCCAACTTTGATGCCCTTGAGTGTTTGAAGGAGCAAGTTTTGAACATGATCTTGCTCGTTGTTCGACTCTCGAGGTGGACGTAGCCAGAATGTCACCTTGAAGTTTGAGCGTGCATCGTCCGCGACAATGATCTCCCATAGCTTCATCTTGTATCCACCTTTCCGCACAAAGACTTCTTTCTGTTCGGGAGTTGCCGTCACAGCGCATAGGAGATTTGGCGTAGGCGTTTGCGGGTAGATCGCTCGCAAGCGCTGTGCACTGGGAAGTGATCCAAGGGGTGTGATGGCCATCTTGGGTGGAACCTGGATGTTCACAGTATGCTCGCCGACCTTGCTTGGGCTACTGAGGTCAGATGCCGTAGTTCCGAAGGAAGTAGTCAGGAAGGATGACGAGCTGATAGTCTTATCAGTCATGTCATCGGGTAGGACTTGGGACGATAACAAAGTATCATGGAACATGAGCGACTGCTCAAGGAAGCTATTCGTGGCCAATGGGGGATCTTCGAAGGCGATCTTGGACTCCAGACCGGCTGTGTCTTCTGGTAGAAATGAAATGGATTCTTTCACATTGGGAAGCGAAAGATCTGACGTTTCGCGACCTGGGCTACAATCTGGAAGAATAGGCTGTGACCATCCGGTTCGAAGTCGGGAGTGTCCGAACGAGATACCACGCCATTTGATGACTGGTGTCGAGTCATTAGTAGAGGAGAGTGTATTGCTTGCAGCATCAAAAAGACGGCACTCCTCGACTGGCAGGAGCTGATCATCGTCAAAGTTTAGGTATCCGCGCAATGGCGCCCCATTGAGCATTTTGAGCCGCATACTGCGTGACTGACGCGTCTACGTGTACGTGTTGTTGAGACGCGTTTTAGGCAGAAGCCACGGCGACAAGGCAACGGTACGCCAGGAAAGAAGTTTTATCCATATGCGACTAGCGTAGGGGAGATGCGAGCGGTGCTTACGTAGGTGGAGCCGAGTAGAGGTTGCTCTTTGGAAGAGTCGGAGAAAGTGAAGAAGTCCGGCCTCGTACAACGGTAAATCCGAGCATTCGTCGCGTTATCTGATGGTGCGAGCTCCGAGGGCCGATACAATTCACCGGAACACCAAAAGCAATATAAGGAGCGGTCAGCTTCTTAGTGAGCGGGCAGTAAGAACAGCTTCTCGATATCGTTGTCGTTCATTCTCGGCTACAGCGGGCGACAACGGGCGACTTTGCATCCATTCCAGGTACCGTCGACGACTACTAAGCAACGGCGTCATCACTGCGCCCACATTCCGCGCCTTGGCGATCTAATCTCCACATCTGATATAAAGTTGCCATGGCACCTTCCAAGACGCCCCACAGGCCGATAAACGCATACCGAGTCCCTGCAATGTTGCGAAACCTCTCTTACAAACTGACGTCGGCATTGTCGTCGTCTGAAGTTCCTACAGTGAACAAGGACAGCGACGAGTTCACCAAGGCCAAGAAGACGGAGGAGTTGTTCCCGACCACCGACCCCGCGGTAGATGGAGACGATTGTCTACACGACTGCGCCAGTTGCAGTGTCAAATACCCGCGAAAGTTCGAGATCGACGAGACGGAGGAACTGTATGGACATGTGAAAGGATGGAGTACGCATCTTATCGTTGCGACTGGCAAGACGGATTGGGTACGCGATGTTGCAGATGAAAAGGGCAGCATCATGGAGGCGGTCGACAGAGGAGACGCGAAGCCTAGCAACGGGGTGAGTGGGAGACATTGCCTAGTCGCACGTCTTGCGGCTCTATCAAGTGTTATCGCTGACTGTGCATAGAAACTCATGCTATCCGCCTCGAACATACCCATTCCAGACCACTCAGATCACAGTTCCATGGTACTACTGCTACCATCGTGGCAGTTCATAGACAATGTAACGCCAGCGAACATACCAGAGCTCATCACCGGCTTTGTCAACCCCGGACCGACGAACAACATGCCGTTGCGCTCCCACAAAGCTCCGGCGTTAGCACCGCCAAAATCTCCGGAAGAGACTTCTTCCGCCCAGCCTACCCCCTCCTCAATACCACCGTCGCTACCCGCCACCTCACAGCTCAAAGCCCGACCATGTCCCCACAAATACCTCATCTTGATGTGCAGTCAAAAAACGCGAGACGCGCGTTGCGGCCAGTCGGCACCTCTACTACGGAAAGAGTTTGAGCGGCTGCTGCGGCCGATGGGTCTATACCGCGATTTGCACGACGAGCGACCAGGTGGTGTAGGAATATACTTTATAAGTCACGTTGGGGGTCACAAGTTCTCGGCGAACGTCATGGTGTACCGGCATTCTTCGGTCGTCTCACGGCCTGAGAAGGTGAATGGACACAGCAACGGCGCAGACAAACGCCTCGAGGAGCTGAGACTGGATGACGACAACGGTCAAGAAGTCTTATTAGATGCCAATAAGGAGCAGGAGGCAGAAGGCAACGGCGAGGCTGCGCAATGCATATGGCTGGCGCGGGTGAAGCCTGAGGACTGCGAAAATATCATCAAGTATACAGTGTTGCAAGGCAAGGTGGTCAAGCCAGAGAGGCAACTACGGGGTGGATTTGATCGAGCGAAGCAGCTAGCCAGCTGGTGATAGACGTGGCACAATCGACAACGAAGCGTTCAACCCATATTTCTAATATTGACGAGGGTAATTCTTCCATGTGCCTCTCCAAACCATCAATTTTCCAAACGTTATAACTGCAGTAATGCCCGTGAAGACGTCTTCATTTCTTTTTGTCCAGTACCACCGATTCTGCACCAGCGCCTGCACTCGAGCTTCAGCGGTAGCACTCTCATCATTGTAAAGAGCCCACGGTTTTTTCCAAGAGTTCACGTCAGCTCCAAGATCTGACAAATCTTGATAATCAACCCCTTGCTTTGCCAGTAACGCCTTCATTCGTTTGCCTGCGTTCTGCGAAAGATCGGTAAGGCTTGCCAACCCATCATTGTGCTGCTTTGGAAACTCGAAAAGCAGCCACTCCTGATACTCTTGAAGGTCGAGATCCAATTGGCGCAGTTGGTCCTCGTTCAATGCTATCAGGTCAATCCAAGATGCGCCACCAACCTGTATGACGTCTTGTGGTGAGCTGGGTTCGGTGATCTCCCCCTCAATAGCTTTTCGAAGCCTTCTCATCGCAGCATTCTTCCTCTTGTCGTAGTCGCCCTCTGCGTACAACGTGTTTAGCTCCACATCGAAGATACCGATCAAACAATAAGCAGCATCTTCTGGAACTGTTGTAACGCGGTCCTGTGTCCAAGACATCCGCTCGTTCTGGCTAAAGCGCGAGAGTTCCACGCCTTCGAGAGCTGGACCGGGAATACGAGTAACGGTACTGATCGTAGATGCTAGTCCTTTCTTATCGCCTAGAAAGCGTTTTTCTTTCGAAAAAAAGAAGACGGAACTCGGCGCGATCAGTTCTTGAAGCGTCCAGCCACGCTTGAACCATCTGCTCTTTGAGAATGCACGTTCCCATTTGGATTCAGGATCTTCGGTGGATTCGTGGATGGATACATCGGAAAGATACACGTAGCATCTGGCAGCCCTCTGATACCAGTAAAACATAGATGCTAGCGATCGTTGCAATTCGGAGCTGTCCGACTTCTTGATGCAGCAAGTGTCTATCCAGAAGTAGACTAGACCGTCCTTCTCCACTTTCTCCTGACAAAAGCGGAGCTTTTCGTAACCCGGCTTGCTAGTATCGTCTTTGTCTCGTAGTCCATCTTGAATGTCTTCGAACTTCACCTCATCTTCGTCGCGGCCCCAGGTATGTGAAAGTATAGCGTAGAAGGGAATTAATGGTCCCGGAAAGTTTTCGAGAACCCATTTGGATTTTTCGAGATCCAATCGCAAAAGACGCATGATCGAAATTTCTTGAACAAAACTCTGGAATGAAGGGTTTCAGAGATGGGGATGTCTAGCATTATCTCAACACCTTAGATGACGGGATTCTAGAACGGCCCACGCATCACGCTCAAGCGGCCAGGCATCAGCTGATATATACAAGTTTCTGTGGGTAGATATCTGAAGCTGGAAATAAGCCATCGCTGGGTCTGGAGGGGGTGGCTTGGGGCTGCACTTCTGATTCGGTAGATGCAGCTACGTAGGCGGGTCCAGCCGCTCGCAATCGATATCACATGTATTGAATAGAAGAACCAATCATATACTTGCTTTCTTCGCCGCCAATCGGTGTGTCCAACTCCGCAAGAATGAATGATTTTGCGAGCTTGCAAAATCACGTACGACAGAAACGCTGCTCGAAATGGTGAAAGGCGAATAGTGATTGGACAAATAGGGGATCTTGTTGTTCAGCGAGTTCACATGTGAAATCGTGGTTGGCACGCTTATCTGTCGACTCGTTGTTCACTTGGATATATTCCAATACGCCGTTCAAGTACAAAGCACCCTTCTAGTTCTCTGAAAACTCTGCCAACACTGCGCTTTCAATAAGGCTCAATCAGACCACTCATAGAATACGAAGCCTGTCCTCCGGCCCAACACTTACGTCAGCACATTCGAAAGCACTTCAAGTCTTATCTACTGTAAAACACGAGCCGAACCGTGTCTTCTCTGATTCGTCCCGCCACTCAGGTGGTCACCTATAGCAAAAGGCCTACCACTACCTAGGTAGGTCACTAAGCACGCCACATTAGGACAACTCTGACGGGCCCTGACATGCTTGCTTCTATTTCCTTTGCCAAAGACGATAAATCTGCTTATAAGCAGTGCCGCGCTCTACAGGGAGAAAGCAAGTATTTTCTTTTCTTCAGGTTACTTTCGTATGCGCAGCGCTCTCATCCTTTTTGTCCGCAGACTTGCAAAGCAGGTTTAACACACAAATAAAAATGATGCGCTCGAAGGCGACAGCACGTCCCAAGAAGCGGTGTGGCGGACTCTCAGAGGCGACAGAAGTTACCACTATTTCCACCGCCAGGCTACTTAAATTCCTAGGCTGATTTCTGCAACCTGACTCGAAGGGTAAACAAAGGAATAACACGAGGATACTACCCACTTTGTAACATTCATGGTTGCACCCTCCTGCTATACGGGGAGCCTAATAAGGAGATAAAGAGGATAGAGAACATCAGATTGCTACGACGGCCATTGCCTTTAAGAAGGTTTAATTTAGATGAGCCCTGTTATTCCTCCTCACTAGTGCTAAATCGGCGAGGGCTACTACCCGATTTTGTCAACCCTTCTTCATTGCTACCCCAATTCAAACACTGTTCTTAACTGGCTTCGAATAGATCGACAACCTGTAAGGTGCTCCACACTTCACCTGCTTGTCACCTGCGCAAGGAACCTTACACTCAGACTCATCGACCTGTTTCGTTGGGTTTGCGAACTTGTCCCCACACATACAATGTTTGCCATTGTTTATACCAAAGTGCTTGTATGCCTGGCATTTAGTCTGGCATTTCTCTACCGTCATACCATTATCGGTCCATTCCGTAATAGCATTCAGCACATGGGGGATGGCGTCGGTGAAGCAACCCTGGTAATTGTAGGTGTTCTGGTAGGTACTAATCTGGTCAAGCAAAGCTTGTTGGCGATTGAGTTGCTTCTGCTGGTCTTCTGTGAGATCTTTGATTTGGTTCATCAAAAGGTCTTTGTCGGCCTGGCATGCGGAGTTGTTTTCGAGACCTGGGCTGCTGCTGCCGTTGGCGGTAGAGGAGAACGGATCGAGAGGTTGATCAAACTTGATGCCGTTGGTGCAAGTACAAGAGCAGGTGTCATGGGCTGTCGCTGGATCAACGCATGCAATCGAAGGCTTCACACCTAGAACATAACGTTAGTCGTGTTGGGTGAGACAATGATTCGGTCAGATTACCGTTGTCGCATTTGTACGAGCTCCCGGAAAGGTCAAGCGAGCCGAGGAGTTGTTGCGCACCGAAGCCATGCACTTGCGTGCACAGGGCGGAAACAAAAATAATGCCTACAGCTCTCATTGTGAGTGAATATGGGACGATGGAGTCAGAACAGGAGAAGGATGAAGATAGGGATGAGGAAAAGATTTAAATTTTCAAAACGTCTTCTATGCTTGTCCTTATATAGTGTCCATCTGATCTATGGTCTTGCATACACTGATGATGTTCACGAAAAAGCAAGTCTTTGTATTTGGTCCGTTAGGCACTATGGCGGCGCTTCGGCCCTTCCCGACCAGTTGGGACTAGTATATTACTTTCTTTTAGTGATGCATTTGCCGTTTTGAATGCAAACGCGCCAATCTTGCTATGTCTTCCTGGGTCTGCCGAGTTTCTTCACTGACAGCCTTCATGCTAGAACAGCTCGCTGTCGACCTGGGTACGCTATCATTACACGATCCGGATGGAGGAGATCCGAAATATCACTGGAGGGGTACGGTGTCTGTACACGCAACGATCGGAGTTAGTCGACGATCAGTGCATGATATCATACCCGATTCCAATGTAGCTCTATACTCTAGCTTCTCATTCACCTCCTGATTCCTTTTACACTAGTGCATCCAACTGGTAACCCATCAACTGAGATATGTAGAAGTCTGCCTGCTTGCGGGCAATGCATTTGGCCCAACAGTGGAGTCTTGCAACTTACTCTACATGTTTTGTGTAGCTTTTTTCTTCGGTCAATCATGCCACTATAGACGTTACTAAACCTGTACCCTAGCCCATCTATATTGTTAACTAGGCCTAACAGCATTAAACACGAACAAAATCAAATCCTCTTAGACTAGTCTGTCATAGACTCTTTATAACATGCAGAATTTGTTGATTGTGTGCGTCATGGATAATTCAGTGATTTCCTCTTGTAGACTTTGCTTTTCGACCTTTACGTAGTTCTAGGCCTAGAGGGTGAAGCAAATGCTCTAGAGCTAAGCAATATTTCTCTTTCCGCTGCACCACCACTCGAGAAACCTAGCACTACAGAGTTATCTAACAGGGCTTGTAGATCTGGAAGGCTCCAACTCCTTCACTCCAATGCTTGCAAGCGTCTGTGACCTTGACCCATCGAAGACCAATCTTGTGTTGCCCTAGAAAGCATCGATCGTTAGCTTGGGTTCAAATAACACGATTCTTTCTGAGATTGATTACCTTTAGAAAGCTTGAAATAGCCATGGCTTCCACCATGTTTCTCCATACATTCCTCTCCAACTTCCCCGCACCAGCTGTTATCAAGCGGGCCATCTCCAAATGTCTCTCCTGCAAGTTGGTCGTCGATATACACCTCAAAGTGCTGACATCTCTGCTGGGAATCAGCTACCAAGAAAACACTATCCTCAGGGATGTCGACAACGCCGGAGACGATCTCTGTAGGCTCCAACGTGTATTTCTTGTGAGGCAACACAAGTTTTGTCCAGGGTTGGATAATTTCCTCAGTACATGGTGTACCAACGATCTGACTTCCACTTGCCGTACCGGGAGTTGTAGGAACTGAGCCCAAGAGATCAGGACGGGTTTGGTTGTACACTGCCCCATCGCGACACGTACACGTGCACTCGTCATCGACTGGCACCGGTTCGGCGCATGTAAGTGAGGGAGCATATCCTAGGAGAATATGTTAGTGACTGTGATCATTCATCTGCCTAGAGCTGGGAGGCGTACCATTCTGGCATGTAAGCAGTGCATCTAGAGGCATGCTTGATAGGGAATGTGCGCTGCTAACGCGGCAGAACAAAAGACTCGTGAGGAAGACGAGGGATCGCATCGTGCTTGTTTCTGTAGACTGTGGATCGTGAACTTGAGGAAATCATGAACCAGGCCCGGACTGCTTTAAAGGGCAGAGCTTCTAGTTGTTAATTTGAAAGATTTCTCGGGTCCCCTCCATCCATTGAAAATCCGTTGTGTTGTCCATCATGTGCAGGATGAGCTGCTCTCACAGTGAGGCACGTACCGAGTAAGGTCACGCTGGGTCAGAAAAAGCACAGCGGAACGGCATTGGAGGATTGAGACTCAGTCATTGAACCAGAACCAGATATTCCAAGCTTAAACTATTACTAGTCTTTGTGGGGTTTCTCGGGATAGCCCGCACGTGTACAACGTAGTGGAACGGTCCGCTGCCAATGCAGTCGTGTCATTGGTCAGCTTGGGTGAATTGGAGCCAAAAAGCAATCTTGTGGACAGACGTTGAGATTGCCCATTGCCTGTTTTGGTATGTTTATGTGATCATCAACTCTCTAGCGAAAATTATCCTAATGCAGTCTTTGTCATTCATACAGGTTTCTGCTAGAGCTAGGAGCAGCTTGTGTGAGTAATAGAGTCGCTTCCTAGCTCTTCATGTTGAATGGTCCTTACCCAAGGAATATCCTTGTACGCTCACGCTGGGTCATTATACAATATAGGATTATGTATAAGTGATCAAGTATATGCTGATTATGAACATGGTTAATGGACGAAGGCAGCTCTTCGCAGAAGAAAGCGTCAGAAAGTGAGACTATGGAAAGGAAAATCTTCAGTAGAATTTAGAGTCGTCCCGGGCGTCAGTTCTCATGCCGGATGCATTGTTTACATATGGATGCGCGTTAGTCTGCCCGAATTAGCAAATTGCTTGTCGCATGAAGTGATGGAGTACGGGACCTAAGGACTGGAGAAAAGTCAACAGTATAAGAACCCAGCTTTGCAACACGTTTTCAGTGCCAACCTCGAACACTCAATCTACTCATCTTCCGCACCTTATAATACACACAATGAGAACTTCAAGCATCCTCATCCTCGGTTTGGCCACAAACGCCCTTGCCTTCAATCCACAACAAGTTCTCAGCGCGCTCGATCTCCCCGGGAGCTCTTACCAGTGCGACAACGGTACGTAGCTCAGAGCGGCTGTATCTCATAACATAGCTAATGTAATGCAGGCGCGAAGCCAGCAGTCGTTTGCAACGATGCATCGTCTGACAAACACAACTGCTCTTGTACTTGCACCAACGGCATCAAGTTTGACCAACCTCTCGACCCTTTCTCCTCTGCCACCAATGGAGGCAGCAGCCAAGTGGCCCACGATGCTGAGTGCAAGGCCGATAAAGATTTCTGTCTTGAGCGTGAGCAACAATTGATGACCAAGATCACGGAGCTCACAGACAGCGAGCAAAAGCACGTTGCACGCGAACAGGAATTACTGGACCAACTCAGTACCTACCAGAAGAAGACGACCACTTACCTGGGTTGTCTCGTCGACAGTAACAATCGAGTGCTGGGTGACAAGAGCTTCCTGAACCAAGCTGACTTGACCGTGGACAAATGCGAAACTTTATGCGCAGGATTCAAGTACTTTGGTGTTCAGTTTGGCAAAGAGTGCTACTGTGGAAACACGTTCAAGTACGCGACGCAACACAAGCCAGAGTCTGATTGTAGCCGTCCTTGCACGGGTGACGCGAACCAGAAATGCGGAGGTGGACATAGGAGCAACGTTTATGCGAAGATTAATTAGTTGGTATTGACGGAGATGGGGTGAAGTCTGGGAAGATGGAAACACTGGTGAGATGAGTCAGTCCTTACCGCGGTGGTTCGTTCAACAATAGTAATAATTAAAATCTCCCTGCTTTCTCGGAAGCCACGACCGTCGCGACCATGTAGTCACTCAGCTTCATAGCGATTCGTCTCAGCCTGGAAGTACAATATACGCTCCGGCAGGCCAGTACCGTGCACCCAGTATCGACTCTTCCTATATCGTTTGACAGTACATTGTAGTCTAAGCGCCGTCGGAAACCTTATGATCAGTAACGTAGAATGTTACAATCCATGCAACGTGCAATCTTTCCCATTTTTCTAGACTGTCTACGTGATTCAGAAAGGTTACATGGCCTTCAAGATGACTGGCTGTCCTCCATACACCTCACCATCTTGTCACCGCTCTCCGCGATCAGCACTCAGCTATCAACAGGCTATTACAATGGAGACAAATCAAGACCAGACCATCTCTCCCTTTTCCTCACTCTCCTCAATCTTCACCATGAAACGTCTTTCCACCATGAGGGAAAAACCTACTTCGTTACTGGCCCGAGCTTCTGCTGTCCGTTTGCACATCCGTCCATACCTATAACCACCAATCGAGCCATACCATCACAACAACAACAACAAGAACAACACGCCGAGGGCAACAGATTACAAATACCCACCTTCAACCATCACATCTACGAAATATAGCATAGGAAAGGTCAGTCATATACAGCTTTTCCCCATCCTCCTTTGCACGTTGCTGTTCTCTCTCCCACGATGAAGATCCCATTTCACACCCGGGTATTCCAATATTTAATTCTGGACTGCTAGTCTGCTCCTCAAGGCCAAAATGGCACCTCGAAGTCACGGAGGCCAACAGGATACCTCTCGTTGTGTAAGAGATGGTTCCCATCAACCCGGCGTGGGTGTCAGTGTCACACGCTCAACAGAAGGAAATCGCGGTGTCCTCAGCGCCAATACTGGTGCGGGTATCAACGCCAGATGCTCCACTACGACCATGTCTCGTGGTCGTGATGGTAGTACTCATGCTCAGCGACGCCAATGCACTACACAAGTCCATCGTGGTGCTGTCGGCCCCCGTTCTCAGAACGCGCGCGCTGGGAGACGTCAAGATCATGTTAGACCAAACGACGACGACTACTCCCGCCGTTCATTAGCCTCTGGCACTCCAACCGGTACCATCAACACCCCTACCAGCCTAGCTTCCAACGTCCGCTCTTCTACCATACTCCCCGTTCGTCGTGTCAACTCTTGCCCAGGCCATCTTTCAACTACCCTCCGTGGCCCAAGACTGACACGCATCTTCCCGGAATCTCAACGCCGTCTCGATTCTATGTCCCCCACCGGCCTCGAGTCCTCCTTCTCCATTCTCCAGAAGCCTATCCGCATGCTCAATACCCTCTCATCTATCTCTAACGCCACCACCGCCAACGCTAATAGCAGTGGGGCACCCGGCTCTATCGACTCCATCAATGGACAGGTATATGCGTAAGTCTTCCCCTCACCACCTTCCACCACCCTTCTCCCCCTTTTGCTTCTCATTCCAAACCCACAGAACTCGTCGTTGTATACTAAAGCAATCCTTCATCTAGCCCTCTTCCCGCCATGCTCCCCAAAACCCCCAAACCACGACGACGACAACCATTCTATCGCGGCAGAGATAAAGTAAAGCGTGCTGTCACGAACCCCAATCTCCGCGCTATCCTCGCCGATAAGTCGTATCCCAGGGAGCGGAGGAAGGCTGCTGGGGAGCGACCTGTGCTAAAGATGGGGATTAGCAAGGAGTATAAGTGAGTTGAGTCAAAATGCGACTCTTGTCTTTGCAATATACATGGCATCGCTGCCGGCTGCTTCGTATGGGATATAAGAACTTAGGGTGATGAGGTCTTGTCATGCTGCGGGGTTGTGAGGATTCGGAGGTGTGCGAGTGGATGATACCCTTTATTTTTCACCTTGACTAGGCTCCTTTAACGGGTAGGTGGATGAAGTACTGTCGGTAGCGGTATGTGGGATTGGTATCTGTAATTTTGACACGTACATCTGAAACGTATCTCGAAAACACAGTACGTGAGAACGTCTGCAGAACGTCAAGCCAGACACGTATGCTTGTGAAGTGAGCACCACATCGGCTCCAAGGTACACCGTACCACCTCTATCAACCAAGGAGATAGCATCCAACAGACACCGACACAACCAGAAAGGGGACATGAAGACCAAGTTTTCACGAAGGAAAAAAAATTTGACATTAAATCCCTTATATAACGCGGCCCTCCCTTCCAGCCACCCGTGGCAAAGAAAGAAGAAGTTGGCCTTCTCGAGAAAAAAAGAATCTACATCTCTCTCTCTCTCTCAACATCTTATGTACACAACAAACACCCTCTCGCTCAACCACCTCACGACCCCACAGCATTACTACTAACCGTCCTCTTCCACCCACCCCACCCCCACCCGCCTCCATTCCCACTTGCCGGCTCCTTGGGAACAGGACTCGGCGTAACAGCCGGAGTCTGCGTAGGCGTAGCAAAAGGCGAACCACTCATTGGACTAGCAGCATTACTACTACCACTGCCACCACCACCCTGCGACATGACTCTCTTCATGCCCTCAAATCTCGATCGTAATTCTTCCAACTCCTGTCTCGCAACCGCCTCCGCCGTCTTTGCATTCACCAGCTCAAGCAGCAACGCCTCGTTATCCGCCGGACTATTATTCTCCGTCGCGCTCAAAACACTCTGCGTAGCCAGACTACTCGAGCGCTTGGCAAACGTCTGATGCGGAGGAGGTGCAGAGTATTGTTGGTGGCGTTCGGATTTCTGACTATTCGTTCGTCCAAGGCGCAACTCTCGCAGGCCATTCGTCGTCGTTGTGGACATGGAATCAGAGGTTGTGGAGCGAGATAGCGTGGGTGGCGTGTCTGGCGCATTATTACCGTGGTCCGCTGATGTCCAACTCGCTGCCGCACTCGCCTTGCGTGCATTCTGTCGTAGTTCCTGGACGTTCTTCTCGAGCCGCTGGTTCTGGTTGTAGGAATCTGCTAATCTGTGTCGTGTATCTCGTAGCGCGTCACGCGCAATTTGCAGTTCGGCATCGCGGTCTGATAAGTCACGGGCGAGCGCGTTGGCGCGCAGTGTTTCGTTGGCGAGCTGTTCTTTCGTGCGTGTTAAAGAGTCTCGCAAAAGGGCTTTTGTTTCGAACATGGACGAGGCGCGGTGGTGGGCTTGGTGGTGAGGGAAGCGGGTTTCTAGTGTTTCTACTATTTCCACAGCTTCTTCCGATAGTTCGGGAGTATCTCCAGGCGGGGTGAGATTGGGTGGAGATGTGATTGTTGTTCGTCGGCGCGACGCGCGGGTTGATGGCGCGGCGAGTGTTGTAGTCTTCTTTCGGACTTTGTCGACAACGGTTCGGACTATCCTGTGGTCCTCTTTGCGGTCTTCGCGCTGCTTTTGCAATGCCGTTTCGAGTTCGCTGTTTTGGCGTTGGAGTTGGCTCACGGACATGAGCAGTTGCTCAATCTGATAATGCAGGTCCCGATCTTTGGCTGAAGCGCCCATGGCCATGGACCCGTGTCCCGACTTCATCGACAGCGCATCTCCATTCGAGGCGCGCGAAATATCCGTCATGGCTGTACTTTGTGTCGCAGCCGAAGCGTCAGATTCGGCAGTTGAGTTGAGTGTTGAGGCAAGACTCTGTTTGGACGCGGAGCGCCTGAGGAAGCTAACCGGTCGTGAAGGCGCGGAGAGACCCGGGCTGAGTGAAACCGACTTGGTCGAAGAGTTGGACGGACCCCACAAGCGTCCCAGGAACGACGTGGCAGATTTCTGGACTTGCTGCTTGGACGAATCCTTCTCCTGAGCTTCCTTGTACTGTTGCTCCAACCCTTGCAACCGCTCGCGCGTCACGTCATTTGTGAAACCGACGAAATCTCCGACCAACTCATCCGCCGACCCCGCGTTCCGCCCATATGGGTCCCAGAGTTGCCGCCCCAAAAGCAATTGCATCACGTCTTCGAATTCTGTGAGGGACAGCAGCTTTTGTTCGTTGCGCTTCATTAATGCGAGCGCGACGCGCATGATGGTCTCAGATGCGCCCTCGGCGAACAGCACGTCGTAGATGCGGAACAACATGGGCAATGGGCATGTGACTGCGAAGAAAGACAGGAACCATTGCGACAGGTAGGCGGACTGCACGTCTAGCTCATCAAGATGCTGGGCTAGTTGTGGCATATGGGAACGAAGCAAGTTCTGGAACTGGAAAATGCGGAGGTGGAGGCCAGACAGGTCTGGCAGAAAACAAGAGCGCAGATCGTAGTCTTCCATAAGTCTAGGTCGGTTAGCTGACGTCGCTGTATGCAGGGCAATGCAACCTACCTCACAAGCACGCAAAAGGCCTCCTTGTCGCCCATCTGCATAAGCAGGGGGCCGACAAGGAAACCGAGACCCTGACAGTAGCCAATCTTGTGGTCGTACAGACTGAAGCATTTGAGCACGCGACCGAGCATCTTTTGCCCCTCGCCTTCAGGGTCCTTGAACATCTCAACGCCTGGGAAACTCCTGCCCAGGTCCTTGTTGATGATGTTCTCGTACGGGCTCGACTCTCCGCATAAGGCGTCATACTGGTCCTCGATGAGCTTTTCGCGCGAACCAGCTGCACTCTGCCAGACAACGCCCCGCAGTGGCGCTGGAATACCCCCTCGAATCTTGTTCAGCGAGAGGGTGGGCAGTCGCTGGACGGTTTGTGGGTAGTCGCGCACGAGGGCAGCCCAGAACTCGAGTTCGGTCATGGGCGGTGGCGAAGGCAGCTGTGAGAAGCGCATGTTGGAGGTGTCGTCGGCCACGAGGCGCTTGAGCTGGTTGAAGGAGGGCGGCCGGGACTGGCTGCGGGCGCGGGCGACCTTCATGTTGGATTTGGAGTTTGATAGTATGGCGTCGTTCTCCTGCTCCAGTCGTGCGAGCAGCAGGGCCATGGCCTAGATATGTTAGCAGATGGCGCGAGGCATAGGGGTGTGGTGCCTGCATACCTCCTCCTCGCCCTCTGGCTCCTGTTCTTCTTTTTTCTCTAGCTCGGCCCAGTCGACCTCCTCGCTTTTTCCCGAGCCATTGCTAGTGCGTCGTCCCCTGGACTCTCCCGCGGCCTTTGGTGATACTGGCGCATCGGTGTCACGGACGGAGATGGTAGGGCTGGTTGGGGCGGGTGTCTCGATGCTGGCTTGGCTGGCACGTCGCCCAAAGGCATTGCGGATTTCTGTTGAGTTTGTTCGTGACGACGCTCTCCGCTCCTCGACTATAATTTCTGGCCGCATCGCCGATTGCCTCGCGCTTTCCTCTTCCTCTGGGCTTGTTCCGTCTGTTTCTGAGAGCGGGACCGTGACCATCGAGTCGGTCGGCAGTGGCGAGCTGTCGACGTGTGTTCGCGGCTGGCGCTCCTCCTTGACCTCCATGGTGATGCTGCCGCTGGACATGTTCTGTCTTGACTGCAGCTTGGTGACAATGTCTCGACAGGAATTCGATGACGGAGCGGAAATTTGCGTCCCCGCCGTAGAGCACGACAGAAGGCTTCCTCTGCTCGGGCGCTCGGTTCCGACGCTTGAGGTGCTGGTGTAGAGCGTGTTTCACTCGGGTGGAAATTAGTCTCTGGCGCCGGACTTGAATCTGAATCGTGCACGCTGTGACTGTCGAGGTATTACTCTCCAGGCTGCATTCATGCAAAAGCAACAGAGTCAACAACAGCGCAGACAGGACAAGACAGCACGCGCGAAAAGAGAGCGACGAGCACGCAAAAGAGGGAACGATTTCCTTGCTCACGGCCTCGAAAGGAGGAGCATCAAGGAGGCCCTGGACTAGGCCCGCATGTCCGCTAGCTCTATCCGTCAGGGTCCACATTCGCCATTCCAACTTAATTAAGACAGGGCCAGCTGCTGCCCCTGGCCCCGCATCCTACCTACTCACCGTCAACCACCTCCGCCTTTCCTATGGATCGAGCTCTTCATGCGACTGATTGCGCCAGGACCGCGCTGATGTCACCGTCCCTCCACTGGCGAGACCTCTGCCTCCTCATGCGCCCTCGTATGCACACCACCGACGCGCGACGCGAGCACGGCAGTCGCGCTAAATTTCGGCCCGTCAACCAATCACCGCCGCCGACTCCGCCGCCCATGCTGCCTCCCACAGCAGTCCGTCCGCATCGAGCCAGCATGCACTTCGCGTGCCCTCTTCAGTCGGCGCAGCTCCTACGTCCTGCCTTGGCATCGCTTAACCGGGGCGGGTTGTCATAGTACCTCAACGACTCCAGGGATTACCAAAGACTACCCGACTGCCCCTGCAGACCGCCTCTTCTACAAGGCTTGCGGCACAGTTGCTCCACATGAACCGCCCATCTTTTCCCTGCTTCGCACTGATCACGATGTTCGCGTCTAGTCTAGATTTTGGTGTTTGGCGATCTGTGACTTTCTCGCACGCGCTATCTGCCGTTATCTTACTCCGGACTGCTACCGTAGCCGACAGCCTTGTTCAAGATTTTCTCTACAGCAAGAGTATCCCATTCAGAAACTATACCGTGGCTACAAAGCACTTTCAGATTGCATGTAGCGTGACAAGGTAATGTATACACAAGGTGCAAAGTGCACACCTATACCTAGGACGCTTGACTCAATCCATCGCGCATGAGCTCTCTTGGAGGTATGCTCAAGCTCAAGACCAAGCGACAGTATCTCTACAGCTATTCAAGAGACGGAAGACGGAAGCAATCAGTGACCGCTTGTCCTCTGTATGAACATCCGCTGTTCTCAGCTACTACCCAGAACAATGCCTCGAACGACACCACTACGATGCCTCCAACACGAAATTTCGTCGACGGCAACCCTTCTAGAGAGGGTTGGGTGCTGGATGAAGATGGCAGTCGCATGCTACGTGTCTCCGCTGTTCTAGAGGTACGATGGTGGGATCGTATTGGACACCTATATCAACGTGATCGAGAAAACACTCTTATTAGCTTCAAATGATGGTACGACAGAGGAAAAGACGATGCAACTCATATCAATGAAGTGGTTGGAGACGAGAAAGCCAGCCCTCAAGATCATGTTGTGGGCTGCAGACGCGTGACGTCACTGTCGACGCGTCAAACTCCATATTGCTGCGCGAACACTGTCAAGCAGTTTTCAACACTATAAGCATGTAGAACTTGCCTTTAGGTCTACTAAGCGTTCAGATTGATCTCGCCTGAGCGTCTTTCGTCATTGCGTCTCGCGATAGCTAGCAGGCGTGTGTTCTCGCTCACGGTGCAGTACGGTCCACAGATTCGCCGTAGCGGTTTGTTCTCCAGAGACACGCGAAACTTTTACATGGTCGACAGTTCATATACACATATGCGATAAGTCGCCATATTCAAAACGCTACATGCAACGGAGATGCTGGGTATACGCGTGCATCATATCATGAGATGACTTCGTCCTTTGACGTAGAAGCTGGCACTCCCTCTCTGCATAGCAGTACGTTAGAGTCGCCTGGGCGTACAAACTCGATAGTTCCAAACGTGAGTCGCTGGTCTAACGGGATGGTCACGGGTCAGATACGCAAATAAAGAGCGTGGGTGCATGTCTTGCGCAAACGACAGCCAGAGAAGGTCCATGATGCAACACCTGGGCACGCGATGGTCATTGTGTGCCATTATTTGTGCCTGCAAGCAAATGCGGTAGGTCTCTAACAAGTATAATATCTGGCATTTCCAACTGAATGGCCAACGAAACTATCATAACTCGGCAGTTTCATGGCTTCAGACGACCAAGGTAAGCACGCAAGAGATCTCCACACCGACCTGATAGGCTCCTTCGGCGATTATCCGCCCTGGAGTGAATCCGACATCGCCGAAATGCTCCAACAGGGTGTAGACCCCGACCACATTGAGACCGAATGGGCTCATGTGGTGAGGGTATACAATGACTTGATAGGCGGAGCCGGATCGGTCCTGTCACGCTTATCCGATCTGGGTATCGATCGTCCTAACGTGGATGAACAGACTGTTGCAGGGTGGATAACGAACGGATTGTCGGAAGAAATGATCCGCCTGGAGTACATTCGGTCTGTACCTGAGCCGAATATCGATGATGCAGCAATGATATTGGAACAGTTAAGTTTTCAAACCAGATCCAACCTGGCTTTACCCTTATCCAAAGAAGATATCTTGGTAATGTTGACAAATGGGTACTCAGGCGAGCGAATCGCTCAAGAGTATGCGGCTGGTCAGTATAACACGAATCTGTTTAGCCTGACAGAAGACTTCGAACAAGATGATGGAGACGAGTTAGAGCGCTCGTGGATCGAACTCCATTACGGCCTTTTGTACGCTACTACCCATCTGCCTTCCATGCCTGTTGTCTTACGGAACATGCATCGTTCTCAAGACCAGTACAACACGTACTTTGCACCCGCACCAGATATCGATCCAAGTGTGTTCAGCGCTTGTACTATAAGATTGGCTACGACCACGGTAATGAAGCTGGACAAGATACTCAATCAACGCATCAAGAAAGGCGGTCATCCGAAGGTTCTGAATACGATGTTTACATCAGATGACCTGACGGCCTTTCGAGCAATCCGTTGGAGCATAAAAGGCGATGACGTAGACGTGGAGAATCATAGCCAAGTTTGGCAATTTCTCATGGGTCTGGCGGCAAAACTGCATCCTCATTTAGCTGACTCGCAAGAAGAAGCAGCATCGGTGGCGGTGCAGCCTACCAAGACAGCGAAGAGGAGGAAGTTTGATCTGAAGAAATGGACGGACGCCGAACGTCATGCTCTCTGGCGCTGCATCAACGCATGGTGCAAGAAATACGGCGTAGACAAATTTGAGGCGAAGAACCTCGATACCGATACACTGCAGAACTTCGCAAACAGCATCAATGCAATGCGCGCAGGCCGAGGCGAGGGATTAGATCGTACCCCGGAGACAGTCCAAGGTCAGGTGAGAGACGCAATTCGAAGGGACGTTTCTCTAGCAAATAGGCCGATCTTTGACTTGGGGGAGCGTGCGAAGAAAATGGCCGAGGATATCAGAAACAACAGAGTCATTCCGGACAGTGTTAGATATCCAGACGAGGCGATCGATATGTCAGGTATTCCGTAACTTATCGACATTGAGGGTGACGGGAACTATGAGGGCTAGCATGAAGTAGATGACTGTAGTGGGAGGCGGTGTGGCTATGCTCTGGGGACCTGTAGCTGTGGGTAGATAGAAGAAGGATACAATTGACTGTGAAGAAGCTATGGGGTATCCTCCGGACTGACACTGAATTCTAAGTACCATCCAGAAAGCTAACCGGAAAAACCCAGGAACTACTAGCTTCAGACATACCGAACCATTTCGCCTTTCTTGACCTTTGTCTAGTTACTTTCGAGTCAGTACGACCAGTACTGTGATCTTCAATCAAAGTTCATATCAAACTGATCATCGTCTTCATCACCAACGTCGCCATCATAGACCGCAGCTCCAGCATCGCGTTCTGCAGTGCGCGCATCCATTACAGCTTTCAACAGAGGCCTCAGCTTGCGAAGCTGGCTTTTTGCTCTTCGTCATCTCTACTTATATCCTTCTTATCTTGAGTGGTGAGCTTTGGTCGCTTGCTGAGTCTGGGTGGAGAAGGAGGCGGATCGTCGTCATGAAAGTTGCCATCGGTGGTCTGCATCGCTAGATCGACATCCTGGTCGGAGTCGCCGTCGAGGTTGAAGTTACTAGAGTCGCTCATCAATTTATCAAGAGAATCGGACGCATCAGATTCACGCTTCCGCTTCTGATAGTGATCGATATTGGGTTGCTTGAGGATGGAAGACTTCCTAGGCTGTGATTTGGGCAGGAAGCTAGCGATATCGATAGCTTCATCCGGGTAACGCTCGTCGTCCGGAACGATTTCGCCAGCGTCAACACGTGTAGCAATTCTCTGGCCTTCAGCGTAAAGCAAACCCAGAGGCTCGTTTGGCTTGTCGGTCATCTGCCTCTTCGCCCAAGCACAAACCGACTCTGCCGTGCGCACACGGCCAGCCTTGTTCACGGCAGCCATGAGACTGTGCTTCTCGCCATCCCATATCCGAGGAACAAACTTGTCGATACCATTCTCCATGACCCAGTTGTTTGAGAAATGGTACACCAAGACACGCTCTTCATCATCCCATTGATCGTGGACTTTTGTCGATTCTCCGGTCGCACGGCTGCGCCACTGAGATATCTTCTTCCGATATCGGTTCACCCAAGTCTCGTCGTTGAGATTGATCTGGTCCAAGACATCAATGTCAACGACATGGTCGTGGATGTATGCGTTCGTTGCCTTGTCGAAGACCATAAACTTGAAAATGGTCGACCAACTCAGATTCCCGCGCGTCCAGACTTTGCCAACACCATCAGGATTCGCCCAGGTCTTGTCTTTTTGCTTGGCGGGAATTGTGACGAAGGCAGGGTCGGGGATCAGATACTTCGGACGCGTCTTGTTGCGCCACATCTTCGCAAGTTGTTCGTGGCTATACTTGATTGCGATCTCAGGAATAGCGTCCAACTGTGAAAAGACTTTCCCGAGTGGAGTGACGATACAGTGATAAACTCGGATCTGATCACGATTGTCCATCACGCGCATGAACTCCTCGGCTTCCCGGCGAGGCGTCTGGTTGAAGACCGGCTCGGGTCGCGTGTGCTGCCAATTTGTAAAGTCGTACTGATGGTCATAGATGGTTTTGAAAAGCTGTATTAGCTTGCCATACTTCACCGCGTCCGTCCAAGGATCGAAATCAGGGTTCATGCTCATATCCTTCTTCCTCATCTTCTCAATCAGCTTTCCGTACATGGTCACCAGGTTTGGTGTTAGAAAGAGCTCATAGAAAGATCGGTGCTCGGAATTTTTTTCGCCATTGACACGATTCTTTGGCTCCGTGTTCAGGTTGACTTGCGACTGTTTCTCGATCGCAACGATCAGGTTGGGGACGAGTTCGTTGCATAACTTTTCATAACGCGAAAGTCGTTCAGCACCCTGACTTCTGGCAGACCAGTGTATCGCGACACCGTCTTCAGTGACATCTCCAGCTAGGAATGCATCTAGCTGTCGAACTTGAGCTTCCATGTTCAGGTCGACGACTGGCCGTGAAGCGTCTCTCGTGAGGGCCAGAAGAGTAGAGTAGGTCAGGAGGATATGTAACTTCTCCAGATCTGAGGGAGTGCTCGATGAGCCCGGCGGCGCAATGGTCATCTTACCGTCGTTTTTGGGATTTGGTGCAGCGTCTCCTGCAGATGCGCGCTCCTCGACCGGATCATCGTGGTTGGCAGTACGTGTAGTCGGTTTTCCTGAACAGTGATATGTCAGGAGCGTCCAAAGAACTTTTAGTCATCTGCAAGAGCACTATACTTACCATTTTCCACAGTGGTATCGGCATTGTCGTCAGTCGCAGGGTTGATCATTCCAATTGGCTTGTCTTCGTCGCGCGCCATCTTGCAGTTGCGATTTGCGTTTCAGAAGTTGTCCAGAAACTACAAAAATACGACTGGAGTATTGGACCCTTGTGTTTGATTTCTGTGGTGACAGCTATTGTTGTGGCAGCGTTTGCGCCAAAAAGCTTGGCATTCGAGAGTGAAGGAGCTACTTGGACAGCAAATGAGCAAAGTCACGATGGTAGCATGACGCTATAGGAAAACGTTCATCCTGCTCACAATTAAGAAGCGCAATGCCCTAGCATATCACCGTTGAAAACAAGGGGAAATGATGGTAAGAGGTAATAATACGATTGAAGGAAGAAATTAAACAAGACGAAGAGAAATCAACAATAAGAAAGGGGAACACTTCGTGATTCTCTCGTTTGTCGCTCTCAACTGCGTCCATATTATTCCTTGATACCTTAGTAGAACGGTTGCTGGTTTCATTGTCGGCAAGTTTGGTGATCATTGAACCCCTAATGCGCAGTCTTATCTTGTCACGCTTGTTTGCGAGGCGTCGAACAGCGGGTTTGTCGTTCAATAGATTACGTCTCGTACTTCGTGAGTATCCAATGCGACTTTCAATTTGGAGCGCTGACTGGATACCATGATCACAAACCACGGTCCGTAGAAACTGTTTCGAAAGCGGAGAGCTTTGTGCGATGTGCTGGCTCGTCTTGCGCGCCTCCATAACCGACGACTCGGAAGCTGAGCAGACGTGGTCTATCATGATGACAACGAGCTATGCGCGTACAGACGAGGTTTCTTCCTGAAGGCCTTGTAACGCTGGATGTTGGCTGGCAGTCTTGAAGTTCGCCGTCGAAAGACACTCTCGCTCGCCATGAACTGCTGACTCATCTAGCGTGCCTCGGAATGGGGCCGCTTTCCCGCTACTCCTTTTCATCTCTAACCCGTCTCGTTTCCATCATGCGTAAACAGCGTACGATTCATCGGCATCCAAACGACGGGACTGCAAAGCACACAGGAAACTTCCATGAGGTATCCTCTGGAGTCAGGTGAACAGCTAGATCATTGGGAGCTTCGCTGTTCATGCCGAATTCGCGCCGAAATCTGCCGCAAGCCGGACAAGATCTCGGGACCGCCCGCGCAGTGGATTCTTCCGTTGCGATCATCAATAAGCACGACATTCGATAACTCAGTTGAAAGCCTCTTTTCGATTTGGTCTCCTGAGAGTATCGTCTGCTGAGCTAACACCATTCGGCCTGAGATACACCGCTGGCTGGAGCATCTCGGAGTGACTTATGACTCTGGAGAGCGCTCTCAGTGGTCTGCCATCTCAGATCCTTGAACATGTGCCATTGCCCAGACTATTCGTTATCTGTCACCATGCTTGCGAAAACTTTGCCACTTTACAGTCGTCTTGAACCTGCCTTTTCTGTTCTCGAGGTCAATGGCATTGGTTTCACAAGGCCCGACTCTGCGGAATGAAATCCAAGATAGGGTCTATCCACAAAATACGACGCCGTTTTTCGTGTTTCATCGCTTCGCGCCCGGTAGCTGCACTCGAAATGGAAACCGCTAGCCGGCAGAACAGGGATAGCTTCCTTCCGGCATATTGCTTTCACAACCTCCCCTGGCTTTGCCGCCTTGGCTATCCATGACTCGGGAGATTTTCATCAACTACCCCTAACATATCATCTCTTATACGAATCGAACTGCGGACCCTAAACCCAAAGAGGCAGAAGTCAAGAAAGGACAAGAGATGCTTGGATTAGTGATTCCTCGTACCATAGTGTGCGCGATGGATTTGGTGCAAGGCAAAAAGTGCATATAGTCCGTTGGTGGTTGGCAGATCTGCTCCAACTTACGCTCGTTTCATCCCCAATTGCGATGCAGTTCCTCACTCGTATCGCTGCGCTCGCCGCTGTCGCAGCTCCGTTTGTCGCCAATGCTGCTCCCGTCGACACCCCTCGTGCGAACGAGATCATCCCCGGCAAATACATCGTCCAGTTGAAGCCTGACACGGATGTTGCGTCAATTGCTGCCCACCACAACAAAGTGCGCAGCATACATGCTCGCAACCTGGCTCGACGAGGTGATGATGGCGCGGGTGGCGCTCCGGTGGAGCGCGAGTATGGATTTGGCAACTTCAAAGGCTATGCTGGTTCATTTGACGATGCAACCGTCGAAGAACTGAAGGCTTTGCCCGAGGTTAGTCACGCGGCATTACTAACAGATATGCCAAAGCAACTCTGACATCTTGTATAGGTCCTCACCATTGAACCAGACTTCGTCATGAGGATAAGTGAGTTTGTAACTCAACCAAATGCGCCGTTAGGTCTAGCCGGTATCTCGTCTCGTACACCAGAACCCACTGACTATGTCTACGACGAAAGTGCGGGTGACGGCACTTTCTCCTACGTAATGGGTAAGTGGCAAGACAGTGCCGTGTTCGGTGTGGTATTGACAGCTTCATCTAGATACTGGCGTCCGTATCACTCACGTGGATTTCGAGGGACGAGCGATTCATGGGTTCAATGCTGTTGCAGGCAGTCCTGATACTGATGAAGAGGGCCACGGAACGTAAGTCACTCACTTACCAGAAGTTGGGTCCAGGCTAACACATCCTAGGCATGTAGCTGGAACCGTTGGAGGTGCAAAATACGGTGTCGCTAAGAAAACTAACATCATCGACGTCAAGGTCCTTGGTAGCGCGCAGGGGAGCGCGTCGGATGTTTTCGCTGGCTTTGATTGGGCGATTAATGATATCGTGTCCAAGGGTCGACAAAACACTGCCGTCATTAACATCTCACTCGGCTCTTCCGCTTCAACACTATGGGACGCTGCCATCACCGCAGCCTGGGAGAAAGGTGTCCTTGCCGTCAACGCAGCAAGAAACGAGAACAGTCCAGCCGAAAACTCCTCCCCATGCCGTTCTCCCGAAGTTATCTGCGTCGGAAACGCAGAGATTGATTTCAGCCGGCACTCTGGTCCTGGAGGCTCCAACTACGGCCCCGAGGTCGATATCTTCGCTGTGGGAACAAACATCGTCTCTGCATCTTGGCGCAGCGATACAGCGGAATGGAGCACAACGGGTACCTCCATGGCCTCCCCGGCTGTAGCCGGCCTAGTCTCGTACCTCCGTGCTCTCGAGGGGCCAAGCACTGCTGCTGAGGTCAAGGCGAGGGTATATGAGTTGGCCACGCCAGGTGTCGTGACTGATACCCTAGGTTCGGTGAACCTGATGGCTTTCAACGGCAACCCTAGTGCACGCATCGCTAGCAGCCCGAGCAATGCTACAAATGCCACCGTCGAGGCACGTGGAGCTTGGAAGCTATGGTAGACGACAACAAGATTAGAAGTTAATCGAGCAAAATGAATCGATTGTTTTCTCTTAAGCCTAGCCAACGATTGTACGATACATTGAACTCATATAGTGAATGTGATCTTCCTAACATCTCTGTCAACTTGCTCCTGATGTACAAACACGATAATGAGTTACAGCTGATTTGGAGTCTGTTATCGAAGAACAAATCGTGTTTATGTTGGGATTGCTTGCAGCATAGGGTTAAATGATATACTACTCTCGTTATCCATATGCTGGAGAGATCTGACTTCCTTTCAGACTCGCGCAATCGAGCAATACTCGCATCGGGACTGGCGACTGCGGAGTAGACGTTGCGGAGGGTGTTAGCGCCGGTCGAGTCGGCCGTCATCGCGGTCAAACGCCGGAGCTGATTTTCCCCGCCGGGTCGGCTATTGAATTAGCTGGGTTAGTACCAAGACGACATTGATATAAACGCTTTCCTTCATGGATGTATCGGAGATCTGAACAAGCCGGTCATAACAGTTCCAACCCGTTCGCGGTCACATATTCATTCAATTCATGTGTTCAATTCATTGCAGGACCGCAGATTATACTTTCTAAATCACGAAGACGAGAGGTGGCGTACGTCTCTGAGACTACATTGAACGATGCGTATCGAAAGATATCCGTTGTCGCCCCCGGGCCTTGAAGAGCTCGCCAAGGTTCTCGAAGCGCCTTTGGCTGCCAACTATGAGCATATAGCCATCAGCGTCGTTGAGTGCCCCGATCTTCGCGCAGCACCATTCAACCTAGCAACAGCTGGTCTGTCGGGTAACGAGAAGATCTCAGACGTTGGAGGTCAGCCAAATCTTTTCCCCAGCCCTCGACTCGACACTACATGGAGCATGAAGGATCTTGCCCAGGCGATGGAGATGGATCTTGACAAGGGTAGCATCATTGGTGCTGGAGCTGGACCTTTCCATCAGGTCGGTCAAAACTGCGAGCTCGTCCCTAACTTCAGTTGGGGCCAAGGTTTTGGCGATGTTGACAACAAAACACACCTCGCACAGATCGACAAAGACACGGGAGCGCCCAGAGTGGAGAAGAGTCCTACCTTGGACTGCGCATTAATGGTCAACCTCTTTGGCTCCGAAGGTAAGACTGGGCCGGTACTCAAGATCACTGCTCGTAAACGAAAAGGGCCAGAAATCAGTTTTACACAGTGTATACGGAAGGGTCTCATAGCAGCCTATGGTGACAATCGGACGGTCAGTCTAGGTGGAGCATTTATCGTAAAGTCAGGACGCACATACTGCCATATTATGCCGGACTTCCCCTCGGCAGCGGAGCTACCATTCAAGGATGCTAAGCAACTCAACGACTGGCTGACATACCACGACTTCGATAGTCCCATGGTGTGTTTGTCGGTCCTGCATTCAGCAGATCCAGAACAAGCAATGGGTTTACGACTTGAGCATACACACTGCTTCTCTCCACAGGGCAACAACTCCGGAGGTCACTATCACAACGACGTTGAAGGATCGCAATGGGAGATCGAATACGAAGGTTATTTCAACACGGCAAAGATGATATATAGAGTGGAAAGGCCTTCAGCGACCCTAGCACGAGATCTGCACGGCTAGAAAATTGGCTCATTCTTGTTCAGTTGCTGCACTTCACACGTCTGTCTTCCCCGCATTTGGAGTCGGTTACCAGGACCATGGAACTTAGCCACGAGGCAGAAGAGCATGTTACCCATAGCCACACGCTCAATGATGAATGATTAGTTCTTTATTTGATCCGACTTTACGTCGCCTGGCTTCTCAGTCTAATCAACACAGGCATGCATAAAACTACATACAGCGACTATTACACTCAAGAACCATGGTTCGCAACGCCCAGTCGTGCCCGCCTAGCTCCAGATCCGCCAAACCACATACACACACAGATTGTGCCAAAATAGTGGCTCTTACTAGAAGCCAAAGGCATCCAACAAACTGTTCGCATCAGGCTCGTGGAACTGCGTCGGTGGCGGTTTCTTCTTCTCCTTGTCCTTGTCTTTTCTCTTCTCACCCTCGTCCGTCTCATCATCCTGATTTCCCTCTCCGTTGTCTTCATCGTCATCCCCACTTTCCCTACCCTCTTCCAACGTCCCCTTACTCTCCGCAAGCTCATTATGCACATGCTCGCGCACGGGAAGGTCAGCAACGACAAGCGAGCTCCTCCTGCGCAACAACTTCCTAGGATCAAAGTCAAAGTCGGTCGTCGCATCCCTTCCTCCCGTTCCTCCCCCTTGCGCTGATAAGAAACTCTGTCTTGGCATCTCGGGACTAAGCGGCGGACGTCCAGGTCCTACATTTGTCGGTGGCGGCGGCAACAAGAACTCCCATCCTCTGACTAGATCGAGCGCCAGGACGTCGCAACCCATACGATCGTACAGTCCGGCCGTATGCAGCACGAAATCCCATTCCTCGCGCATACCGATCATGGTGGCGCCGCGAAGTGTCTGCAGCGACTTTTCGCGCAACTGCTTGTACAAGACCACCAACGCCGGGTCGTCAGTAAGATAAGACTTCGCTGCCGAACTAGGTGGCTCCGAGGTTTCGAGGAGAGTAGACAAGGGTGTGACGAGGGAACGAACTGCCATGTCTTTCTTGTTCAACAGCCAATATGCCCACGTTGCTAGCCATCTGTTTCCTTGCCTAGCAGCTTGTGGTAGAATCTTGTCTTTCAGAAATGTTAGCAGGACGGGTGAGTCGTCACCGCCGTAGACGCGGGCAACGGCTATGGCGAGTTGTGTGTCACCAAGCTGATTATGCAAGACACTGACGGCATCTTGGAGATGGTCAGCGAGAAGGAAGAAGGACGCTGCATATTCGAATCTTCTTCTACCCATAAGTGCGTACGCGTTCTTCAGCGCAGCAGTCTTCCACCTCTCTTCAGAGAAGTTATTGGAAAGGAGGCGGTGGGTTGCGCCTTGTTCACGCGACCAAGTAGCCATGCGCCAAAGACCGACGAGGACTGTCTTTTTCCGGAGAGCCATATAGTAAAGGGCGCAGTCGACAGGGTTCTTCTCTTCGGTTTTGGTGTATTCGTTTCGAGCGATGACTTCGAATTGAGCGCGCTGGGGACGTGGTTAGTGAATATATCAGGATATAGTGTCACGTTACTGTACCAATGCGTTGGTGTCGGACATCCACATAAACACTCCGCATTCCTTTGCGTGCTGCCACATCATCTTGCCGCTGAAATGTCTACTGACAAGGTCAACGAGGATATCCTGGCTTCCTGAGTGGAACGCCCAGATGATCTCGCGCCACGATATAGGGCCTTTGTGCGTTTCGCTCAGCACATGTTGACGAAAGAACAACAAGAAGCGCCCAGCATTATCGTCGATCGATCGGCGATGCTTCTCAACCATACCAATACACTCGATAACATCGGCTAGTCGAAACTGTTCGCGACTGGACAAGAGCGGTATCCGCTTGGTAGTCAAGAGTTCTTTGAGATTGGACGCGACTTCTTCGGTGACAGCTTCGGGTTCGCTATCATCCGAGAAGTCGGCGTACGACGTGTGTATCTCTTTCCGCGATGCAGTCATTTGAGTCTATTGGGGTTAGTCGCATCCTGCTAGAGTCATCCATGCACGTACCTCAGCTTCTGAGAAGTCTTCAGGTGAGAATCCCAACGAGCTATCCAGCTCCTCACCTTCGATCCAGAACTTAAGTGTAGCATAGAGGCGAATCAGGATGCGTTGCACTAATAGCAGCTTGCCAGCCAATACGCATTGTGAGAGTAACTGGGGATGGTACGCGGGAAGGGGACCGTTGAGTCGACTAACGGCATCGAAAATGTCAATAGATGCAGTCTTGCGAGAGATGGTACGCAAGCTTGGGAACAGCCCTTCCGACACCTGGACATGCTCGTCCTGGATGAAGAGCTGGTTGCCTGCACCAATAACGAGATTACCACTGCTTAGCCATACTGAATCGCCAATCGGATGAGGCGTGATATCGCGGATGCGCACATCGCGGATCTGCACCCAAGATGGGCCGGCGTTGAGGTAGTCGTATCGAAGCTGAGCGTAGATGACGACTCGGTGAGGGAAACCAACAGCAAGGATGGACTGATTGTCCGGGGTGGAAGACCAGTCAAGATCCTGAATGACGCCGTTGCCTTCGAATCTCTCTTCGTGCTCCAACTGGGCACTTCGCGTGTTCCATATGGTAAGCGTCGTTCGGTCAGCATCGACCAGTGCAGCTTTACGTATGGACGTGCCACTAGCAAGTGACGGGCTCTTCACACCAGTCTCGACCTCGGAGGTCATCAGCCAGTCCAACTTTTGTTCATCGACGTTGACGCGCGCAGTCCACGACTTGATGATTCCGGACGTTGTGTATGATATGGCTACATCTCGCGCAAATGTGTCGAGGAACCCTGAAATGACAGGGGCCGTACCCGCAGGATCTACAGGTAGTACAAAGGCAAGATCGTCACCTGATCCTAGGTCGAAGGTAGAGAAATGCTTCAGTGCGATGTCCGAATGACCGTTCGTATAGCCATTGGTATGCGCGATAGCAGAGAGCTTGCGACCTGTGATTGGATCGCGCTCTGGTGTTGGCAGTGTAACCTCCCAGCATATGCCCTTCATTTCGGCACTAATGGTGGCGATGTGCACGCGGTTTCCGCCAGCTTCGACCTCAGGTATGACTAATAAGCACAAAGGCTTGCCCTGTAAACTGTACGCAGAACGTGTCACCTCGACAGCTTCATGACCGCGGGTATCCCAAAGCGAAATTGCGTCATGGTGTAAGAAAACGACATAATTGCCCTCTTGTAAGAGAGCGGTGCGATGGATATGCTCCGTCACTTTGACACTGCTATGTCGATGCAGTGTCATGCCCTGATCGCTCTGTCGCTGTAACCACACGATGATTTCATCAGTGGTGGTGCGTGATACCAAAGCCCTTCCACTAGCCGTACGATTGACCTTCTTGATGGCATGTGAATGCCCTGTCCACATGGCTTTCCGCTGGATGCGTTGAGGTTGCGATGAGGGGTCGAACAGATAGTCGATGCGCGACTCTAGCCATTCGATCCGCCCGTCAAAGTGATGCGACAGCAGTGTCAGCTCGGAGTCTGGCTTATCGCCGATGAAAGCGTAGAACTGTACATTATCCTCGATGGTCTTAGGTTCCTTGGCAAAGTGCAGATGCAGTCCATCTACATGGGCAATGTTGAAAACGTCGGTGACCTTCTTCTGCTTAGCCCCCACGTTCTCGAACCCCCACGCGGACATGTTGCCTCTATCATCCAGCACGACGCATATCTCAGGGTTGCGGTTTGCGACTTCGATTAGGTGATGCAGGGCGATGCCGTGGTCCTTTTCTTCTGCTGACGCCTGCTGCATAGCTCTTTCCGTTGCGTGAGTGAAGTGTTTTCCGTCGATGAAGAAGGCATATCTCTTGGTGGACTGCTGCTCCAGCGGCACATGTCGTGTCATTATCGACTCGACAAGGTCCACGTCTGCCCACATGTGCATGCCATCCACCCCGTGGTGTTCACCCGGAACCCAGACTCGCACTCTTTGGTCTGCGCATATTGTATATAGTACATTGTCTGTAGACTGGTCCTTGTGATGCGGGTGTCGCCAGTGCAAGCCGGTGATGGCTTTGGGGTGTGCGAGGTAAAAGTAGTCGAAACTCTGGTCCGCGGAGCCAAACGATGTGCGCCGCCATATCTTCAGCAGCCGGTCGTACCTGCCTGTTGAAGCTATCAACTCGGCATCGGGCGAGAAATGGGCAAACTTGACGGGGTTTGCAAGCTGCTTGGTCCATATGCGTTCTACGTTGTCGCTGTGCGTGTTGAAGAGGGTGAGGGAGGCGCTGCCAACGAGCAATTCGTCGGGCATACCCCATGAGAGGGTCGTGATTGGGTCGTCGACATCGGAAAGGGACATGCTGCCCTGTTGCGACCACTGCGCACATCAGCAGTCATTCCCAGCGTCCCTTCGGCGTGTGGCCCACCTTGACGGCCCCCTCATCTTGCCCGTATGGCCGGTATATGTAGATGCGTCGCGTCGAACATGCCGCGAGTTTGCCGGTGCCTTGGTCGATGGCGACTGCTTCGAGCTCGAATTCCTCGTCGATATAGATGGTTTGCAGGACGTGGTTCGGTCGGTCGAGGACGATGAGCGCGTTGCCGGAAATGTAGACCTATACGAGAAGCGTGTCAGCCTCCATATGTGCCATGTGGTGTCTGGTCATACGATTATCTGGAGGCCGTCCCACAGGCCGTGAGCGACAGCCTGGAGCTTAGCCTGGGGTCGCCCAGGGAGAATACCGCGCATAGAAGTTATCGAGCCCTGCTACCGTCGACTGGTCATTCTCAGGCTGTTTGGCTAGATCGAGTAGCTTCTGGTGCGGAGTAGCACTCGTAAGGTTCTATTAAGCTTTCGGTGTCTCGCGGTACAATGTGCGACACCTAGGGTTCCTCGAATGAAGCTCACGCGCACGATCCACGTGCTATGTCGTCACCTCACACATCGACAATTTCAAACAACAGGTGGAACATGTTTGTCGCCTCGTAGCGAGTTCAAGATGTTTTCAGTCAGAATCTAGAGCGCGTAGTCGAATCGCAAGCGCCGTTGTCTGGAAATAAACTACATTGTTGACGCTCGAGGGTTGCGCGAGCCTTCCGCAGCGCCGTCTCGGAATCGGAAGCTAGCGCGACAAATCTCGGCCCGGCATCAAGTGGTTGGAGCATGGCTTCGAAGCTGCAAGAACGTGTCTCTGTGGTATCTATCTACATCCATCTTTTTTTTTGTGTAATCGCAGATATCTTCAGGCCATCCGCATCCAATCTTCTCCTTCAACATGGCCCTTACGCCATCGTCCTCTGCACCCTTCCTTCAACATCCCCCTGCTCTCCCTGCCCCTTCCACTCCACCGTCACTGTGATACCCCGATCATCACCCTTCTCCTTCGCATACGTCAAGCTTCCCTCTAACACTGTACCTTTCGTATATACCTGCTTCTCCGCAATCTCTTTATCCAGCAGCAGGACCGCCTGATGCCAATGTGTTGGTGTATTGTTCGGTCCCGTCGAAAAGCCCAGACCGGGAATACCGTTCTTGCCCCAGTCGACATTATCCAGCGTCTTGACATCCTGGGAGCTGCCAGGGTGGATGAAGACGGTGTCGAACCATATCGCTATGGCTTCGAGAGACGCAACGTCGCGGTCGAGCGTCATGCGAAGCGGTACCTTGAAGCTAAGATCTTGCACGGACACGGTCTTCATCTCGAGTAGATGGCTTGTCGCGCTGCCGCAGAGGGCTTTTTCGGGCACGTCAAAGACACCGATCTCGTGTGTGTTGAGTAGGCCGCCTGGGACCATAGGCGAGAAGTCGAAGCCGTAGATGTCTTTCCAGAACTTTTCGCTCGTGCTGTCGGCTATCCAATCGGCGTCTGAAATTGGAGCAAGGCGGATGTTGCAATGCGAAGGTACCATGATGCCATCTGGCTTGAGGTACATGTCTCGTGCGCGCAGAACAGAGTCCAGCATGCCTTCGAAAAGGAGACCGTAGCCCATCCATTCCGAGATGATGATGTCGACTTTCTCCTTGCCGATCAGGCGCTGCGTGTTAAAGTCTTCCGCACGACCCTGAATGAGTTCGATACGGTCTTGGTATCCGTTCTTTGCGATGATTTCTTTGGCACGGACTGCGATGCCGGAGTTGTCGACTGCAAAGACTTTCTTGGCACCTGCTCGTGCGCAGAAGAGGGAGAGGATGCCAGTACCACATCCCACATCTAGTACAGTCTTTCCAGCGAACACCTCTGTGTTCTTTTCGATAAAGTCACGATACCCCTCCGTTCGTACCCGGTCCTCGATCATCTCACGGTGGATGCTATTGCCTTTGTACGATTCGAAGTAGTCTTGATCCCGGTCGTTGGTCAACTTGATCCTGGAGAAGTCTTCTTGCATATCTTTGTGCATCTTCGCCTCATATTCATCGTAGTCGATGGCCTTGCTGTCATCATCTGGCATGAGATCCCCAAGTTCAAATAGTAAGGCATCATCCTCTAATACTGGCTGCAGGTATTTGTCGCTCGCAAGCTCCTGTACGGTTACTCTGATAGCTTTGGGCTCCGTGCCTTTTTGAGCTTCTGCTCGGAGGTAGTTGATCAACTTGATGACGGTGAGTTCGTCAGCGTCTAGCACAGGCAGTCAGTAGTCGTCCCAAAGAGGTAAAGTGCGCAGGGCACATGGACGCATTGGAAACTATACCTGGTCCAAGCCCTTTGATCGTGGCAATGAGATCGAACCCTTTCTCAGCCTTGTTGTGCTCTACCATGTCCGACACACGAGTCCATTGTCGATCCGAGAATAGATCTTTGAAGCTAGTCGTATCCGGCTCGCTTGCGTCTTCGACAATGCTGCCGACTGAGCTCGCGTCGTCGTCTGATGAAAAGTCCGACATGTCGTGAAGTGCAATCACTGTACTTTGTGCGAATGCAAGCTTTTTGAAGTCTGCCAAAACTGCAAAGAGTTGTGATGTCGCGTCAAGTTGCCTTTGGTGGGGGAAGGCTCTGCGGTTAGTGTGTGCGAATGTGGGCGAGGCTGCGGGGTAGGTTTGTCGGGCCTACCGTACCTTCTCTGCCCCTCCCAATTCGTGTTTCGCCAACACTCATCAATTCCATCAATGTTATCAGATGTATGGGCGTTACCTGGCACAGAAGACCATAGCATACTACTCAATATAGTGGACCCTCTCGGCGCTGACCATTGATATCTCGACAACGAAGCGTGAAACCGTCCCCATTTAGCCCACACATTGCGCTCGCCGGCTGCTCCATCCAAGGGTTGAACGTCTTTTTCCCGGTGATGGTACGATCAGTTTTGCACTTCGTCTTAATGTGTGCCCAACTCAGTCTCTTGTTTCTTTGTTTGTCGCTTACATGCATGCTAGTGCCAGCCACCACTATCGCTAGCACAAGGGATAGTTGAGGTGACAGTCTAACAGCCTGACACGCGACTTTGCATCAACCATGGAAAATGATGAGCAAACCTCATCATGGCATCTGGAGAGACAGCGCCCTACAATGCTCGAGTCACTGTGAGTGGACGTATGGTAACCGCCAAACACCACAGTAACCACAAATCAGGTCGATCGTGCGTTCAAGAATTCGGGACCAAAGTCTCAAGAGTACCATTCAGACGTGTTTGAATCTACGGCAGCAAGACACTCGTGCTATCTTGCTATACGAGCTGGGTTGTAGAATTTGCTCACTCAACCTGAAGCCTCGAGGACCAGATCAACCACACTCACTCTTGCGGAACTTTGCAAAACTGTCCGATCTAACGCCTGACTGTTCTTTCTGTAACCTGATCAAAAAGTCATTTGACCAGCTCACAGAGAAGAAGGATGGAACTGCAGTGTGTGTCGTCAATTGCGGGAAGAAAGGTCTTGACATCCAGTTGTGCTTCCGGATCCAGGACCCGTATTGTGAAGGTCAACATGTGCAAATATTTTCCCCGGGCAAGTAACTTTCGACCAGAGATTGATACTCTGCTAACTCAAAGGTAGATGTAAAGCAGGCACAGTGTCCTTTTGAAACACGTAACATCTGTTCGGATCCGAGGTCAAATGACCAGTTCAAGAAGATTACTACATGGATAGATGATTGTGTTCAGAGCCACGGGCAGTGCACAGCTCCGAACAAGACGTTTGCGCCGACCCGTCTAATCAAGGTCGGGAAGGAAAGCGTTCAGGATGCTCATCTTGTGTCCTCGACTGGTCCGGTGCGCTACGCTGTATTGACATATTGTACGAACGTCCTCCATTGCTGTAGTGCTCCAGGTGCTAACTTTGATGATTGAATCCCAGGCTGGGGTCTATATCCCCAGTCTATGACATTAAAGGCCAACGTTGCAGAAAGGCATAGGTGCCTAGATGTATCTCTGCTTCCTCAAACCCTGCAAGATGCATTATTCGCCACTCGAAAGCTAGGGCTAGAGTACATATGGATTGACTCGATCTGTATACTGCAGGACGACCGAGATGACTGGGCAAAGGAAGCTGCTACCATGGCGGACGTGTACTCTAATGGTTACGTGGTCATTTCAGCAACGGCTGCAAAAGCATCAACCGAAGGATTCCTATTGCCAAGGAAATCACCACTCAGTATCTCATGCACGTCTCCATCTGGCTCATACTTCGATGTGCAAGCCCGTCGAAACGACACGCATTGGTGCAACTTGAGTAGACATAACAACGAGTACCCGTTGTTCTCCCGAGCGTGGTGCATGCAAGAACGACACCTAGCAAGGAGGATCGTCCACTTTCTTCCCGGCGAAGTGCGCTTCGAATGCCGCACCCACGACACCTGTGAATGTAATGCAGTACCATGGCCACACCCCCAGCCCTCTTCAGGCGACGACTACTACCGAGTTCTACGCGCGGCATGCGAGTCCGGCAGCATCAGCGATGCTGAGTTCGCTGGGCTATGGAATAATCTCATCAAAGAATACACCGAGATGGGCATCACGCACAGAAGTGACTTACTTCCTGCACTCGGCGGCATTGCGAGAAGTCTTTCTCCCATCGCGCCAGGAACTTACCTTGCAGGACTCTGGGAGAAAGGCCTCGCGTTACAACTCACCTGGTACTGTGACGACTTCGACATGGACACTACGCCTATACGGCTGGAGAGTTTGCGCCAACCAACATGGTCGTGGATATCGTCTCCAGCGCAGATCTGGCCGGAGAATGTCTACAACTCTCCCAAGGAGAACCTGCAGTCGTTGACGTCTTTGGTAACTTCGAATGCGGAACCACTGCGAAACGATCCTTATGGTGAGATCAAGAGTGTATCGATCGACCTTAAGGGCCCTATGGCTTCTGGACCCGACGTTATGACGTTGTTTGAAAAGGTGGCCGCAGAAAGAGTACTATTCCTGACCTTCAATATTGATGCCAAGAATAAGTTCAGGGCCGCGAGGATGCGGCCAGAGACTTGGGAGCAATTACATGCAATCACGGATTGGCGAGATGTCGTATGTCTTGCGTTGTATACGTATGAGACTCGATATCGAGGTCAGAACATTGGTCTGATGGATGGTCTACTGCTTCGGTGTTTGCGCGAGGACTCAATGTATGTGAGAATTGGCACCGTGACGTGGATGCCATGGGAGTTGTTTGACAGATTCGCTGCAGAGGCTGTAGTCACTGTAGTCTAGTTGCGGATGTTTCCTGGCTACGTATGCTCGCAACAGACTTGGGATACACTATCACGTATCTCTGTCAACTGTCTCTCTAAGCATAAGTCTACCACGGGCCTTTGCGCATGATCGAATAGGTACTGGCAGTTTGCCTTCGACCGGTAGTGCATGTCCTTGTCGTAGCCACAGCTGAGTATACGGGCATTGGACAGGTCGTGCGGGAGGTGATTACCCAGCCGGTTGGCACCGTTGCTTGCCGTCCATGTCTTCTCGTGGTGTCCGTTCAGGCCATGGAAAGCGACGATGCTGTAGTCTTGTCAGCTGCTCCTATCGGTCCGCGACGTATCACCATCATTTCTATCCTAGTATCTTGACATCAGCGCATTCACCATCATAGATATGTTTATGGTCAGGAATATGATTACGAGTATCTCCTTACTCCACTCTAATTTTGGGTCTTGCCCATATGCAAAACCGGTCTCAGTACCGAGTGTCACAGTCGCTTCATGGGATTTCTACAGAAACTGCGTCAAAGACACTCCAGGTTACATCTCGAACGTAACAGAAAAAAACGAACACCCGCCAAGAACGCCCGAGTACGCAGCTCGTTTCTTTCCAATCCGTGCCGTCAAACACACCTTTCTGAACATCGGTTCTGGCAAGCGACTACACCTCCTCATCAGAGTCTTCTTCGAGTAACTGGCGGGCAAGTTCTTCGGCGCGCGCAGCCAGGCGAGGCTTCTTGACTTGTGGAATAGACTCAACGACGTCGACCTCGTCCGCCTCGTCACCGTTACCCTCTTCGTTGTCTGAACTCCAGCGAGCCTCACTGCCATAGCCATACTCGACCTCCATCTCTTCGTTGTCCTCAGCTTCCGTCACATCCTCGACCTTTTCACTATCAGAAGCCGGCGCAGCAGCGCGCTTACGCCTCTTGGAAAGACTTGTGGATGCTGCGTTGTTGTTGCCAGCTGCACTGTAGACATCATCGCGGTAAACGTTATCGTCATCAGTCTGTGTGCCAACCGATCGGAACCTGCTCTTGTACGTCCCAGTTCTACGTGTACGCCCGCTCTTCCGGTGATTGACACGCTTCTCGAGTGGAAACTCGGACAAGGGAATGATATGTTCGGGATACCGCTCGTCGTCCGTGACCTCGCCGCCACCTTCGATCATCAGCCGGAAGTCGCGAGCGTGCTCGCGGAGATACCACATGGTGTGATTCTTGGTCTCGTGAGCGGACGTGATCTGGCCACGTAGAGCGTCCAGTCCACGAGCTTTTCCACCAACGGCGTTGATCGCAATGGTGATTGCTTGGAGGTCCGCCGAAGTCATGGTATCGTATGCATCGATGCCGTTCTCGTGGATAAACGCGTTGATGGCTGTGTACATGGCGCAGATTTCGCCAGGCGTCCAGTGATCTCGCGTCTTCTTCTTCTCGTAGTCTGCGTTTGAGCGCCGCGAGATCTGGTCGATCCACTTGTTGTACGCATCTTTCCAGACCTTGTCGTTGGGATCGATGTCTTTGAGCTTTGAAATGCCGATGTGGATGTGCTGTAAGTTCAAGAATGCGCAGTCAGTTCGTGTCCAGTGTATATCTCGTGTAAACAAAACTTACCTCATAGGCGTGTGTACGGGCGTTGAACCGGCGAAGAGCTATGCTAGGAGTAAAGACCTCGTGATTGCCCTTGAAGTTGCGCTCCCAGCGGAAAGCAGCGACCTTGTTCCAGCGGACGACGACATCGCTCTTCTTCTCTTTGTCCTTCTTTGGTACCTTGCGGCTCTCTAGGTCGGGAAAAAAGACGCTAGCATCCGCTTCGTAGAGGTCCTTGTCAGCAGAGTCGCGCTGCTCCGGGATGATATCAGTTTGCGTGAACCAGCCGCTACCATCAGGCATCTTGACTCTAAAAGTGGCCTCGATCTTGGACGGGTCCGTGTCGTGGGGAGCGAACTTCTCGTTTGGAGAGTTTGGCTTGTTTATGAGTTCTCGACCCGCGAATGGTGCGGGATCTTCGGAAAGGCCGCTATCGCTATCGCTAGCGATGTCGGTGAAGACGTGGACAGATGAGCTGGTGGCAGGCGTCTTACCCTTTTCTTTGCGCTGCGGCGTTGGCATCTCTGGCTCGATAGACGCCTGGTGGGCAGGGGTGCCAATCGGGGTGGTTGTCATTTTGATTCTTCCTCGTTGAGTTGGATTGACTGTCAAGCGATTATTGTTGGTTGGGGTTGAAGATTGCGCACAGTGGGGACGATTGTGCTTGGGCGCGTGAAAGAGCTTCGATTATCTGCCAGTTGAAGCGCGCCGGAAGTTCGAGCATGAGATGAAGTCAGTCACAAGGCAAGAAAATTGACTCTTATACTTCTCGCGCTGTGTGAAAGTTGTTGGAAAGCAAAGTGTGACCTATTGTTGCAGTGTTGACGGTGTTTGTCGTTGGTCATGGAGTAAGCACTCCAAGATATACACGGAGGGGAGCGCAAGTTTGAGACTTCAAAACAAAGCCTAACACATCGGGAAACTCGACGTCACTGCCTGGCTAGTGAGGATTCATTTCACTTCCCGAGAATTGTGTAAAATCACTCATAGTAGTCAGGTGTATATCAGAACAGCTTTAGATGGTGCACGTCAAGGCATCAGTAGGCTTGTCATGGACACAAAGGATACCTTCAAGAATAAGGGCGATCGAGAAACCATCTCAAGTCTGTCGAGGTTTTGTAAATTGCAGAAACAGTTCGCAAGGAGAATTGCCAACCACATGCAGCGAGTGAAAAGCATAGCTCATCAGTGTCTCTGTTTTGACAACTGTGAGGTGCTCACATATCCACCTGGAGTTACTTACCACTATCTCGACTCATTTGTAACGGTATTCGCCCTATATCTGGATTTGTATCCTTCTTCATATCAGTGGAACACAATGAAAAACGAGGTAGCCGAATCATCTTCGAATCTGGGCGCTCGACCGGACGTCTTGTGTACAACAAAGCGTATCAGAAATATTGAAGTACGTAATAACAGCGGATGGTCGGTAAGAGCAACAAAGTACCTGATACATGTGTGCTTTCTCAGTAGAGCTCGACAGATACATGGTAACCTCGAGAATAAGCGAATGTCCCAGAGACTTCAACTACAGTTCTTCACGCCTAAACGCACATGAAAATTTCACAAATCAGGATATTACATTGATCTTATTCGCGATCTGCATTAGAAATTACAAAACGAAAGTTCCATAGCATTCATCGCCTCGTCAGCTCTCATCACCATTACACGCTTCAAACAAATAGCGCGATAGCAGCGCCAAGTCCCATCAACATAGGCGCACCAGTAGCCATCGGTGCGCTACCCTCAGTCGCTTCAGGCTGCGCCGCACTCCCAGAAGAACCCGTCTCAGCAGCATCTCCGGTACCGGTAGACATAGCATTCGACAGAGTAGGAGTAGCTGCCTGAGTCGCGTCCAGCTTCTCCGTCCCCGCGGTAAGAACAAGGTAATAGGTCTCCATATCCGACGCAGCCACGGGGTCCACAAAGGAGTATCCTTCAGATGCCTGGCCACCGCTCGAAAGTCCGCTGCAAACAGACGGCGTGTTCGTGCGAGAGAGCGTCTCAGAGCCATAAGGGCGAGTTAGTGTAAGTTCTGCAGTTTCCGTGCCTGCTGGGTCCGATCCGCGCGCAGGATACGTATGCGTATATGTGAGCGTCTCTTCCGTGGTCGATGCGTAACGGGTGCCGTCCCAACAGACGATTGGACCGACTAGGCTGGCAGGGTAGGATATGGTACATGTACGGTTTGAATCAGCCTTCTCTGGGGTAGGCCAGTCGCAGGAATAGTTGAAGAAGTTGTCGACGTCGTCGTCGTCATTATTGTCACCGATACCAGCTGGAAGTGGAATGTCCATGTCGAAAACAGTAGGACCAATAGTCATGGTCACTGGGCCACCGCCTACAGGGAGGGCGGAGGTATCGACGCCATCGTCGTAGTCAGCGACGATGGTGGTATGTGTTTCATTGGCGTTGACAACGGACGCAACCCAGCCAATATGGGTCGCCGGTTCATTGAAAATGGGCATCCAGAATGAGGTTGTTACCTGCGCGGTCGCACTAGCTGCGAACAGCATGGTCAGGAGAAGAGACGCCATCGTAGTAATAATGACGGACGTTTCAACGCGGGGAGAGTGTGTTCTGCGATGACTTTCGACTCAAGCCTTTTGCACGGGGTCTTGACGCTTCTTAAGATTTGTCTCTTGGCGTCTCACCGGTTAGCGGGTTGCAAGGCGCACCGCAGCAGCCTCGCATAGACGGATACTGTGCCGCATCAGGCGTCCGCAGTAGCTTGGCACTCCGCTGGGGGTGGATCGTGTCTCTTAATCTGTGGGGTGGCGTACAACCTGGTCCAGGCTGGCGGCTGGTGGCCTCACCACCAACAACAATGGGTACGCGGGTCTAATCTGTATGCAACGGGGTGATTGGCATGTCTGGCGATACAGATGCGGCTGTGCATGGCTGTGTAGTTCACGTGCGATGGAAACAACCTTGCGTCAATGAGAATACGCTGGGTGTGTGGACAATCGTGTTGGCGGTGTCTAGTGATGATTGGGTCAAAGATGAGCGACCGTTAGCGGGTAGCCGCTGAGAGGACTATGATTGGTGGAACGCATTGAGGTCGCTCGTTATGCGAGCCAGTATAATTTTGATGGCCCTGGGCGAAGTTCTGTCGGACCTACGCGGCGGATGACTCTGCCAGGCTTCGAATGTGATGTCCAAAGCATCGCGCAGATAGCGCAAGCAGGGCTCGTCCAAACAGGCATGGTATTGACTTGTCTCGCAAGCCCATGGCGTACTTCAGCGTTGGTATGCCTTTTCATCAACGCATCCCATCTATCCCAGTATTACCTACTTCTATCTTCCGTCGCGCGATGTCTTCGAAGAATGAGTCGGCCGGTTTGCAAGAGTTGCGAACACATAGCTTGAAGATTTCAACGTCGTTACGTATCATGCGTCACTGTATTGACTTTACAGCACACGCCTATCTTCAACTCTTCGTTGTGAAGCGGCAGGTCTCGAGCGCGACAAAGGTGGTAACAGCCTTGGCGGTACGCGTGCGCTTGCGATGTGTGCGCAATGTGGAGAAAGCACAACCATCAAAAGAGTGAATCTTCTTGAAGTTGAAGAAGACAGGAGACGCGACGCGGTCAGATAGTCAAACGGTGCCTCGGTCGCCAGTTGCCATTGAGAATTCGGCCGTATAAGTGGGTCTCGTCCATCGGCTTACAAGTATAGCCGAGTGCGCGTCATGCCCCTTGATTGGTAATCGCAACATTCCTCGGACGGCGTTACTTATCAATTGCAAGTGCAGCGTTGCGATTCAATAACATACACCAAAAAGATGCCTCCTCGACACGACATAGAAGGCGTTGTGCCAGATGAGCGTGCGCCTTTGCTTCAGCATGCCGACGTACGCCAGCGCACGCCCACGCCATCGGAATGCGACGACACAATAGATGAGCCGCAAAAGGCGACATCGAGGACCTGGTTTTATGTTTGGAGAGGCCTTTTGGCGTTGTTTGTCATACTAGTTGTCGTTGTTTTTATCAAAGGATGGATTGACGCAGATGACGTTGATGTATGTATCTCCCAGTGGCAAATGTTACAGTCTCCCAAAGCTCACAGTATGCGACATAGTTCGATCTCAAAGGCGCGTTGAAGCGCGCGTTAGGTGGAGGCTTGAGCGGTGCTGCGGCAATGATCCTGCAAGTATTGCTCTTGATGCCCATTCGTACCATCATGAACTACCAATACCGCCACGGAACATCAACGACCGTGGCAACAAAGACATTGTACGCAGATGGCGGCATTAGCCGATACTACCAAGGTATGGGTGCTGCACTCGTTCAAGGGCCTATTGCACGATTTGGAGACACAGCCGCCAATGCTGGTATCCTCGCCTTACTTCAATCCAACGGTTTCTTGAAACAGCTTCCATCTCCCGTCCAAACGGTCTTCGCATCTGCGTGCGCTGCATCTTTCAGGATGCTACTTACTCCGATAGATACGCTAAAGACCACACTACAAGCCCAGGGATCTGGTGGCTGGACGCTCCTCCGGCAACGCATCAAGACGGACGGCATTGGCAGTCTCTGGTGGGGTGCATTCGCTACTGCGGCAGCGACATTTGTTGGACATTACCCTTGGTTTGCCGTATACAACTTTCTCTCCGAGACCATCCCAGATCCAACGAGACAGCAAATTGGGTGGTGGTTGCTACGTGCTGCTTTCATTGGCTTTTGTGCATCGGTCGTTTCGGACACCATATCCAACTCGTTGCGCGTCGTAAAGACATATCGACAGGTCAATGACAAGAGGATATCCTACACTGAAGCAGCCAAGGAGGTCATTCGTAAAGACGGGAAGATGGGTCTATTCGGACGAGGATTGAAGACGAGAATTATCGCGAATGGTCTGCAGGGTATACTGTTTTCGATTCTATGGAAGCTATTCTTGAAGATCTGGGAAGACAAGACGGGTTAAAATCAGACGCCTATCGAATACGATACATGGATTGGGCTAGAGGAATTTCGTGTCGATTTGATAACCTGCAGTTTGCACGGCTGGTCCACCGGTTTAGAAAGGTATTGGGTCAAAACTGAGGTAAGCCCTCGAACAACACCAGCTCAAATAGACTTGTACACACTTGCTTCTAGCTCACTCAGTCCCAGTATGCGCAAAACCTACTTCATTGTGTAGTGCTGCGATGACGACATGTATAAGCAATAAGGTACTAACACTTCTAACTTCACTGAATATACAGCCGTCACTGAAAGAGCTCTCTACATATGTTTATATGAAGGACAACTGGCTTTACGTTTGAATGAGGTCGCACTATGGGCTATCTTCGGGTTCTTGGACTCTCTTTGCCTGCTCTCTTTGCCTTCTTCCCATCTTGTTCTCCTGCGTCGCCCCTCTTCCGTTTTCGCTTTGGCGACGACTTCCTGCTTCCCTTCCCATCACTACCCGATGATGCATCCTTACTAGCCCCCTTTGGAACCTCAACAGCGACCGACCCATCCTTTTGAAACCTCAGCAGCTCCTCTTCTGTGATTGTTGGGATGAATATAGGGCCACCGTTGTCGGCTGGGAGAAGTCCTCGCATGTCCTTCCGCATTTCGGCAATCTTGCTCGCCCTACCATCAAGCTTACCCCGGATGGATGTTGCATCGCGCGCTGGTCTTGGTCCCACGGCTTCTCCAGTTGTATCCTTCAGCGTCTTGCCTTCGAAGTAGGCGTTGAAAGGAACCATGATGTTGGAGGGTCCGGGGAGCTTGATAATGTGGCCTGCTTCGATGGTGGCGCGGAGCTTGCAGTGGAAGAGCGTCATCCATGCGTCTTCGAGGGATGTGTACATGAGTACGTTCTTCTTGGTGTTGATACCGTGCTCGTGGAAGATACCGGTGCGCCATCTAATGATGGCGGCGATTTGCTGTTTGGATTTCCAGTCGACTTCATCGTGCTTGACCTCCGTGTAGGTTAGAGTTTTACGTTCGTCGGTGATGGTGTTACGGAGCTCGATAGTGAGCTTGTGGGGCGAGACGTTACCGGTCCGTGGGGCATCGACATTGCCTTCTAGCAGTATCCACGTACCAATCTCATCTGAAGAGGTGTCGTCGCTGGTTTCTGCCTTGGCTTGGTGATGAATCTCGAAGGTATCGTGAACTGGCGTATCGCGATCGTTCAATGACTTGGCCTTGATAGCCAGAGTCTTTGTAAAACTCTTGACAGGTTGTCTTAGGGATACTAGCGGCTTCTCAAGGGCTGGAGATGTCGAGAGGAAGTGGTCCAAGGTAAGCTGTACTCCCTTTCTGTCCTGTGTTCTGAGCTTGGTTTGGATCTTTAACAGTTCATCATTCTCATTACCATCAACACTGTTGACATAGTTGAGGTAGCCGTAGTGGTCGAAGTACTTCTCGTCTATCCATAGAGAATTGTCGGCGTCTTTCAATTTCTCTCCAGTCATCTCAGCATCCACAGGAGTAGCTGGTGTATTGGTCGCCAAATCCTTCGCAATAGGAGTATCTCCTTCCTGTCTTGCCAGGGTATCGGCCATCGATGTTCCTCCGCCTGACATGCCAGAGGTCGCTGCGCTGTCGACTAGCTTCCAGGCTTTGGGGTTCGATTCTCCGCCGAAGGTCAATTGCCACTCATTGTAGTGCGAAGCCTTGGTTTTGTTGATAGGTTGCCACCCGCAGTGGGAGGAGTCTTCACGTTGTTGAGCAAGCGATCGCATCTCCGCCGGTACCAAGTGCTCTGCCAGTTCCGCCAAATCTCCTTCATCTTCTTCCAGCGCCCTCAGATAATTCTTCATGCGTACGGATTGTATCTTCCCTGGTTCAGTAGCTTCGATAGTGTCGCGGTTCTGAATCTCAGGGGTGCGGTGTGGGACGAGTGGATGAGGACGGTTGAGACCCATACTGGCGTAATGGGATATGCGTTTGGGATTGCTAGTCGCGTCAGTGGTGTTGCTATACGAGCTCAGATCGGTGCTGGCTACGCAGCAACAGTTTTCTTTGTCCTGCCAGGCAGGGTCTCCCAAAGGGGCGCGAATGCCTGTATGTGGTGGGGATGGTGGCTCTAAGTCACCCCGTGTAACCAAGAAATGGCCGTGATGTTTCATTCTATTCTTTGTAGTTGTGGTAGTGGTTGAGATTGTGGTTGAGTGGTCGGGTTGCACTGGACTGGTGTTTGGTGGCAAGCCAGTTGGTAAGTCCATCCAAATCACAGCATGATATGGAGTTGAGTGATTTAAATGAGTTTGCTGCGGGAGGAGGTATTCACATGTATCCCCATGGGAGATAGTGTCTCAAATAAGCGGACCCATACCGACATCGCTTGCTTGTTTTGTCGCGCACCATGAGCATATAAAAAGTATCGAGAGACATTGGGGCTAGCCTGAGACAGAAATGTTGTGAACGTCAGCCATTGGCTAACAACCATTCGAGTCGCTGGTCACGTCGGCATCAAGCGCGATATCTTTCTACCACAGCGAGACACGGACCACTTTCGCAGTTCATCTACACCGTGCATGGCACCCCCACCCCCGAAATTTGCTACATGCGACGCTTTTTCTGGGGTATCAGACAACCGTATCGCCTCGAAACACACAACGACGATGGCTTCCATCAACCTCGACGACGGCACCTGGACGATAGATGCGCTCAAAATCAGGATCACAAGCCACTCACTATTCAAGCAGCATGGAATGGAGATGCCAGCAAGAATATTAGAGCAGGATCTCAAAAGCGCCGCTCGATTCTTTGACCAACACGACTCGTCGAGTACGATAGCGGACGGCAAAACCCCTCGACCACTGGAGTACCAGTCCTATACTGTCAACCCCGATCTGAGACCTATGGCTGCAGCAGCTGGTCTGAACAACACTCATGGAAAGGAGTTTAGCAAGGCTGTTCTCGCCCAGTGGTTACAGCGCTGGGATGTCGATAATGCTCCGCGCATGGCTATGTTCCTGCCACGCCAAAAGGATGGCAAGTCTGTTGTCCCAAAGAAGATTATCCAGACACAAAACCAGACTGGACCGAAGCCGACAGGCTCTAGGAAACGAAAGACTTTGTCTGCCATGCCTTTCGTGCCACAGAAACGCCAGAGCAGGACCAGAACGATGGCCAAAGACGACGATGTCGAAATGCTCGACGAAGGCGACCTGAGTGACGACCGTTACCACACGCAGTCTACGCCGAAGGCTGCCACGCTGACTCGGGAACAACGCCAAGAGAACACAAACTCTCATGAGTCTCGAACCAGCCGAAAGATCGCTACCGAGACACACCTCGACGCAAGCAAACACAGGGTGCTACGGGCGCGCAAACTGGTTGCCGAAGACCAAGACCACGATCCTACAGACGATGCCACGGGCCGCATCGGTGAGGAAGACGACGATATAGTTGAAGCTGGTACCGAACAGTCGCAAAGATTCGCTGGGAGACGACGCGGCCCTGGACTTAAGGTGACCAGGAGTCGAAAAGCTCAGAAGAAAGCCACGAGAGCTGGCACGACAAAGACTGTGGAGCAACTCGCAGATCAACAGCAGCAGAAAGATGATGAAGAAGAGCTGAGGATCCACAACCAGCTTCGTCAGGGGCGCTACTCTGATCCTCTTCTCGCAGACACCTATCGTGTCAAGAACAAGACAGTTCTTGTGCGTTTGGAAGGGCACGTCCGACCTGGTGTCAAGCCGGCTCCTAGCGAACAACTGGGCACACGGCGCCTCTACAAGCGTGAGGTAGACCAAGCAAGGGAGGAGGGAAGGGATCTAGACCTCTGGATGGGTGGATCCTCGCCTTGACGTGCTTCATAGGACGACATTAGGAAACAACTCCAGGAGGAAGGATTGTTGAATCTAGCTTCAATTCGTTCGCGTGGTTCTCACTGGTGTGGTCGGACAAAGGATAGGCTATATCTGTTGAAAGTGTGACTGAATAATGTATATAGAGATGAATTTGAAGTGTTCTATCTACGTGTGATGTAGTTCTTATATTCCTTAGCTCTTCGTTTGTCTTCAAGTTTGACTGTATAGTCGTTTGTCATAGACAACAATATCACGCACAGTGCTCTATGGGTGCTGCGATAGATCCTTTAGAGTCTTCGTATCCTTTGTCGAGTGGGGACAGCGCGGATGTCGGAGGACCTCACAACTCCATTGTACTTACAATTACCAACGAACACAAAGAAAGCGACTTACGATTCGAATCTTACCATTTTTGGGAGGCAGGTTCCGTCATAACGCCCTCGAAATCTACACATGTCCTCAGAAGCTCACATTCGTGCCCGTTCTCGCTCTGCTTTTCCAATTAAGTTAACAATCATCATCGTGATCAAAAATGCCACCCAAAACATCAAGAGATAGCTCGAACGAGAGAAACGACAAAGAAGAGCTTCCACAGAGTCTAGGAACTAGAGTCCTACGTAACCGTAATTCAAAACCAGCAACATCGCAAGGGCTGCCATCATCTTTGAGTAATCAATTCTCAGCCACGAACAAAGACACGGGGGCTGGAGGTGACATCGGTTTATTCAAGCGTCCTCGAGAAATCGTAGACCTGGATCTGGAAACTCGGAAACAGAAACTGATCAAAACACTACAGAATGTGGAGAAGGCAGCCGAGATACCTGACTTTGAAACGCATCTTAGAGACCAAGCCCGAGCAAAAGAGCTCAATGAGGACGATAAAGACGCAATCATAGCTGCGGCTAACGAAGCAGTCGGTGGGAGCAACAAGTTCAAAGCTAATGTACGCTCGAAAGCTCATGATAATCGATGGATGGCAACTGCCTTATACGAAGACTTCCTGTATTATCAAACGCCCGAACATCGGTTGCAGTATAGGGAGGAATTCGATGAAACGAAGCTAATGAAGGCAAAGCCCATGAGAAAGGGGCTACCGCCTGCTCTTCTTACAGGGGACGCAAGATATGATAAGAAGCTACGTCCGTTCATTGATCTATTTGAACAGGATAATGTCGGAACGACAGAAGAGATAGACTACGAGAAGATGGGTCCCGATAGCTTGCATGTAAGACTTCCAAGGGCAAGAAGATTTGCAGTAGGATTAGGTAGGCCTAGAAACCCACGTCTGCTGTCACCAATAAGACTATCTCTGGATGTTAAGGCGATAGAGAGGAGAAGAAGGGAGATAGAAGACGTGGAAGGTGATCAATCTCTCACATACGAATCCCATTCCGAGCGGCGAAAACGAGAATTACAACTTTCACCATCTCTACCAACAACTCGTGGTTCAAGCAGAACTCATTTGGAGAGTGGACTGCACATCGCAGCTGGAGAAACATCGTTCGACTGGAGAACTTCCTATGATGAACGAGGTGCAGTAGCACCCGGCCGCACACTGATCATACCAGCAAAGCCCACATTGGAGCTACAAGGAGACGAGCTCAATGAGTTCTCGAAGCCACCAATGACGCCTATTGAATACAATGCAAGTATTGTCCACCATCACGTCGAAACCACGCCTTGGGCAGAAGCTACAGACGGTCGTAGAGAACGGGCGAAGGAAGAGACTATGAACAGGATGCCAGAAATTGATGTCGAATCCAGTGATGAAGACTCGAGTGACGACGAAGGTGATGAGTTCGCGATCAGCTACCGTCAATGTAGCAGCCTGGAAGACTGTCCATGCGGTAGTGAAGATGATCATGGTCCTGTCGGTGGCAGTGGTCATGGGTACGACAAAGAGGAGAATAGTAGTCCCGGAGCGCCGCTCAGCATCGCCGGAGGAGCACTTGATAACTCGCAAACGACTCAACCCCGCACAGAGATCAACCCTGAAATCAATATTGATTTGTATCAAAACACCCCACCCACTACGAAGACCGCACCGAGAACACATTCCGGAGCAGAGAAGATGGCTGGGCCTCCGACAGCAAGACACGATTACAAAAGTGGTGTATACAACCGTCAACAACTACGACAAGGACTTAAGTACCTGAGTTTAAGCCAGAATTCACCTAAGCTGAAGGAACTGCATGACCGCATCGACAAATGGGACAGGGAGCACGCGCCCGACGCGGTGCACAAGTACATCATCAAGGACAAGCGTACTGCAGTATCCTTCATGACCGACAAGGTTTTCGACGACAATTGGATGGCTCAGGTCAAGGCCAAGCTCGATGAGCAGAATCCGCGAACCGAAGAATCTGGAGAGAGATCAGATGAGGAATTCGAAGAAGGGCAAAGACAGAATTCTGAAGAAGGACAAGGCCAAGACTTCGACCAAGAGCAAGACCCCGACCCAGAAGACGTTGACGAAGATGAAATGAACGTTGATTACGCTTCCGAACAAGGCGATTCTGGTAAGAACTCGATGAGTGGTGTTGTAGAAGGAGCATTCACTATTTCGACAGAGCAACAAACGACCAACCTTACGACCATTGCGTCATCCCACACTTCCAAGACCCCACGAGCGACTAAGTCTGGAGAGAAAGCCACCGGAACTGCTGGGACTGAACACCCGAGGAGGTCAGAGCGCAATATCAAAAAGTAGAATGTCCTGCTACTTCCTTCGTCAAGCAAAGAGATACTGATCAAGCAAAGCGTAACTGTATCGAAGCAAACAGCTTCATTGAACAATCGATCAGGGAAGACCACAAGCCAGAACACTAGCAAGCATACACTCCTGGTATAATCTTCCACCGATGTCACCCAGCGCTTTGCTAATATCGTCTTCAAGATGGCCGAAACACCGCACGTACCGCTTCTGTTGAAGTTGCGACTTAGTTCAGACAAGCTCCGCCAGGAACAGCTCCGCAACGACGCCGTTGCAAAATCAAAGGTAGGTTATGACTGTAATGACGCTGGTGGAACAGATACTGACTTCGTAATGCTACCTTCACAGCTACCCGAATCCGACGCGGACAACGCAACTAGCGCTACTGAACAAGTCATTGTTGGCGAAGCACCTGGCGTCAATGCACAAGAGACTAGACGTGTGACGCGTGGTATGCTAGCTTTTGGCAGTACACAGATGGGCGGTACACAGATGCTCATTACACAGATGGACGGTACACAGATTAGCGGGATGCAGGAGGGGGTCAATCAGATGGGCACCATGCCGGTACCGAGGGATTTCGCTTTGGATCCTCCAGGACTGATCCCGCGCTCGCACTTCACCGACCCAGAAGAACGCCGTCAGTACGTGTGGAATACCCGTCACTTGCGACCAGCGCGCATGAAGACAACTTCCCCAGCTGCTCTCGCTAAACGTCAACGCGAGGACGCTGCGTTCGAAGCCGCTACGCAGAAGAGGCTCAAGGAAGAACGCGAGGCGCGCGAAGCCAACGAAGAGGAGTTTCGTCGCAGACGGGAAGAATTCATCGCCAAGGACAAGAAGGCGCGGAGGTGGGCCAAGGCCATCGAAGATGATATGGAGTTTTGGTACAAATCGTCCCTTGCCCGTAATGTCAAGAACGGAGCAAATCCCAACCCTGAAGAGCTGGAGCAGCGTCGTAAGCTCAAGCAAGACGGTATGATGAGGGGCATGAATCCTTTCCCGGGCGTAAAGGGAGATATGATGTCTTCCGAGGATAAGAACAAGGAGATAGAAGAGATGCGGGAGTTCCTGGCACTTCAAGCAGCCAAGGGTGAAACTTACTTCCCCACTCGCTAGGACAAACTAGGAGGTTTGGCTTCAGATACCTGTCGGGAAGCCTTGAACTGAAGTAGCCGTTGGTGGATGATATGGGGATGGGAAGTATTGCTCTCTCGTCGCTTCGTCGCGGGAACTGGTAGGGATGATCTTCTAGTCATGCAACACATCATTTACCCATCGTTCGTTTTCACAATACGTCATCTTCCTATGAAATGAGTGAAATATGCTAGGACACGTAGTAGCAGAGACAAATGTGTGAAGCAAGCCAGAATCTCTTGGTATAAGACTTTGATGGCAATTAAAAAGATCATTTCGTGTGCTATAGCACATATACACCGTGAAGGGTCGTATATTGACATCCGTGTCAAGTATTGCATCCCGCGTCGGCAGTATGATGGCCGTTGGATCGGGGCAGTATGCCGTAGCTGATGTACAATATCGTTAGTACCAGATTTTGATCGAATCAGTTCGCAATTGCCATCGATTCAGGTAATTCATAGTGAAAACACAATTTCGGCGACTCCCTTGTGTTTTCACAGTCGGTGCAATGAGCGGTCCGCTCCACATATAACGCGACTTCACTCTCGACTCTTGTCCGGTAGCACTGCACCACGATTAGATAAGATCCGACCTGCACCTACAGTCACAAGTCGAATCGAGTCAGAAAACTTTCGGCCTTCGTTCAAGATGGCGGATAGATACAGTAAATTTATCGTCAACGGGAACGGTAAAAACCCAGGGTTTCGACCGATCTTTGAAGAGCAATTCCGATGCACAAACATTCACGACCTCAAGAAGCAAGACTTCCTAGAGATCGCACAGGAATTCGATAGGGCGAATGCTCCCCTAACCTTGGACGATCCAGATATCGGGACCAAGGCGAGCCAAGCACAGAAGGACGCGCTGCGCGCAGCTGTGGACGCAAGACGGAGGACGAGGCAGGGAGATACAAAGGCGAAAGGCGGCAAGCGCACGACTTCAGGAAAGAAGAAGGCGACAGGTCAGCGCGCAAAAGCACAGGCACAGAAAACAGGAACGACGTCGGCGCAGCCCAAGAAGGACAAGACCAATGCACAGAAGGACGAGGCCAGCCCAAGCGACGACGAAATAGCAGAACAGGACGATGACGGAGATGTACGGATGGCAGAAGACCAGGACGGCGGGGATGCAACAACAGTAGTCGATCCAACCGCGGACGCAATCTCAGGCCTCCATAGCAAGCGCAAGCGTCGTCCAACAGAGACTCCTGTCGCAAACAAGCGGATACGTACTACGAGGTCGAAGCCTGTAGGGGAGGGGAAGCATTCGCCAGAGCCAAAAGAAGACAAACAGGCTGCGGCGGTTTCCACCCGGACTACACGAGCGACGAAGCAAGCACGCGGGCAGATAAAGACACGCGTAATCCAAGAGACACCCCCTCTCGACTCCACAAGATCGATGGCAAGCCACAAGAACGATTTGGACGGTGAATCCGCTGGACCTCAAGATATGCTGTCCGCAGGCTCCATTGGAAGCGACAAGACCCCACTTCGAGGCGAACCTCTTCAGAAAGATAAGGGAGAGGCAGCTAGGCAATTCGGAAGCGAGGATTCCATGGGTGACCAGGCCTCCAACGAGAGCGAAGAATTCACTGGTGACGAGGTCGCCTCTGACGACGCTGCATCTGTAGAGAGCATCAAAGAAAGCGACTTGAAGAATATGTTATCAATGAACAACTATTTCTGCGAGAATCCCAACTGTCCATATGATGAGGAGGAGGCGCACAACAGAGTGTGCGCAAAGACTGGCAACATGGGTTCCAGTCGCGACCCCCACTGGAACCCTGAATTCGAGGGTACACACAAGGTGGATGGTTTCATGCGCATCGACCCATTGTGTGTGGCGAAAACCTTCGATCGTAGCCTGATGGATCCTCGAGAGCAGGAAGTCCATGACGCGCAGAAAGAAGAGTGGGAACGGCAGGATGCGATAAATGCTGGACTTCCGCCTCCTACAAAGCCAGTAAAACCCAAGAAGAAGAAGAAGATAATCTGGCATCTGGCATGATGCGGTGAAGGAGCGTCGCTGGTTACTGTGACATGAGATGACCTGGGCACGCCCTTGGTAGGATTAGCCTGCCAAGGCTAGTTATGTACCTTAGCATCTAGCATAGATAGTCATACACACGATATACCCACCAAAAGCTCAGACTTATGAACTTTTCTGCAAGTTTTGGTGGCCTGCTCTTTGGACATGAGTGACGATGGATCTTAGACTCGAATAATGATTTCTTTGTTGAATGAAAGTTCTTTCCGGACAGCTGTACTCGGTGAGGATATCTTTGGTTCATTGTAGTGCATCAAGTCTGCCGGATATAGTTGACGGCCCTTTGTCCGAAACGATCTTGCCGGCTGACTTTCCACAACAATAGCGGATGCCTGTCCCTAGTAATGATCAGCTTTTAGTTTCTCAATATTCCATTCTTCTGAGTTCAATCCTCCCATAAACTTCCAACACTTGCGAGCATTTTTCTGCTGTACACGTAATCTAACAGAGCGAAAATGGTTCAGAAAAAGCCGAGCAGCAATGCTGGGTCGAACAAAGGTGGGAAGGATGGAAAGCCAGGGAAAAAAAGTGATAAAACTGGCAAGGCAGAAGCTGAGCACGGGCGCATCTCTCAACTTGTCCTGGTGACCAGAAAGCGGCGCGATACATGGGATGTACTTCGAAAGCAATTGGAGTCACACCAAGTTGCGCAAAAGAAAGAAACCAACATCGAGCAAGACTACTATGACTACTACACTTTAGAGGCAGATCATGCCGCAAAGGTTCAAGCGTACAAGGATGCGGTCAGTCAGGACAAGAGTGGGAAGAAAGAACCAACGAAATCAGCTAAGAGAGCAAAGGATTTAGCAGAGAAGGCTTACAAGAAGGCTGGAAGAAACATAAGATCTAATAAGGAAAAACGTCGTGCAGAGCATGACTCGATGATGGCAGCTCAAGCAGAGCTCGAAGATTGGCTCTACTACCAGGACATCTCCAAGCGGCGGAGAAGGCTCCGGCTACTAGATCCTGTGCAAAGGAAGGCGGTTGAAAAGGAGCGATTCGAACGGCGTATTGGATATAAGCTTGAGATATTAGGCAGCGGCAGCGACGAAGGCCACTTTGACTGGGTACATTCGTTGCTTGAGTTGTACGACTCGAGAGACATAGGTGGCAAACGATACAAGCAAGGTCGACACGACCATCTTGGAAACCACGTTGAGAGCAGGCAAGAAGGAGCCACGTTACCTGTCGTGGGACCGGGTGAGCTTCACCTGTGGACACCGAATTACAGGCGTCAGCTTGTTGGCCTGCGTCCTTCTAGACTAAGCGACGACGACGACGACGATGCCCGGCAGGACCTCGAACCGCATCGCTTCGAGCTGGATAAGGTCGCGATTGAGGACAAGCGGGCAGCGATTGAGAAGCAGTCCGACACCGAAACGCAGGAGTTGGAGTTTAATACGCATGAAGCAAGGCGTCGCCATGAGGTCGCAAGATACAAAGACTATAGGCCTGATACATCAGGTGACAGAGTGATCAATACTTCGAACGGAGTCGTAGTCGAGAACAGGTGGGGACAAATACGAACAGAGCGGGGTCTGTTCATCTCTGCCAAAGAAAGCTCCTGGGATTGGCGTACCTCATATGACTGCCTCGGGCCAGTAACATCGGGCTGGTTCCCTGAGACCAGTGCAATCAGGGACGAGGCTCCTGAAGAGTTGATCAATCAGGATGACGACCTTGAGTACAGTGAGAATGGCGGTGATGATGGCGTAAGCAGCGCACCTCAAATTCCCGCAACAAACGTAGGAGAGGAAGTGCCGAATGCAAGTGACGAGACAGCGGAGCAGCATGGAGCCATTTCGAAGCCACTTGCAGCAGCGCCAAAAGGTGGAGAGCCCGCGAATGATAAAGCTGGCTCTGCACAGCCAACAGACAAGAGCCTGAAGAAGATCAAAGCGAAGATTGATTACCCTTACCCTGCCAGAGAGTTCCATACAGGGAAAAAGCCTTCAAGGCTGATTATTCGTAAGTGGTTCACCACAGAGTGGGCGGAAGAAACGACTGGTCGCCGGGAACGTCACACATATCACAGGCGACCACATTCTTCACCTGTCCATTCACCACCACGATCTCCGGTCATGGAAGAAATACCAGATGCATCCATACCGGTGGGCTTCCCTGAGACACAAGACCGACCTATTCCTTTGGAGCCAAGATCTCGTAGGGGGTGTCCGTCCAACCCTGAGAGATGCCGAGCATTCTGGACTCATTCTCCGAATGAGTGTTGGATTCCATATCCTGAGCAACCGAAACGCCCAAAAGACCCTATCGAGTGGCCAATACAGGAGATAGACGCTCCCAAAGGTATAGATGAAGGCGGCCCGAATGGCTATGTGCCGACGATTGGCATGACTGTATACAGCTCCAGGCTATATGACCACTATGGACTACTATATCCGAACACATCGCTACACAATTACTTGCAGCGGCTGCAATGGCCCAGAATTGGTATTCGAATGCCCTATGAGCCGATGACGATCGAGGATCTTCGTTTGCGAAGGGACGATCAAGACGAAACGAATATCGACCTGACAGCTAGCCCTACGGGAGAAGCTCAGCCTGGAAAGGGTTCGAGAGACAACTACATGGGTACCGAAGGTTACAACGAGCTTAGCGATGCGCCATCTTCATTAGTGGTCGCAGGAAACAAACGAAGAAAGCTGGGGACCGTGGTAGCGAAGGATGCTAATCGAAGAGCTCTCTACGAAGTCCGATCAATGGCGGTACCGATCATCAACACACCACAAGAACCTTGGGCTACACTAAACGATCCTAGCGGAGGCGATTCTGGCGATGGTGGCGAATCCGACAATGAGGGAGATCTCTTCTTCAGATCATATGAAGACGAGTGCTTCCCAAACGGCCGCAGCGCAACTAGCGTATCACCAGTAACGGGCGAAGAGAGTGAAAACCCAGAAACATCCCTAGAGGATATAGTCTCGGAAGATATTGCTCCAGCGGTTGTGGTATCTGGGGAGGACATCGAAACAGGCCATGCACAAGATTTGTAACCTTAATCCCTGGCAACCTTTCACATGGCGGTACGTGCACTGTGGGTAGTGGTTCATTATAAAGTCCGAGCAGCCTCGAGTGTCATGCACGGCGACGTACGGGTTGTAGTGGAGGAAGAAATGGTGCCCAGCTGGCTTTCGATCGGTGGGACGTATCGCGTGCGACGCGTGGACGTCACGACGGGACGGGTGGCGTAGTTATAGCAAGTGAGAACATGTTCAAAGTGTATTTATATCGCGAGATGAAATCAATGCTCAAACCTTTCCAGCGTCGCGGCATTAGGTCATGGTCGATTTCGCATTGGGGGCATGATGAACGGATGAGGTTTGCGGGTAACGTGTGAAGAACGCAGTTTCGTGCTTGGTAATCGATAACGTCATAGCCTCAGCTGAGTGTCCAAATCCTCACACATCTTGTATCGTTCTTCCAACGGTGCCTTATAGACTGTGCCAGCGAGTGGGGTAAAGAACGTTCGACTTTGGATGTTGCAATGATTAGAAAGTGATTAGACATTATCGTACAGGCCTAGGAATATATGATGTTGAACCAGCTAACCTACGTTGCTGAACTTCAGAAGAGCAAGCTTTAGAAAGATTGGTATTATCAAGAGACGATGACCAGTCAAGTGGGTAATGAGCGCATCACCGCTGTCAGGATGTTAGCCTTACGATCGCCGTCTAAAAGATTACAATTCGGTGAGCATCGAGTACCATCGCGATGGTCTAGTTGCATTGAACGTGCGACCATATATCGCCTAATCACACCCACATACCCTTCTGCGACCTCCTCTCTTCACCTCCTCTATACTCTGGATCCTCCCCCAAGTACTCCATTCTGTTCTCTCGGAAATGCCTGCCACCACTACCCTGCTCGAGATTCCAAACCTTCTCAATCTCTCTCCAGACGTTTCCGGCCCTTCGACAAATTCTAGGCGCCAAGAGCCTAGCTTCTGCCACAGTAGGAGGTGCCCTCGGATCTGAAGTCCGCCTGCTATCTAGCCAGTATAGATATGCATGCCGCGCGGACACCAGCTCGCCAAAGGTCCAAGCCTTTGCGTTCCGCAGCCTTTGATCTGGCTGGATGTGGATCTGATACGTCTCATCGATGCGAGTATTGGGCTGAAGACAGATCATAGCGTAAGGTGGTTGACGGAGACCCAGGAGAGTGATGATGCGTGGATCGTGAATGACGAGCTGGTCGACGGGGCCCTTATCCAAAGTCGCCGTGACTTGGATGATACGTTCGTTGTGGTCGTGATGTACTTGCATGTCAAGAATGCTGGTGGAAGGGTAGTACTCGGCCTGAACCTCTTGTATGTTCGTCAAAGGAAAAGCTTCGGGGTTCTGGATTGATACCACCATGCAAAGGCCATCAATGTGCTTGTCGCATGGACCACCCACAGGCACGACTGGTGACTCATGCGCTTCATGCGGCGAGAGTGATGGCGCGACCCGAGTGTCAACATCGGGTATCGCAAAAACTTGTTGTGTTGCTGGGAGCAGGTCTTCCATCTCGAGATGTGGATCTTGGACAACCACAACTCCGACTTCCTGCATTGCGCCGTCCGCAGCGGTTTCCTCTCCCCCAAGCTCTTCCTGCGCACTGTGGTAATCTGACTCACCCTCACTCTCTTTTACCTCATCGTTTCCGTCTTCCAGCTCCGCGATTAAAGGTAGTTTGAACGTCGACCGCTCTTCAATCCGATCATGTGCAGTCGCAAACTCGTTATACACCCTGATCACTTCATTGCTGCCTAGATTATGGAGCAGGTCTTTGATCTTCTGCTTCCGTATACCAAGTAGGCGTTGTTTCCGACCACCCAGTGTGAGGATCAAGCGCATAGTGTTGATGAGATCTCTCGCTACAGCCTGTGGCATAATAGCTAACAATCGAGGTTCGAAAATGGTAAGGTCATGCGACGTCGTGATTATCCTCCTTCTGGAAGATGTCTTCGACTTACGCATAAGAGCTGCATATGTTTCAGGCGCTGTGATGTTGAGCGGCAGGGTAGGTTCGGGTGTTAGGAACTGTCGTGAATCTGGTGTATCGCTCTGCATGTTCGCTGGCTGTCATACGTATTGGTATTAGCAGGCTAGAAATTGGTGGTGCTGGGATGGAAGCAGTCAAGATTATAACATGGTCATAGTCACGAAGCGGGCGTTTGCTTGTAATGTTGTTTTGATTTGTTTCACGTTCATTTGCGCACTCACCAGTCACCTTGAAAAACAATGAGGGATAACGAAAATCCGATCCGGAGCAGCTGCAGACATTCTTCACTACGAACCGATATATGCTCTCACGTTCAAGACATATATGACTTTTTACTGAACCTCGATAGTACAACCTAGTGGTTTTGCAATACCAGTCTCCGCCGCCGTGCACCATTAAACCTTCGACCCCTACGGGGTGGCATGCGTATGCCCAACACCCTTCGGGAAATGCATCATTTCCGAAACCGTTTCCTGTCTGTTGCTCAAGTCTCACAATCTAATGTTCCAGCTCAACTTCCCGCTCCTTGCGAGCAGTATGCGACCACCAGATGTTTCCATACTTGACAATAGCAGCGTTGATCTCGCTGATTATGCTGTACCGCCGCAAAGCATCCTCTCTTATCACTGGATTATCCGGCTCCGATACAAAAACGCCTATAATGTTCTTGAGCTCTTGTTTCACGATAGCATAAATTGCAAGGTCTTCGTCAAGTGCCTCACGGGCCGCAGCGAGCTCTTCGCGTGCCTCATGGACGGCTGCTGTAAGCCCATCGACTACCTCACGAGGCTCCTGCATTGCGTTGACGGCAAACATTCGAAGGGTAGCCATTCGCTCCTTCAGCTGTATACCGTAAACCTCATTGCGGCGTGCTTGAAGCTTAACTCTGGCGTGCTCGAACGTGTAACTTTCTGGTGCGGTTTGCTCATCAGTTACCGCGGAGACGAACAGGGCGCGAATTCTGTTGGAAGACTGTGGTTGTCGCTTCTGTGATTGCTCGAGAGCTTGGAGTAGTATCATCTTGCGCAAGTCGTCAAAAGGCATATTGAAAAAATGGACACCGGTCGATGTCACTCCGTGGGCCGGGCGCCAGGTGAGGGGGTCTGGTGTCTGAGGTTCTTCGCTGGTGTCTGCGGTCGTCGGCCCTACGGCCTCCGTTGAGTCACTTTCTTCACCTCGCATGGAGACTGGCGATGTATGGTAGCTTGTTATGCGTTGCGCTACTGATGCCATTGGGTTTAGTGCTGTAGCGTGGTCTAGGATGACATGTTCCTTCATAAGAATGCCTGGCTTGAAGCTCGAACCATTGTTGCGTGCACAAGTCTCGTCTGGGTTCATCTCCTCTAGAATATCGTTCCTTCCCGAGCTCCTGGAATCTACTACGGTGGGTCTGTCCAAAGCTTTGTCTTCTAGCATATCAGCCTCTGCACGCACATCTTTTTCCTCCAATCTATCCTCTATATCGCGACGAGAACGTTTACCAAGTACAGAGCCTCCAATGATCTTGTCTTGAGGACCGAACGCGGGTGCACTTGGTGTATCATCAATAGATGCATCACTAGCTAGGCTGGCGCCTGAGGTGAAATTAGGTTCACTGGTTACTTGTGTCCCGCCGAGACTCACAGTCACTTCCGTAGCTGGAAGGTCCTCGGGCGTAGCAACCTTCTTGCGTTGAGTGCGTCTTGGGTTTTCTCTTGCCATTACGAGTGAACACGGGTAATCGTAGACCTTGAAAGCTTTCCGTATCTTGGATTGAGGTCCGTTCCCATGAAATTTGACCAGATATGGGTCATTGTTGTTGAGATCATGCTTCCCGACTGTTTGCTTGGATCTTCTGTCACACGAGCTAGTCACCGGTATAACCATCTCACGGCTTGTCCCTACAACCTTTCCATCTGCTGCTGTAGGTTGAGAAGTAGGAATGTGAGGCTTCTTGGTTAAGTGAGAAGGGACTGCTATGAACGGTAGTGGCAGGGGTCGGAGAACTTCTCTGCCATCTGGTTCTTTCTTGTCGGATTCTGGACGCGTCATTGTTCCGGGGTTCAGAGTTGAAGACATCTGATGTTCACATAGGCGAATGGGTGACTTAGAGCAGATTTTACATAACATGGGAGCTCTACACACTCCATTCAGACGATCAAGATAATGTCACAGGAAGAGCGTTGGAACGATCAAGTTAGCAAGGCAACCATTACCCATAGTGGTCAGTGCACATTGTGGCGCGATAGTCAAAATGTAAAAACGTTTATGGTTTGTTCCTTGTATAGCCGACGAAAGCCGGGAAACCTTTCACTCATACACCACCCATGCGATTTGTATCGACAACATTCGTCGGATGATCGTGTCAGAAACTGGATACTTATTTGGACGCAACTACGAACCTTGTCCGACTTCCAAATCCTGATCTCAACCCGTTCTTAGCCTTGTAAACACCATCTAATGCACTACCTCCCCGATGAGGAAAACCGCCTCTTTGTTGCTGAAGTTCACAATGTCTCCCATAACTTCCTTGGCTTCCGGCCCAGAAAACGCATTCTTCATCTCCTCATGATCCTCCCACACGACGACAGATCCGAAAGCGTAGAGTGAAGGTGAGCCGTCGACTCCATTCGAGAACTTGGTTGCCGACCAGCTTTTGACGCCATATTTCCCCCAAAGAGTCTGAATCAGTGGCATGTGCTTGTTGACGTAGTAATCGATGTCGTATTTGGCGTCCGGCGTGTTCGGGAAAAGAACGGTGACGGTGATGGCCATTGTGGTTGCAGTGCAGCTTGACAAGAGTGGTACAAAGATTTGGAGATTGAGAAGATGTTTGGAGGCGGAGACGACGATGAGGAAGACGTAGGATAGATGATGTTCTTGTCAGTTGCGACACATTGACAAGAGCTTTTTGTATTCGGGTTCAAGCAGAGTCGGCCCTTTTTCTCTGGATACCCAGATAGATTATCACATAAGCTTCCAGCTTGCGAAACGGATATGACCTTAGACAAGTGACGAGTCCCGTCATGATAATTTCTACACAAGGAGAAAGGCAACGACCTCCACATATGCACACTGCTGACATCGGAGTCCGAACAATGCGAAAATCTCGATAATCTCCGCGTAAGACCGAATCGCGCTCGTATTGGTAGAAGTGATCCGAAAATTATCGGCCTCGAACAAGATTAAGTTTCCATACTCGAAATGTCTTCGGGATATATCAATCGACTTGCGGCCTTTCATTCATGATGAAGGACAACAAACCACCTCCTCTGGGAAGTTCATCAGCTCAAAATGTCAAAACGTTCCAAACTCCTCGTCGTTCTCACGTCTCAGGACATTCTTCCCACGCGAGAAGGGGTCAAGACGGGATGGTACCTCCCTGAACTTGTGCACCCTTACAATGTCCTCAGTCCACATGTGGACATGGTCTTCGCCTCCCCGATAGGTGGTGAGGCTCCAATCGACCCTTACTCAATCGAAGACTCCAAGAATGACGAAGAATGCCAACGGTTTCTGAATGAGAAAGAAGCATTGTGGAAAGATACGGAGTCACTGGATGCCATAATCGACAGGGCTGATGAGTTCCTCGGTGTTTTCTTTGTTGGCGGTCACGGCCGTAAGTCTTCGCCCTATGGCTATCAGCTTTTTGAGTAGCTAATGATCTTGTTACAGCCATGTTCGACCTCGCAAATGACAGCATTTCCCATTCGCTGATCCGAAAGTTCTACGAGTCTGGCAAGATTGTGTCCGCCGTTTGTCATGGTCCAGCCGCCCTCGTCAATGTGAAGCTCTCGGACGGCTCGTATATGATCCAGGGTCAGACTGTCACGGGATTCTCGAACGCCGAGGAAGACGCCTACGATTTTACGAGTGCGATGCCATTCTTGTTAGAAGATGCGCTGAAGAACCACGGTGGCAAGTATGAAAAGGCAGGGCAGCTCTTTGGAGCGAAGGTCGTTATCAGCGGAAAGCATTGGAATTTGGTAACCGGTCAGAATCCTCCGAGTGCCGCTGTGATTGGCAAGACCCTGCTGGAGCTCATCCAGAAACTGTAAGGATCATTGTGGGTTCCTCGATATCCCGAGAAGCGCGATAACGTCGTTGCTCGGTACCGCTCGGATTCGATGTCCAAGTAACCTTTTGAGTGGCAGCATGTCGATTGTACATTTAGCGGTCATGTAGAAAGACAGTAGAATAAGATTGGATGGGAGTAGACGTGTACACACCAACATTACTACGCACATTGGTGCAAGAGATGACGTCATCGTCAGCACGAGTAGCGCTAACGCGTCATTCGCCAAACTTCACGACGGCCAAAGGTGACCACAGCTGTGTCTTTGCAAGCACTTATTTCTAGAAATTACGCCTCATCTTCTATCTTGTGATTCACTTCTAGTCTTTCCCTAGGCGCAAATCGAGCGCTTGTTTATCATGATCTTTTCGCGCCTAGTTTACGATGACCCATCATAGACTCGATCGCGTCGCTCAACGAGCTACAACTGCCCTCCAGCTTGTGGAGTATAATCGAACCAGATGCTTTCACAATCCGCCTCCCAAATAGTCTCCGTTGCAGAGTCGCGAGCGACGCCTAAGTCCGACGTGCCTTCTTTCTCTCAAACATTTGCTTCCTCTCAGTCGGATCCATCTCACCAGTACCGACCGGCTTGTACATGGGCATGGCGGTTTTGATGCCAGACTCCATCCAACGCGCCCACAAGTTGTGCTGGTCCACAATACCATGAGCACGCACAAATGTTTCGAGGTCATGGATAACGGCTTGCTTGGCAATGTCGTCACCTTCAGCGGCTCGGCGACGCGTCCAGACGAGATCCATGTACTCTTCGCGCTGAGCATCTGTCGTCAATATTTGGCCCATCTCTACCATAAGAGGACGCAGACGGCCTCCCGCGGTACCGGTTGTGATTATGGTGGTTGGCCAGATCATTACTGTTGGATTGCGAGGCTTCACATTGCGCGGCGTAGCAGACGATATGGGCTTCCTGGGCCTCTTCCCCATTGACTTCTTGGATGATGTAGGGGCCTTGTGGGTATCTGGACGCTTCGCCTTCACCTTGTTAGACGGGTCAAAATCTTCGTCAATTTCGTCATCGTACTCGGCCTCATCATGATCCTTGAAGTCTTGCTTGCTCTGGTGTTCGGTCGAAGAACTCTCTCCTAGTATCGGAGCCACTGCAGCGTTACTAAACCACTCGTCGTCTTCTAGCTGCAGGATGGCGTCTCCGCCAGCTTGTACAGAAGATTTTAGCGTCTTCGGGGTACGTGAAGGATCTGCTGTTTGCTGTGTGTATACCCGTCGTCGCTTTCCATTCAGACCATTTCCTGATCTTACTACTGGAATTCCGGCGCGATTAGCTATATGGATATTAGTATACGATAGGCAAGTCGGGCGATGTCAGATGTGGTACACGAAAGCTTGATTTAAAGCAAAGGCAATCACTAACCACTGCTGGCTTGACCAGCAACATCTTTCCCCCGCTTCCACATGAGACGACAAGTTCTCCAAGCATTCTGTAGCATCTCGAAGTCCTCGTCGGTATCTTCTTCTCCTTCGTTATCAGGCATGGGACCCGCAGCTTCTAACGCGAAGACTAGTACGGGTACGTTGAGAGCATCCAAATCGATGAATACAGCGTTGTCCTTCACTAGAAACATGCGGAGAAGGCTAGCGTCTTCGACGAGGATAGTGTGAGTGTCGAGGTTGCCTGTGCATGACATTTCGACTTTGAGGACCTGGAGGATGATGTTTTCAAACGGTGTGTCGGAGGCGGCCAAGGAGACGGTAGCGGTCATACTATGAATCCAGATAGGACCATGTCCCTGGATGTTTTCTTGTGGAAAGCGGCCGTTCACGGGAACCTCTGCTGTCGACATGATTTCCGATGTTGTTGAGCCGAGTAAGAGAATTGATGGTTGGAGGGTCGAGTTGAACGAGTATGGCGATTGGTATTTGTCTATTACAGGGCAAGGTTCCATGATATATGGTGGGGCGCTGGCGGGATTGTTGTCGCGCCATCACGTGCAAAGGACGTTTTAGTCATTCATTGAGCCCCGTGCACACCATCTGGATTGCGAAACACATTACGAGTAACTTCTAGGCCTACTCTAACCCTCACGGGGCTGCAGTGCTTGCATTTCGTATGTTCGCATGTGCACTACCGCCGTGGGTGTGAGCCGCGTCAACTCATGCTGTGGGCGACACAAACCCTGCCTGACAAGAGAAGTCGTACGAATCGGATCCCCCAGCCAACTATTGCGTCCCTATCAAGCACTAAGATGATATCCCGAGCCATGATCTATCTATCAAAACATTGTCATTGATTGATGCGACATGTAGGTTCACATTGCTGATCAAAATGACGCTCTACATATCTCTGGCTGATCTCCAACGGATGATTTCGTCCAGCCATCATCCAGACATTGTTCGTCGACATGGGCTTTACCATACCCCCTCTATAGGCTGGAGAAAACAATGCTGCTGATTCCTCAATCTTCTTCCGACTACTCACAACAGTTCGACAACACGGAGCGACTGTGTATCCCCGGATCATAGAGCTACATCAACGTAGCCATGCCTTCGCAACGGCCTACGGTCCTCCGTCCAAGCTGGGAAACAATCCCATCGATTTTCTCCACGGTCAAGTCATACACCTCGATAATAGAGTGGTTCTACTACTTAACCTATATCTCGCACATAATATGCAAATCCGAGTCAGCACATATCGCCAAAGCCAACCTTATATCTTTACTGCGCGCTCGTCCGGCAATTCAGATGTGGCACGAAGCACTCCTCTCCGAGATGTACGACGAGGACGAACCCAATCTCCCATCAATGCTGGACGGGACAAATTTCTTGAGACCGTCGGTACAAAGATTCTATGAACATACCACGCAGAGGTTCGGGCTCATGACAAGGGCGGATGTCTTTGTTGCGCGGTGCGTGGTCGTAGATTTCATTTACAGGAATCTAGACGATGCACAAAGAGCTGCTGAAGCGGCCCAAGAGGCGAGACGAAGGAATTTGTTACAAGAACAGGGAAGATTAGTACAACAACAGCAAAAGGCCCGAGAAAACTCACTAGCTGTGCATCTCCGCTTCGGAAGCCCGAGAAAGGATGCGCCGCCTGTCGGTCAGATCGGGGTAAATGATCTCGCTGCCCTCTTAGATGCGATCTCGTTGCATATTTCTCCTGAGCTACCCGTTCAGGCTGAGCCCGTACTTTTCACATTACTAGTACCCAAGGAGAAACCTTCTTGGGTAAATGGTCTTGCCCGCAGTCTGTCCCAGCTGATGTCAAGGCCTACGAGGTCTGTACAATCTCTGCAATGTGCTTAAACGTGCGATAAGCTTAGATATAGGTTTGTATAAATTTGTGAGCTTGGTCGCTACTACATGCTCTTCTCCCTGTTCTAGGTTTTGTCTTTGTTCGAGGGAAAACATCTGAAGCACACCCTCTTATGACCCCTTGCTGATAAATACGTTGTGCGAATGAACACATCGAACCTGTAGTATATACTCTATCGTTTGAGTGATTCTAATTCTTGGTCAGGCTTAGTCGCCACGAGTCGTACATAGTAATCGCCGTCAACTACAACAGCTATCATCTCGCATCAGAAATATATGCTAGAGAGTCGAACAGCTACATCAATCAGGTGTTGGATTTGATGAATCGATTTGCACTTACGGAAGGTGCGAGGCCAGCAGATGCGAATGCCGCGAAGCGTAAGGTCATGCGATGTTTGGAGATAGTGATTGAGAGCCAACAGCAGATGACCAGGGCTGTTGGTGATCTAGCTGCGGAGATGGCTAGCATGGCTGTTTGAAGGAAGTTTTGCGATCACATGACGAGGGCTGGAGGCACTCGACACGGGTCGCGGACTTGTAGATTAGAGGCATAGCAGTAAAGAGGTAATCCAGTTATCCCACATTGAGGGGTGCATATCTGATTGGGTAGCCAGGACGTATGCAAAGCACTGTTGAAAGTCGACACCAATTCATGAAAAGACGTTGTGAAGTATTCGGAGGGCAAATGTATACATCCTTGGGGGTTACAAGGGACCAGCCCAAACTTGTAACTCGGTAGTGAACACTTGGACAACAATACTGGATGGTTGGCGCCCAGCCCTCCACAATCACCCGTAATCCAACTACGACCGAACCACTCATCCTTTCTTGGCCTCCTTTTTGGCTGGCACCGGTACCAGACCCTTCGTGTAGAACTCAGCTCCAAATCTCTCCACCTCCTTGGTGAGACTAGAATGACTCCTGACGGGCCGAGCACCAGCCGCACCTACGAGAATTCTGCCCGCAAACGTCTTGTTGAACTCATCGACAAAGGTTTTCCACCCTTTGGTAGGCTTTCCGTTGGTAAGGTTGGCGAGAATCCACGTCCGCTCCTCCTGCACATAAGCCTGCACAACCTCGCGAAACCTTACGCTGGTATTGCGCCGAATCTGCTGAACGGTGCGCTTGTTCAATACCGTGATCGCCTCTTGCGAAGCCCAGTCGCGCGGCGGCGGGTTAGCGAAGATGCGCTTCTTGCCACTCTTGTCAAGCAGCTTGATGACGAGCTTATGCTTTTGGTCGCGTACGGTGCCATCGGCGAGGAGTTCGAAGCGGCCGGGGACGAACTGGGTGAATTCAGGCTGGGCCTGGAAGTCGGCATCGTTGTCGTAGGAGGTTGCGTAGGCGCCCCAGCTGACGTTACGGAAGAGCTCTGGCTTCGTGGTGTCCTTGACGTCGCCAGCGACGTCGGATGCGTCAGAGTCGTAGTACTCGGCGCCGTCTTTTGTGGCGGCGGCGATAAGCGCAGCGTGCTCAGTCTTCTGGGGGTCGAGGATACGCTTCAGCCGCTTCATGGTGGGTATGGGGATTGGGGGTGAAGGGACAGTTGGAGGAAGCTGGACATCGTCTTCATGGTGGGTGAATTTGCGCTTATGGCCAGCACCAGCAATGGGAGGAGGGGAAGGGTGGAGCGCGGATTGTATGCATCTCAGCTTGAGCTTGAGACCTGGCTTTGCAGCCGACGTTGAGGCACGCGCGTGTCGAAGTCCAGCCAGGATGGTGGCAGCCTCGTACATCGCAGCGTCAGGGGAGGCCGGCTCAACCACAGGGAGGTATGGGGAAGACATGGTTTTGAGGGTGTTGTCAAAAGACAACAACAGAAATGAAGTGTGCGTCAAAGTTTATGATAGTGAAACTAGAAGGGTGCAAAAAAAAAGATGTAGAAAGCTGGGTATCTAACGGTAGAGTCTGCAAAGAGATGAGCTGGCTAAGTATGAGTCCTGCTATCGACGTCTGCTACTCATTCTCAATAAGTGGCTATTATCTCTCAAGGTGAAGACGTGATATCTGACGGTTTATGTCCTTATCCGGTGGTGACGCTTGGGGTTGGTATTGTGCGACAAGGTGAACGCGCAAGAGCGTCCCATTGTGATTAGGTTCATCAAGAGACACAATAGAACTGGACGAAATTGCATGCTGAAGTTCAGCCATACTTCCATTCCATGTCCTTTCACCTTCACTCACTCCTCAAAGCCGACAATCCTGTTTCGTGTGATCACTGCAGACTCCATGATTTGTGTTGGCGATTGCGACTGGTGCAATCTCGTATCGTTGGCACCTGAAGCTGTAAGTATCTTGCCATTTGGCTGTCAAAGAATTGAGTCTGGAATGTTCTCATTTGCATTGGACTAAAATGTAGTGGAGTCGACATAGTTCGTGCGCAGCAAGCCGTGGGGATTCATCTTGGCGATAGCTGGCAAGCACGCTAGCGCCCAAAGCGGATGAGCCGAGGTGTCATGACATCACTCCGCGAATAATCTCGTGAACCCTTTCCAACAACACCACGTTCATCATCAGCTACCACAGTCAGTGTGCCGCCAGTATTATTTAAGCATCATCAGAAGCGCTTTTAGAGCAACGTGTGATGATTCTGACCCATTTCCTGCGATGGGGAGGCGGGCAAATGTGAGACACGACGCGACGCGTCAAGGCAACAGCTTTCAGCACCACATCCTCTACTTCTATAATTTGATGAGTATACCCTAGTGCATTAGGTACTTTGTTATTCACATATCACACGACTTTTCCAAGACAGTATGGCTAGTCTTCCCGCCATCGACGTCTCAATCACTGCTTCGCCTGCCGTTTTCGATATCGACGGATCGACCGAGTTGAGTATTAGGCTCAATCTTACACTTCGTCACGATAGACCAATCACATTGTACAAGAGAGAGACCAGTCTCTTCGACGGCAAGATCCTTCATGCTCAGGGGCTTACATTCACCGATACCAAGACCGGGCAGCATGTGCCACGCAACACGATCAATATATGCTACTTCCAAAGCGAAGGCGGGATATCATGGGCTACTAGATGTAACTACGTTACACTATATCCAGGGCATACACATGTTATCGAGACACGCATTATACCTTGGAACGCTGACGGACAAGAAAAGACGAGCTCCACAAACGACACTTCGTGGCTGAGAACGATCAGGTTTGCTGGATTCAAAGACGGACATACATACCGAGTAGGAATAGCCAATGATGCTGTGGTTGATAAGTGGCTGGAAGGGTCGATATGGGGGATCTTGGGATGGCAGGAATTAGGTTGGGCACCGAAGACTGTGCGCGCGGATATCAGGTATAGAGTCGTTGAGTCGACGGAATTCGCCATTAAGCGATCTGATGCCCAAGAGCCATCCAGAGGTCTTGTCTCGATGGTTGATGCGCTTCACCGAGCGTCCGTTGACCAGGAAAAGGCTTAGTGTTTCGAAGTCGTCTAGACTATACACGATAATTACTCTAAGTACCTGCGTCGGTCTTTCCTCCCACCAGCAATCATGCTCACAAGACTCTTCTTCAGATCTCCTGTCATTGTGCAAACAATCTCCTCTGCTCCCGCAATTCTGTCAGGAACACTCTTCCAGCTTACACGCTTCCTTAACTCGCCCTTCTCGACGTCCCTAACAAGTTCGCTCAGCAACTGCGCATTGAACTTGTAAAAACCCAAAAAATGGCGTCTATACACCAAATGCGATAGCTCGTGCAACATCGTCCTCGTTAGATGATGGATAGCAATGAAACAACTGGAATCGTCATCTTCACGTAGCCGCAATTCTACATTCAAGGGTATAGTCTGAGTGGTTTTTCTGGATCCGTGCCTAGTAGTTCGTTCTACGGTCTGACATTTGCCGTGGCAGGAGGAGTAAGGAGAGAGCTCATGCAGCATGGGGACGGACCAACTATGTCGGCGCATGATGGGCGCGATGATGTAGGCGCAGCGGCGGAGCAAGTAAAGGGCGTTGGCTTGGTGGGGAAGGTGGTCGAGGGTTGTGTAGCAGGGGAAGTAGCCATCTAGACCGCGTTGGTAGGAAAGCTGGGAGAGGTGGTGGTACATAGTTGGGTTGAAGCGCCGGACCCCTGCTTATGGATCCCAAACAAGGTCCGCAACTTGTCCATAGAGGTGCTTTTAGCAGATAAGGAAGAGGGAGAGAGGCAGCGAGCTAGAGTGGTCAGTGAAGACCTCGATCAATGGCAATAGCAGGCCGTAAATCTCACTGCTTTCGCGTGAGCGCGGACTTGCGATGAATTTTAAAGCTAGTTATAGCGACTCTGAACAGTGAATCCAGCATGGACTCTCGGATATGTCATTGTATCAATCATGGTGATACTACCTGAGCTATGTCATCTTATCACTATTCTGTAGCCTCAAATATCTGCACAATGCTCATAAATGACAATGTAGAGCATTTCTCAGTCTGAGATACATCGTCAAAGGCCTTCCCATGATCTTTAACGTGCGTTTTCGCATTTAGACCACGCACAATGCTATTGAAGATTCTTGATTCGACCCGTCAAGAGGACAAAGGAACTTCCACATCTGGTTTAGAACAAAGGTATTGCTTTAATTCGATCGGTATCCACTCACACTCGCTCTGCTAACTCAGCATAACAGACACCAAATAGTTGCAGCAGAATCAATCTCCACCGTGCCCGTTTCCAGCGTGAACAAACGAGAATAGAAGGCTGGAACGTAGATAAAAAAAATTCTTTGATAGGTTTTCTGGCTGCCTTTAACAATATAAGACATAAAAGAGAAAGAACGAAGCTAAACATTGATGTCTGTAAGCCAAGCCCAATGTAAACCTTCCTCAGGGAGGCTCTCGGGAGCCCACTTCGCACTGTCTTCAAAGTCGTGCCAGAAACCTCGCTTAGGTGACACAGGTAACTCTCAAAATACCATATATTGTGGCGTTATGCTTCCTTCCTCCTTAGGAAGATCGTCCTTGTGACGTTTTATGCTATCAATTTGTCCGCGTCCGCAGTGGCGGAACTATCTGTCGCCACAACGATAAGGTCGGGTCTGTTGGAATGACGGAACTGGATCGAGGACTGTGATCTCAACACATAAAATCGCATCTTATGGACCAAAGAAATATGAGACATGCATCTACGTTGGGGGGACTTCCTCGAGCTTGTCGATAGGGTTGCGTTGCCAGCCCTGGAGCAATATCGTATTGTAGCCTTTTGATGGGGTATGTAGCCTGTGACAGCAGAATGCATCCATTGTCTACGTACTCTTCGTTACATCGGAGCATGCACATTGAGATTCTACGAAGTTTCTTTGATCCTTGTTCATTCTGCCGATCAACAAGGCAGTGTAGATCACAACCCAAAGCATGATACTATGAAATGTCGAGTCGAAAGTGGGCCACAACACAACCATATCCAAGACAAAGCTGAAAAGCGTTGCCAAAATCGCACAATAGACTGTAAGTGATGTTTCCAGTTGGACATTTGCCAAAGCCCGGATAAAACAGAGAATACCGAGTGTCAATAGGAACGTAAAGACACACCAGAGACACCACTGAAATCTCTTCATGAGGCCAACGACAAATTTAAAAGACCTTGCTAGACATGATGGACAAAGCTTGGTAAAAGTTGGTTCCATCTTAGAACCCTGTTGGTTTATTAGCCTCGAGCTACAGTCCATATCTCACTCATGGACATACTACTCTTCTAGACACGTGTCTTAATTCCGCTGGGAACTCGTCAAGGATAAATCTTCTGTATCTCTCATTCCTAGAACGGTCGTGTTCCGCTCGCAATCGAACGAAAGCTTTCGTTCTCCCCTCACCGTAAATCAATGGCATTTGCACATCGAAGTAACCCAAAAGACAATACGCAGCGTCCTCTTCGCGCTTCGTTTGTCGATGGGCCGTCCACTTCAACCTCTCTTCGACGCTGTGATTTCGAAATTTTCGCGGATGGGCGTCGAAGAGTTCGAGTGGTATGTTACAATGTACCGCAATTGAGTCAGCGAAATCTTCTAGACGTCCTAGTGTTTCACCATTTGCAGCGAAGAATATCAACTTCCTAGGCGCTAGTAGTTCCTGAAACGTCCAACCACGCGTGAACCATCTGCTTCCCAGAAGCGACCCAACAGGAACTCCATCTCCTTCAATGTTCCAGGTTCGTCGAGGGACGTCTGATAGATAAACGTAGCATACCGCCGAGTTCTCGTACCATTTATACATTGAGTTGATTGCCTCGGTAAGCTCTGCACTGCTGCTCTTGTCTATACAGCACGTGTCGATCTGGTAAGAACAATTAGTAGAGAGGTAAAAAAGAAAAGAGGGCGGATCATAGGTACCCAAAAGTATCCAATCCGGTCTCTGGTAGCCCGCTGCGCACAGAACATGAGTTTCTGGTAGCCAGGCTTTGTCCTTCCCTTGCCTTGCCCTTTGTAGATGTCCTTGAATGTGACCTCCTCATGATCGGCACCCCACGTATGTGAGAGAATGGCGTACTGTGGAATGTCGTCGATAAATTCAACGAGGCTGAAGTCTGTTTCGCCGTTGGCTTGTTGCACAGCCTGTAAAAGACGCATGAAGGCTGCTGAGAGAAGCGCCGCAAGCGAGCGCGTTTTCGTAGTAGAGAGGTTATGATTCGTGAAATGATGGTACAGCAATATTTATTCGAACTGTGAGAAGTAAAGCTCGAAGTCGTGATAAGAGACGCTACAGTGGGGGCCTGAAGTGAGGCTGAGCGCGCCACACACCGATCAGCCCCGCTCAGCAGTCTGCCTTCGTGCTACCTAAGTAGGCAACCACCAATTCTGATCCTTCCAAGTAACAAAGCATAAGTCTTCACCAGAACAAGCCTGAGTTGCAACACAACAATTAAGTTTCTTTGTTGACCTGAGGCTACTCATCTGCGAAGGCAGAAATCTAGGACTCCGAGTGATGCGATAGTTTAGGTATCGTAGCGCCAGCATGCAGTCCAGTTCGCATATACCTAGGTACGCTAGGTGCTGTAGGACTTACTGCTTAAAAATATCGATGCGAAACCTGTAGATTGTAGCGACGGTTAAGCTGCTGTTCAACCCGGACTTTTGTGATTGGAGTAGGTGCAAAATGGAACGAGATCATGGAGAAGCCAATCGGAGCGCTGAGATTTGGACATATGAGGCGCCTGCGACAGATACCCGTGACGAGAAGTATTTCGCATCGACCTTTGCTACGGTGACGGCGATGTCGCAGTCGTCGTCTCGGCAAGCCCACGTAGATGGCTGTTCCTAGAGACTATGGACTTCCCCACGGAACGTATCCTGGCCCTGGCTCGCTTCGTGGCACATGTGCTACGATGGGTTTTCGATTCACCGTCCCATGTCGACGATCCAGAGCGGGATGACATGAATAACACATACTGTTGGGTTGCAAAAAAGTGTAAGTACATCACCCATAAAGAGATGACGAAGCTGACTATTCCAAAGGCGGCTTTCAGATGGTGAGAACATTAGACACCCTAGCCACTATCAGGTTGAGCCAAAACAGTCACTTCAGAGAATTCGAAATCCTCAATCTAGCTGCGAAGCAGTCTGCAGACCTTTACGACGAGTTTGCTAACTACCTCCCTTAGAACCAGTCGCTTGATCATGATGGCTTCAAGCTCAAAGGATGGTTGCACGAAGTCATGCGATTGAAGCTGGAGTATCTGGTTTCGCGATATCATCATCGAATCGAGTTCGTCCGGCCGGGAACCATGTTCGATAGGAGGTGGATGACCGAGATACCCGATGAAGAGGGCAGCGCATTGATACCAGACACGCAGTATCGTGTTCGTCTTTGTGTCAGCCCCGCTCTCGTGGGTCGTATCGACGATACGAAGTGGTCGCAAGGACCTGTCTCGACTCACGAGTGTGAAGAGTACAAGCTTGCTCTTTTGGAATCCAGAGACTTCTTCACCGAAGACACCGTTCAGGAAAAGGCTTCGCTCTGAAACGGGCTCATCAGCCGAGCCGTAGTACTTGTGGAAGCAGTGCCAAAACATGGAGGTATGGAAGCACGATCACAGTAGACAACCCCTCCATTTCTTGATCTCACTTGTTCGTAGGGGTTTGGAATCGGTTGCGTTGTGGGTTTCGTCGATGATGCTGGACGTGTGATGGCTCGTTTCGCTTGTTGCACCATTCTGAGCCGATGATGGTTACTAGTTGCGGTGGAAGAGGCTGGGCTACGAGCACTGTAAGCGAAAGCGAAGAGATGGTGTCGCGTAGCGATGCTGCCACCGGGTGATGGGGTCTCAAAAGGCGAACATATGCACTGCAATCTATGCATGCTATTAGCGAAACATAGTATTACATGGTTTTTACTTGGATAGCAGAACATGGATAACATACTCTTGTTTTACAATCGTGTCCAATCGTGCGTCGCTATTAGGCCTCCTCAATGCAGCCGTCTCCGCATTGTGCCATCATAGCATCTATATACTGCAATCCTTTATTGCAGGCAACTTCCTTGGCTAGCGACAATGTACTCTGATGGTGCGACTCAATCTTCCGCACCGTTCTTACACTGAGAGTTCACCTCGACCCAACGCAAAGTCGTTTCTGTCGAGCGATGCAACGCAACTCACTCAGGGGACAACATGAGCTTGTCAGAAATCCGCCAGGACCTTGAGATTACACCTCTTGCAATTGCTGGAATCGTTGTCGTCTAGGTAGTAGTGCTTATTCCAATAGCCGGTGGGAGTACTGATGAGCGGGCCGAACATAGTAAGCTTTTAGAGTAGTTACCAAGGGTACCGTAGAACACCAACGGTAAAGGTCAGGCACTTCGCCCGATCGACGACTGATCTACCGAACACTCTACCCCTGCGATCTTGAGTTGACTCCACGATTGTGTCCTGTTCGAACCGTCCCCAACTTCAGCCTTGGTTTTGAGTCCTGCGACGTCGGCCGAAATTGGACCCGGCGCATTGGGCGCAAACATTGGTAAGTAAAAGCGCCGACTCGCAATGCGTACGACAGTACGTGTACAGTGGCATCGGGTGCCTCTCGGGTCCTAGGATGCCGTTCGATTGTAGCCCAAAAGCATCGTCGAACAAACTTAGATTCAGCGTCATGCAGTAATGCGATCCAATTGAGGCTTCACGGGTGAGGCGCTGCATTGCTTTTCCTGCTCCTCGGCAGCGAAAAAGAATGAAAAGGTGGGTTGCCGCACGTGAAAAGAAAAGCTGCGTCGTAGGAGGCGCGCAGCAGAGCGCCAACCTGGAGTGCAGGGGATGAGCAGTCAAACGGCATTTTCCAGCTACCTTGATATCAACGCAATGGGCATATGTAACGGTTTTCACCGCGATCGATCATGTTTGGCCTGGAAAGGGGAGGGTTCGGTGGGCGAGAAGACAGCCTGGTGCTTTAAGCGCACACCCCTCTTTCCCTTACTCGGCATATGTGATGCGCAACCCATAGCTTCTCGCGCGTGCGCCTCACCCACTTTTGATAGGAGATCAGCATGATGTCGACTTAACGGCGTGTAGGGCTGTCTATGAGTCGAATCTGGTATGATTGACAATATGTCTGACAAGTTGAGGGTTGTCGAACATCTAGGCAGTACCGAAACGTACTAACCCCTTGGCGTCGCGTGGTGCCCAGCTCATGGGGTCGCCCACGAATCGTAAGATGTGGAGAAGAGATCCGCTATGTTTCCACAACACCATACCCTTTTGTAACACTACGCTGTCGACGATCCTTATGTCGCAGAGGCTAAGTCCCTCCTCATCGGTATCATCCTCAGGCTCAGATCCTTCAGTGCGGGAAAGGAGGACCGAATAAACCCTGCTCCGCGGGGTGGAAAAAAGCAAAGGAAAATTTTAGTAAAAACAACAGCATGTTAACGACACTGTTGTGCAGTCCATTCCGTGCTTCATCTATGTGAGGGAGCAAGCGACGAATATACAGCTCTTCCCGTGCGAACTCTCGGCTACAGGCCGTTGGTAATCTCCATAGCAAGTTTCAGCGAGAAAAGGCCGGCCTCGGGTCATCGCGGCTCACCCATACCTCAAGATCCGGTCTAAAGGCTACCCGCAGACGTCTTAGGGCCACAGTTATTCTGCTCACCAATTTCTAGCGAAGGTTGATCTTACCTATTTTCCAGCGTTCCCACCTCTCGACCTACCTCGGCGACTCGAAGTGTTATCGAGCAGCTGCGCGCGTGTTGTCGATGACCGATCTGCAGATTTTCAGGGAGTTTTGCTTCTCTGTATTTGTTTGCAATGAGGCTGCGAGCCTGTCAGCAGTCAGCAGATCAGGTTGCGACGTTGTGAGATCGGCTAGACGATTGCGACGGAGGAGGTAGCGTCCTGTCACCTTCAATGGGCCAGCACTAGGAAGCCGGCCCGGGCCTGAGCCAACCAAGTTCTGGTGCGGTTGGACACTTGGAGGCTCCTTTTTAGACGGTTCGTGACAATGTACCGCCAAAACCAAAGCTCCATACTACAGCGACGTAAGAGATGAGAGTGCGTAGTATATGCGTACAGACATGGGGCTCATCTCTACATTCGATCCGTGCATACTTAGCTGCATCTAGCAGGCACGAAGGATGATCGTGGTTTTGTGTGCACAGATTTTTACGCTTCGCTTACAAGTTTCCGCGAATGAGAGTTTCCCATCTCCTGTACGACATCGCCCCGTTCACGCCACGTTCCTGCATATGTGCATCCCTCCGGTATTCGACTGATCCCCCCGAATCCACAGCATCCTTCTCCGTTCGGTGGGAGTCCCGAGAAGGAATCACATCCACGATCCCTTGGCCCTCATGCAATTCTAAGATCTTTCCATCAGGGATGATGGCAGCCGAAGGAGCCACCTGCATCGAGATGAAACATTGCACCCGGCAAACATGGTTGGTGGCACCATATACGCCATTGCAAAACGTACGAACCACGAACGGTTCAAGGACATCCCGTACATAATTATCGCACGGAAATGACAGTTGAAGTTGAACAACTTCTCCAATATGCCTCACGGACGGACTGATTACTACACCTCATGGACTGGGTTCCTTGCAGATCCCGGAAAAACCGGAACATCGCAAGGAACGTGTTGAGACCGATCTCACACACTTCGTGGCTCTCGCGTTTTCGACTCAGGGCCATGCCGAAGGTTTTCTGACAGGGCTGCAGACCCTGGCACCCGCGGAGCTATTGGCGAATGTCACTTGTTCAGTGGGTGTACGGAAAGTGGGGACGTGCATAAGCGCGGTTAAAGGTGCAGCCACCATCGAGCGCATACCACCAATTTCGTTCGGAGACCCTGAGCAGATTGTGAAATACTCCATGTTTCCCGCAAAAGACGCCTGATTCACCTTATTTGGTCATCTCCAGGCCTACACTATCACATCATGGCTGGATCATTATCTGATAACCCGAGGGGCAGGCAAGCTGTTGAGATCTCTACGGTGTTCACTGGTTTAGCCTTCATAGTCGTCTGCCTTCGACTATACACACGATTCTTCCTAATTCGCTGCGTGGGGATCGAGGATGCCGGCATAGCACTTGCAATGGTAAGTAACTTCCACGTCACGTTGTATAGACTCTTGCTAATTTTCTGTTAGCTTTGCTCCATAGGCTTGACCATCTGCATCGGTGTCCGTCAGTATTCTCCTTACATCCAACCACAGCTCTTTATGGAGGCTAACATTCTGCAGAGGCCAAAAATGGTATGGGTAGGCACACCGACACTATCAATAATGGTGACATGACCACGTTCCTAAGAGTACGCAACACTCATCACTCATCCTAAGTCTCCACTAACACCAAGCAATAGGCTTTCTGGGCCAGTCTTATCGTCTATTATCTGTCACTCGGCTTGACCAAGGGATCGATGCTTCTCCAGTACCGACGCATCTTCCCGACCAAGTCTTTCCAGGTTGCAAACTGGATTACAATGGCCGTTGTCATCAGCTACACTATCTGGACGGTCTTCTCCAGTATCTTCATGTGTGTACCCGTGCGAGCTTTCTGGACCCATGAGAAGGCTACCTGCCTCAACCAATTCGCCGTCTGGTTTACCAACGCCGCCATCAATATCATCACGGATTTCGCAATCATTCTCCTTCCTATACCAGTTATCCGGAAGCTCAACTTGGGCAAAAGGCAAAAGATTGGACTCATCTCGATCTTTGCGATCGGTGGATTGTAAGTACCCCTCATTCGTATCATCTTGTTTCCATCGGGCCTTTGTGTGCAAGTAGTTGCACATGTGTTTCATCGTGTAACCACAAATGGCTTGATTATCGCATCGTACCTTGTTGTATTCCCGGCTCTTCTCGCGGTTGGTTGGGCAGCAGATCTACCCCTGCTTTCAGCTGTTACAAAGAAGTCACACTAACGCGCAACCTTGCAGTGTTTGTCTGGTATCCATTCTGCGTCTACAGTCCCTTGTAGCGATCTCAAACTCTGCCGATCCAAGCTACGACAATCCCCCCGCAGCGACATGGAGTTCAGTGGAATCCAATGTTGGTATCATTTGCGCCTGCTTGCCGTTGCTTAGGCCATTAATCACTAAATGGCTTCCAAGGGCCTTTCCGTCAAGACACCGCAGCATGTATTCGCACTCTCGACCTCAGAATCGAACATACGGCAGCAGAGGTGGCAGCAAAGCGCTACGCACTAAGGACGACTACGTTCTAGACGTGACAAAGCGCTCAAACGGCTCGAGCGAGGATGCGCGAGATATTCAGGTCGTTACCGACATCCACGTCGAAGTCGACGGTGCCGATGGAAGGAGAATAAGTGGCTGGAGAACGCCTGCATCGCAGAACAACTGGGCGGACAATATTTCCAGCAAGGAAACCCAACGGGAGAACAGCACTGAGTCGCTGGTCAATCAGCACGTGCGGGTGTCCTCGCGGTAGATTTCAGATCTTTCTTATGTTCACTCCACACCCTTTGATCATAGTTCGTAACGATACCCCATGACCTACATCTTATTAATAGAGAGTGCTCCGACTTTTGTCAGCACCCACAATCATTTCAAATAGCCTTTCATTGCGTAATTGCTCATTGTTTATTTGCCTTTAATAACGTGATGGTGCATCACGCTTCCAAGCTATATCAAACGCTGCACGCTATCTGTAGCAGCATCGTCCAAAGCTTTTTTCCTGCATCCCAGTCAAACGACGCGTATATGATTACTAGAACCTCAGACATGCAGGTTTAACTCTTTCAAAAGAGATGGCTCAAATGTCCCCATGGTGCCTTGTCAAGGAGAATCCCCGTCGGGGATTCTGTAGCATAGGTTGCGGTCCTCGAGGGCTACCTGACCGCCGCTCAAGACACCTTTAGCGAACCCAATACTTCGTCAACCACACTGCTGCGAGTTCATATATACATCGATCATCAACAAGTAGCTCATCGCCACGCTCGAGCACGACCTCACTATGGCTGAGCTAACGAGCAACACTGAATTCACCGTGGTGAAGAATGCTCAGCAAGCTACGGGAAGTACAGTGCATTTTTAAATCCACCTGATAAGTCAGGTGATCTGAACATCTGTGAATTGGAGCACACTTCTGTTGCGAAGATTCATGTGTATTCACTTGCGCGACTAGTTCGACGCAACACTGCTAGCGCAAATGATTGCCTCCTGTCATTGTATAGAGGCTCGTTCAAGCTCTGTATCTGCTGATCCAACACCACACACTCAACTTGGCCTCAACTTCCGCTAGCTGTGAACTGGCAGACCCAATAGTTGAATCCAGCCACGACCGCTCTCGAACGTCAGCACATCCACTACCTGTATAGTAGCTCCGGCTTCTACTAGAACGAATACAGCCGCAGCAATCATCATGGCACCGATCGCTGCGGTCACATGCAACGAGCATTCATCAACTGCTCCACCAAGGTCAGTGACTTCCCTTCTTACCTAGACAAATCTCCTAACACCTCCCAGTCCACGCCTGCAGGACGCGGTCAACTCCATCTCTTCCGGCATGTCTGCATGGGGCGAAACCACCTATCCGTCCGCAACGCCAAGCACGACGTCTGTAACCCTGCGCCGCTCGTCTTCAGCCTGCGACTTGTCGGAGATGCCAGCGTTCGATAACGCAAAGACTTACACTGTAAGCCCAGCACTTTTCGGATTCCAGCTCACCATCTCCTGCGGCATTACCAAGGTTCCGCGGTGGCTTCATGACTCTACCAGCGATACTATCCAGCCGATACCTGTCTCATCGTCTTCCGGAATCAACACGGCTGTTGAGCTCTCGCCTGTCAAGGTGAGCGTCGTCATGCTCATCGTTACTTTTGTAACTCTGTGGGTCGCGCAGTCTATCTCTGATGACCTCCCAAGCTATGCTACAGCAAGCCTATTGCTTTGGCTAGTTTTTGGCGGTCATGAGCAGCTAAGGCCCGACGAGATGCTGGTTGTAAAACCGCTTGACTCGCCATATGCCACCATACCTGAACAATTTCAAGAAATTGGTTCTCCAGCCATTGTCGTCACTCCTCCAGAAGACACTCGATCCGTTGTTGATCATGACACCAAGCTTATCACAGTGGTCGAGACCATCGACTTTCCGGAAGTGACTTCGGATATGGTCGAGCTATATACCCCTCGGATGCAAGCTTGGCTGGAGGAGTCGACCCTCGACTTCGTTCCTGAGCGAGACGTCACTTCTGTGGATGATATTGCAGATTCACCGAGTCCAATCACACCCTTCGAAGGCGTCGTCCAAGCGTCGCAATTGGTCGTCCATAACAGTGACACCAATGATCTTCTCGCCTCACCGACGATTTGGGATGAACAAGAAGCATTTCTCAGATCTTTGAATGAGCTTCCTGACCTCGCCAGTGATACTCCCGGCCTTCAGCTAGCAGCCGTCCTCCTCGAGCATGACTTCCCCACTTTCAGGATCGGTGAGGGTTTCTGCGCATCGAACGACGCTTGTCAAGTCGGCCCTGTTTATTTGCCTGGTTCTGAGCAAGGTACTGAATTGATGTCTTGGCCGGATCGTCCTGTGGCGGCAGATAGGTCTGATATCGACTACATGCGCGATCGGCTCCAGAAGTATCTTTCGAGACGGACAATCGACAAGATCGCTTCCATGCAGCCCGAATACTGGTACAGGACCCGAGATCAAAGCGGCTTCAACGTACTCGCTCGCGATCTGGAAATAGAATGACTTAGGCTAGCTAACAACGGACCCTCCAGTTACAACCTTGAACATATCAAGCTCATCACTGGACAGTCCCAGAAGCGATACACGCCTGAGTGTCCGCCCCATTGGCGTTTCCAGTACTCACCTAACGAGTCGGCTAGGCCATATCTCGATGTCGAAGAGGAATTTGCCATCAATGAAGGCATTGCTGATTACAACTTCGATTGTAGGACAGAAGAGGTGGTTGGCAGAGTACAGAATACCCTGCGAACAAAAGAACAATTCCAAAAGGTAGACTGTGGCAGCGAGCCCATCCTGCGATGGATCAGCAACGTTGAAGAGAATTTGTTGGTTGATCCACAAGTCTACGGACGGTGCAAGTGTGGCGAGGCCGCCATGGAAGCTGTACGATGGTATCGTCGACAAGATGAAAGCCACTACACTTCGAAGAAGCAGCGGTCTTTGAAGAAGTTTCCCCTTCGCCAAATGTCTAAACACGAGTCCGACGATCGCTACGTTTGCGATCTTGAGCAGCGATCGGCATATCCCCGGAGCCAGCAGATCACGCAAATCTGCAAGCAGCACAAAACCATTACGGATAGCATCTTCGTTCTCGTTGACACTTCTGTCGAAGACATCAACGATCGGCTCAGCAACCCAGGTGGCATGCTTCCCGCCCCTGGCAGGAGGCATTCGTCAATCTACCCCGACGGCTGGCATGTCAAGAAACATGCCGTACAGCTTCCATTCGAGCAGCGCCCTCCCCGTTGTCGGCACGGGTTCCTTCATGTTATTTTCTGTTTCGAGTGCTTTCCACGACATCATTTCGCTCATAAGTGCCAGGAGTGCATCGAGTACCGCCTTGCTATGAACGCAAAACACCCCAACATGATGGTGCTTGACGCGGCGCGCAGTGCAGCTATGGAGGCTACACAAGGCCACCAGAACTTCGACCTAGCACGGGATGCCCAGACTAGGCATCGGAAAAACCTGATCGATATCTTCATGGGGGCCAAAATTCCTCAACTCTCGTTGACATCTCCTTCTCCTGCTGTTACACCATCGGCTGGACGGAGGCGTGAGTAATGAACTCACTCCGGACTTGATTCCAGCAATCTACTCGCCACCAGCCAAGCTCTCTCACTTTTAGGCGTATAAATCTTGTAGTACTCTTTGATAGCCACTTGGCATTGTTGTTTAGATCTTTGAATAGTTCGGCATGGTGACCAATTCCCGCGAGGATTTACCTTGGCATTTCGATAAAACTAAGGTAGCAAAAGGAACTTAACATGCCGTTGAGATATCGTTGCTAAGTCAACCGAGGATAAGGACGTGGACTTAGGTGATGGTTGCGAGCTACTAGCTACCATAGTTGGATGTTGGCGCTAATAAGCGGTAGAAGAATTTGTTGTACTCTTTCATGTCATATCTGGCGCCTGATGCTCTCTGTAGTCTTCAGATTCGCTGACCTTACAATTTTGTACCTGTTAGCAGTGCAAGGACGCTTTACCCAACTCATCGCCCCTTCGAGCTTCAATAAAATCATGTTCAAAACCCTTCCGCAACTACGTGCAGGTGGTTCATCTAGAATGCAATCGAGCTTCGATGAGCGACCCTTTGAGAGGCCTGTTTGCCGGAGCGCCATACGGAAAGAGCAAGCCGTTCAAGACTTTGTGACTTTGGTTCGGCCAAAAAGACATGCCGAGTACCGATTGATGGAATCACCGCATCCACCCGTCGGCGGGGCTGACTCTATGCGCCGTCCTCGAAATGGAGATAAACATCGCCTGCTAGCCGACCAGGTGTGATCCAACCATGGCCCACAGTCGGTGAGGCTCCACGGTTACATTGCCCAAAGTCAGCATGCAGTTGTTCCAACCTGAGATAGATAGTAACGGCAAGAACTTCCAGTATCGTAGATGCGCATTGATATAGAGCTGTGCTGAAGAGAACTGTCGCTACGATCATACGGTGCTCGGGTTGCCGTTCGGCGCGAACGAAACGTGTTGGTCGAATGCCGTGGATCATCAGGCTTGCCAGGCAATATGACGCAAGTACCCGAATTGCTGAGTGATATACGACCCTGTTCGTTACATTTCCTGCCGTGTCAGTTCAATCACATAGGCGCCGGCGTGGAGATGGGAGGGTTGGTGTCGGTGTTTATCAGGCAGGTTGACCGTGTCACTAGCCACAATGAGCCACACGATGACGTGTCTGAACCGCGCTAAATGCCGCCTTAGCCACAGGTTAAGCATTCTCCGCAAAGCTTGACACACCAATGCTTCTCCACTCTCAACATGGGCGAAAGCTTTGATGTTTACTGACATACTCTCAGGCCTGCTTTTTTCAACAGATGCTTTGACAATACATGCGCGACGCCATTGCTACACCAGTAGGAAAAGAGCAGCGTATTGCAATTGCACCTACATTCGCGAGCATCTGGACAGTCCGCTGGTCTTGAGGCTTCAATGCTATACTCTGATGCCGCCCATGGTGTACTGCATGCCTGGATCGGTCCGGCACCATATCCACATCGCGCGGGCGGCATGGCCGGCCCTCGGGAATAGCGGATCAGACTACCAAGTATGAGCAAGCTGACGCGTTCACACCGGGAGCTCAAAGACGGATGCACACTGTCACTGTTCTCATCTCTTCCAAATCACGAACAACATCTATGCCTCGAGGTTCAGAGTCACAATGCAGTGCTACTGGACGCGTTTTCGAGTTACCAATGATGCAAGACTGAGAGCATCGTTCTGTCACCATCGTCACGATCAACAAGATGAACTCCCTCCAACACCCGAACAAATCAAACCCTAGTTTACACAATCGTGGCCAGCCTCATGCTCCGCAGCCAATCCTCGATCAACTTCCAGCCACTAGCCCCAACGGCAGTTGGTGAACATACCCGGGAGCGCCACACCCCTGACTAAAGGATAAATTGATATAGCCGAATCTGGCAAGTTTGATCGGATATCCCATGCATGTTAGCGTTCAACGCCGCAGGCATGCCAGGATTGTGTACCTCTCACTTTACTGTTCTCGATAGTCATGATGTCGCTTCAAATTACGTATGCTCGGTGGAGTAGGTCGGGAAAACCATGGAGTAGTGTCGCTGTTGTTTTGTCCGGCTGTGTATAAAGACGATGGTGTGCTCTCCAATTACCCTGCAGTCGCACAGTGAGTTGACCACTGTTAACCAACATGCGATACTCTTCAGCCGCCGCATTCCTCTGTTCTTTGGCAGGCTCCGCCAATGGCCTGCCTGCACCTGCACCCCAGGCGTCAGGAGCCTCTGGCCCTACGGTACCAGGTCCTGTTGATCCTTCGCAAGTCCTCAATATGCCACTACCTTCTGGAGCTTCAGGTTCTCTGCGTGGTTCAGAAGACTATCTAGGGTACAATCCTTCGAATCCAGTCGACATGAAGTCCACCGTCATTCCACCCGAAGACTTCGAACTCGCACCTGGACAATCAGAGGACGCAAAATTGGGATTGTATATTGATCTTTCCAATGTGAAGAACCCGCAGCCGATCCGCGGAGGTACTACAGGACCTACGGAGCCTGGTCCTCGGTAAGTTCGCTGCATCGTCATGAATAGAGTCATCTGATTCCATTGCAGTACGCCGGCCTATGATCGCTTGAACAGCGACGTATACGCTCCGCCATCTTCCGACATGGGCGAGGTAAGCAACGCCAAATGGCCATTCGGTCTCAGCCACAACCGCCATGGCCTTGCCGGAGCAGGATGGGCACGATCGCAGAACACCGACCAACTACCGTCCTCGGTCGCAATGGCCGGAACAAACATGCGACTGAGTCCGCACGCGTACCGTGAGCTGCACTGGCACAAGCAAGGCGAATGGGCGTTGATGTACATACCACCCCTTTACTTTGTACGACTACGCAAGCTAACAACATGCACAGGCTCAACGGCAGCGTACGCATAGCCTCCATGAACGAAGCCGGCCAAACCTTTGTCGACGACGTCCAAGAAGGCGACGTCTGGTTCTTCCCTCCTGGTATCCCGCACTCGATCCAAGCCTTTGAGAATGGCTGTGAATTCCTGCTCATCTTCAACGACGGCTCCTTTAGCGAGGAAAACACGTTCCTCCTCTCTGAACTCATGCTGCGCAACCCAGAAAGCGTGATAGCAAAGAACTTCCGCACATCAGTCAAGACATTTGAGAATATTCCTCAAGAGCAGCTCTGGATCTTCCCTGGTACCCCTGCGCCAAAGAACATTTCAGAGCAGAATGTCACGGGGCCCGCTGGCGTGATTCCAAAGGAAGGCGCGTATACTTACCATTGGAGCCAGCAGGAACCCGTAAAGGTACCCGGTGGTAGTATCAAGATCCTCGACCCGGCCACCTTCCCCATCGCGAGCACTTTTTCCGCTGCGCTCATCACCGTCGAACCTGGCGCGATGCGCGAACTGCACTGGCACACCACGTCGGACGAGTGGTCGTACTTTTTGTCCGGAACCGCACGCCTGACCGTGTACGAAGCGCCTGCTGCGTCGCGCACATTTGATTTCTCGGCCGGCGATGTCGGATACGTGCCTGTGCCTAATGCACATTATCTCGAGAATACGGGCAACGAGACGTTGGTGTACCTCGAGGTGCTGCAATCGACGCAATACAGTGATATCAGCGTGAACCAGTGGCTGGGTATCACGCCGAGGCAGATTGTCAAGGATCATTTGAACGTCGACGATGCCTTTTTGGACACGCTGGGCGAGAGGAGGAGCAAGGATTTTGTGGTTCAGGGAAATCCGGATTTGACTACGACTGATTTCACGCCTGGCCTGCATGGTGGTGCTTAAGATGGTACCACGTCTAGTCACATCATCCCCGCGCTGTACTATCTTCATGTCGCACCGCCACAGCATCCTCCGAAAAAATCTCTCTTCGCAAGGCGCCGTGGGGATGATCCTTGATGCGACAATATGGCGTCATCTTCATCTGTCCGCTGCGCTATTGCCGTTGATCTCGCGATGGTGTGGAAGGAGTGGGAGAGGAGACCATCAGGGCATGTCTAGATCTGCGCATAGTCATATAGCGATTCTACCTCCACATCTAATCTGTTGCCACAAACATACCAAGCCTGCCTTTCTTATTCGCCCCGAAAAAAAAAAGATTCTCACCTCACCCCAACCTCTCCTCGCACAACTCTATTGCCACATCTGCCGTCGCGCCATCAAAAAAGTCATTAAGTATAACCACGACACTCTCCTCCCTCGTCAACTTCTTCCCCATATCGCCCCTCAGCAGCGGCAGTATCTTGCCATCACATACCGGCTTCGTCGCGAGGATCGGACTCGTACTCACATCGCTATCCAGCACGCTAGCAACGATGACATCTCTAATATTCGTCGCTGTAGCCTGGCATTGCAGCAGCGTGATGGGGTGACCCTTTGGCGGGTCCTCGGACATGTCCGATAGTTTAGCGACCATGGAGTCGCCAGTCAACGTCGCATTGGCAGCGTCGTCGTAATTCGAGACTTGCGCGCAGTCCTTTAGGAGAATGAGGCGGGTGTGGCTCGCGCGCAGGTCGTGGATAGATTGCCGCATCATGGCATCCTGGTTGCCTATTTTGAGCTCTTTGCCCGCGGGGAGCGGCGTGAGTACGCTGAGTAGTTCGTCGTCGGTGGGGCGCGGACAGTCTGCTGGCACGCCGTCCCATCTGTTGTGCACGACGATGATCTCGTCCTTGTGCTCGTCCAGGAAACGGATGATGTGGTCGAGTAATACGCGATATGGCATACCGGGTATGGCGCCGTGCTGGAAATACCACGTATCCTCGAGGGAACTCACTTTTTGCATCTGGCGATGGCACTTTGCGGGGCGGAATTCAAAGTATCGTGCGCCGATCTTGAGAATGGTGTCGAGCGTGTCCTTTTGCGTTATGGCTAGTGCGCGGATAATGTCTGGTGCGATGCGGTTTATGGCGCCGTCGCCGACTTTGTTGATGATAGATAGGGCGTGGGGAAGGCTGCGGCCGAGGACTTCTTTGATGACGCCTGTACCTGCGTTCTTGAGGAGGGAGAGGCTGCTGGACATGTTGTTCATTCCAATGTCGTGAGAGGACGGTAGAACCATTTTATGGAAAGGACGGTGCGATTTTTCTGAGCTTTGTGAGATGACATCGCGCATCCAGTTCTCGTAGTTTTTGCTAACAGTGACATAACACTGATGTTGTTTTGGTAACTCCGCCAGCCCTGGTCCAGCGTCGTAGAATCCATAGGTGATGATGAGATCGTTGGCGAAGATGCTAGGTGTTTGATCCATGTTTACCATTGTGCCATCTTCTAGCTTGCCTGTCATGCTGTTGATTGCAACCCATTGTTTTGTGAGTTCTTGACCGTGCTGACGAACGATGAATTCGAAGTTTCCCGTGAACTTGAAATGGGGCAGGTTGGATGACTCTACTTCAAGGTGGTCGTGGAGGAATTGACGCTGAGAGCTGAGCTTGACGCTTTGTTTTGGTACCGTGTATTCAATCTCCACCCCATCAACAGCGATGTAGGTGAAGCACCTTACGCCCTTGGAAGGCATGTTGAATTATGTGTTCTCCTCGTTCCAGCCGTGTAGTGGGTGCACTAGTAGCACTAGTGCATGGAGAATCAAGACCCTGGCGACTCTATTATGGTCAGTGAGATGTGTATAGCATCTTTAGTGAGCGCAGTGATGCGGGGCAGCATCCCATATAATATGCAGCCGGCGATCTGCCAGCCATGCGTTTTCAGCTCTGTCTAGACTCTGCGGGTCGTTAGCGGTGGCTTAGCTGTGGTGTTGAAGTGGGGATTCTACTGCATGAACCAATGAGGCGCGCCAGCCGGGCCGATGCCAATGTGGTAAAGCTCGTTGATCGCTAGCAACAGTTTCTGTCCATGACAAGGGCGCTAGCAACAAGCAAGTTGGGAGTTGTAGCAGTCTTGGTTCTTTGACCGTGTTTCCATCCTTGAAGTCTTAAACAAAATCGATGATTGCCGAGTTACTTATGGACCACAATACTCAGGCCTGTAATGTACCATCGCCAATCTAATCATATTGACCCGATAGACATCAGGTTGAGATATGTATGGATCAGACTGGAACAATCAGACAAGAAAATTCCATGCGACTGTTCCTGCGTCGCTACAGTTTGATACCCTGCGGATCAGGCCGGTAGCCAAGGCGACCACCTTGTACACATCTCATGATCGACCGGGATGAACCGTAGTGCAAGGTGTCGTAAGGTTTGTATCTTCCGAATTCACCTTTGGAGACTAGACACCGTCATCTTGTACGACTAAGCCGACTTCAGGCTGTATTGGATAGACAGGTGAAAAGGAAAGACAATCATTGACCGGTGACCGGGAGCTTCGGGCCCGTTGTTCACCAGAGATGCAGGCGAAGATGCATCTTTGTGTTGGATCTACAGCCTCAACATGGTCATATGTGCACCGCAAGTCTGGAAGACCCAATTATCTTGCAGGAGAATAGCCAAGTGGGGTGTGAGAGAGTCGAGGTGAAACGTGCCATGCGTTTCAGTGATGCTTGGTTGCTGCTGGCAAGGTGTTGGTGGGGCAATGAGCTGTTGCCCCTCCTTGCCGCAAGCACCTCGCAGGTCCCTACTAGAACAAGTAGTTGGATACAATTAACGTACGTTGTCCCCGATTGATCGCCTGCCTCTTCCCATCTGACGTTAAGTTGCAATTGCAGACTCGAGCAATCAGTCAATCAATCAACGCCACAAACAATTCGTGTAAAGTCGATACGTACTGTACCCCTCCACACCCCGAGCTATCACAACACATCGTCGTCATCATGGTCGAGCGCACGAACAAGCCCTCAGCGTTGAACGCGCCCACGCCTTCAGCACCCGGCCCACAAGTCGACATTGTCGGAGAGGGTGGTAGCCAAAAGGTCGTGGCAAGGTTGCCGTCCGGCGAGAGCATCGAGGTGCTGCTCTTCGGAGCTACCGTTACTAGCTGGAAGAGCAACGGCGGACAGACTGAGAACCTCTGGCTGAGCGATGCGGCTGACGTGACCGGCAAGAAGCCTGTACGAGGTGGTATCCCCGTCGTATTCCCCGTCTTCGGTCCTCCGCCCAAGGACGGACACGCCACGTCGTCGCTGCCCCAACATGGCTTTGCTCGTGCATCGCGCTGGGAGTACATGGGCAAGTCGACTGCCGAAGACGCTCTCGACTCCAACTCGGTCAAGCTCGACTTTGGCCTCGACCGTAAATCGCTTAGCGACGAGTCGCGCAAGGCATGGCCGCTGGACTTTGGACTCGTATACAGCGTCACACTTAGCAAGGACAGTCTACAGGCCGTCCTCACAGTCCGCAACGAAGGCGAGGAGAGCTTCGAGTTCCAGTTCCTGCTCCACACGTACTTTCAAATTCAAGACGTGTCTAAGATTGCCATCACGGGCCTGTCTGGCACCGAGTACATTGACAAAGTGCTCAATGCTTCTACGCACACACAGAGCGACAACCAGCTCAAGATCACAGGCGAGACGGACCGCGTATACAAGGACATCAAGCAGGATACCACATCGATTACTGAAGATGGCAAGCCTCGCTTTGACGTGATCCGCGACAACGTCAAGGACACGGTCACGTGGAACCCGTGGATCGAGAAGGCCAAGGCCATGGGCGACTTCTCCCCAGACGACGGCTACAAGAACATGGTGTGCGTCGAGGTTGGTGCTGTCGATGGGTGGCAGAGGCTGGAGAAGGGCGAGGTGTGGGAGGGTGGCATGTTGGTCAAGAGCCACTTGTAGGGGGGAGAGACACTGAAGAGAGAGAGCGACTGATAGACTAGAGCAAATATTCGAAATTAATGCGTGAGTCTGGCCGCCTGATGTTGTGCACTTTGTTTGCGCTGAGACCCTTGCCAGCTGGGTCGCCCTTGCCGTCCCACAACTCCCCGCCAAAACTTGCGCGCGCCGCCCAAACAAGAGACGACTCCATGACAACAGTCAGCGCTACCTGAGGGACAGTGTCATGCTACTTGTACACGACAATCGCGACGCAGCTCGCAACGCCTTCAGTCACCGTTCGTGGGCCATTGACTGAGGTCCCTGCCGATATCTCTATACCTCTACAGCTTCCCCGCACCGCGCGAGGTGCTACGACTGCACGCATCACAGGTAACTAGGTGGAGACGGCTACGTCAGTCATTGTTTGCATAGGCGAAAAACTATAGCATATCGCCAGATAGTCAAAGACGTTGCGCCGTCCTCTGAAGCTGACGGCCAGGCCAACGTCGCAAGTCACACCAACATGTCACTGATTCCCTACGCCCCAGCCGAGTCGCGCGAGATTGTACTGTAGGTACCCATAACAGTCTGGTGAGTAGGAGGGCAGTGATGACCAGAGGCTAACGGTTACAGTCGCCATGGTTCCGCCGTCGTCGTCTACGACCAGCGCTCGAAACAACTCTCCCTCCGCGATGCCTCCCACGCAACCGACATTGGCTCCACCTCATGCCCTTACTGCCACCGACCCTACCGCGAACCGTCGCCGCATTCGGAACACGATAGCGACGAGCCAGAGCATGCCGTGCCAGGCATCCCCGCGGAAAATGGCTTCGTCAATCCCGCCTACTTCCAAATGCTGCGTCGGAGCCAGCCAGGCTCAACAGAGCCGTCGCGACCCTCGTCGCCACACAAACAATTGGCGCCTGCACCCATGCGCATGAGCAGCTTCCAAGCACCAGAAGGAACCGAGTTTGTGGGGAGCACACCGGTGCAGCCTGCTAGGAGCCAGGGCATTTCCGCTCGGGCCTTTAGTCCAAACTATTTCAAAGACTTCTTTGTAGAAGAGCGGGAGCTGGGCAGAGGCGGCAAGGGCGTGGTTCTGCTGGTGCAGCATGTTCTCGATGGCGTGCATCTGGGCAAGTTTGCATGCAAGCGCGTGCCGGTGGGCGACGACCATGAATGGCTAGAGAAGGTGTTGATAGAAGTCCAACTACTCCAGACCTTGTCCCACCAGAACCTAGTGTCCTACCGCCACGTGTGGTTAGAAGACTACCAGATATCCAACTTCGGACCGAGCGTGCCTTGCGCTTTCATACTGCAACAGTACTGCAACGGCGGCGATCTCCATAGCTATATCCTCGACTCGGCCAAAACTTCCATCACAAAGGAGCAGATGAAGGAGCGACTGCGGCGGAGGTCTAAGGGTCAGTTGGAGGATCCAGAGGATGTGCATGGTCCGCGTCGCATGCACTTTGAAGAGATTATTTCCTTTTTCAAAGACATTACGTCTGGGCTGAGCCACCTGCACGCCAACGGCTATATCCACCGGGATCTGAAACCCAGTAATTGTCTGCTCCATCGAACTGGCCGCAAAGTCAAAGTCCTAGTTAGTGACTTTGGAGAAGTACAGTCAGCATCCGGAACCAGGAATTCTACGGGCGCGACTGGAACGATTTCGTATTGCGCGCCGGAAGTGCTGAGGCAAGAGAGACCGGGTGGTGCGTTTGGCAACTTCACCACGAAGAGTGACATCTTTTCGCTTGGCATGATTGTCTACTTTATGTGTTTTGCGCGACTTCCATATCGGAATGCGGATGGTGTTGATGAGGATAACGAGGATCTAGACCAGTTGCGTGCTGAGATATCGACTTGGGCGGGCATCGACGACGAACAACGCGTTCGATCGGATTTGCCTGAGAAGCTGTACAGGAGTTTGAAGAGGCTTCTTGCTATCAACCCTGACGAACGGCCCGGCGCAGAAGAAATTCTACACGTACTAAAGTCGCCTCTAGTTTTCGACGAGTACAATGCATCTACATACCCCGCCCCATCTGGTCTGGACGAGTTCAGTCCGCGGATCTCGAGAGCTGACACACCCAGCCCGTCGCCAACCCAGGGTAACAAGAAGAGCAGGGGGGTAAACTACACACGGCCAGGACGATCCCATCTTAGTGCTACCGTCGTGGATCGGTCGCCTAGTCCGCCGCGTCCAGAATTCATGAGGAGACAGTCATCAGAAGATGGAGCCGTCATTTTGAGGAGAGGAAGCAAGTTGGAGTTTCCACCACCGCAGCCTTCTGGAGGGAGAACGCCGAGTCCGCAACGGTTGATGTTACCTCCACCACTACCACCCACGACATTAGCAAGGTTCTACAGACATATCAAGGATCCTGCGGCTGTCAATGCGGCAAAGATTGTGCTGTTTTGTGCAAAGGCTTACAGTCTGCTTTCTCCTTGTCAGCCTTTTGCAGCAGATGCGCGAGTACTGTACCCGTTACTTTGCATGGCGTCACTCGACTTCTTCCGTGTTGGCGGGTTGGGTGGGTTGGGACGCTCGGCCCTGCTTTTGTGCGCGCATTTGGTGGTGGTGGGTGTGACTTGGAGAGTGGATAGGCTGTGTGTTGGGAGGAGTGTAGCTTGGGATGGAATGTAGCGACGACTGGGCATGACTTTCTTCCTGCTGCTGTTGCTGTTGTGGGTATCAGGAAGACATGTTCTATGATCCGTGTCTGTGGTATGCAAAACGAACAAGGTGTTTGAAAAGGGCGCAAAGGACATGTGGTCGTTGGGCTTGGTGCATTTGAACTTGTGATACCTCTGTAGTACTGATACTGCGCATTAAAACAGTTGTAGATATGCTTATGGTATAGAGCACACGTCGGTGAATTTTAGAACTAATTGCTGAGAAACGCAAATCAAAGGGAGAAGACTATATCACGATGGTCTTGTACTGTAGTTCCAAACATCGCCGTGCTTGCATTTCGGCAGCATTACCATCGTAGCAGTATATTCATTTTGCTTGGTGCGAGAGCGCGTCGGTGGCTGGAGTGGGGCCAGGGTTCGTTAGCTTTGTTTTGGAGTAAACACGCCGACCCGCTTCTATCTTCGACACTGAATCATCGCACTTTCCCACACAACGCGCCCCATCATACTTGGGCTGGGAATCTTTTCTGTCTTTCTTGGAGGTAATGATACAGCTGAGATAGATCTTTACAAAGCATCCTTTCGAGATAGCCTATTTACGTACGTGTTTGACACGCGACGCGCATCCCACGATTTGAGATTGCCCGCGCGGCCTCAGGATTCCAACACGCAACATGCAGTCCTCTCCTCCCATGAGCGAAGGGAAAGCGCGCGCTATCAGAGAACTCTCACGCAGTCTCAGTCACAGCCCCAGAAATATCACATCGCCCTCACCACCACCCAGCGACTCGAATCCCACGCAGCGGTCGGGTTTTGGCACCAACACGTCTCAATTCTTTGACGACCCAGACATTCTCATGTCCACACAACACAACATCGCGGAAGACACCAACACACTACCGGGATACCCGCGGATTCGTTCAACCGCGAAGAAGATCAATACTTGGGCTCCGTTCCGTTCCGAGCAGGTCCAGCCCGACACGTCCATGGTCAACAAGGAGTTTGGCGACTTTGACCACAGCATCTCCGACGAGGAGAGCATGGCCATCGAGCAGGCGCGAGGTAACCGCAGCAACCGCGGTACCCCCAGCAAGATGAGCTCCCAGTTCAACAGCCTCTACGACATCACACCCCCCACCAACAGATCGCGTAAATCATATCAGGCAGACACTGGCAGCCTCCGACGCGACGCGGCGATCCGTCGCGCCTCGCGCAACGACCTGGACTACACTGCATCGCCGCGTCCTGCAAGCAAGCGCAATTCTCCCGCCCTCTCCACAAAGGAAAGCCGCAAGAGCACTTCACTTGCACAGCTGCACGCAAAGCTTTCCGAAGACGAGTCATCGTTCATGGAGCATCGACCACCAACACTGACCATGGAGTCCACCAAGAACACGCGCTGGGGCAACAGGAGCCGACAAACCTCTCTCCAAACCGACGGCAATGTCGATGCTCTTCCACAGCCAAAGGCTACACCTCGCTCAAGGCCTGCTACAGCACAGAACGCGACTGCGCAGTCCTTCATCTTGCCTGATCTTCCCAACCTCACCGAGCTCGTCTCTGGCGTGTTCGACGATGGCACACCCGTCTTTTCCAAGACTGCACCATCACGGTCACGTTTTGCGGCTCCACCGTACGGCGGTCGCCGACCATCGCATATTCCCATCGATGGGGCGCCTATACCTGATGAGGAAAAGGCCATCTTCGCTGCTCTCCAGCAGCTGCAGGAGAAGATTGCGGACATGGAGCGCGAGCGTGAAGACAAAGACAAGAAGATTGATGAGCAAGAGCTGGAATTGATCGAGCTGAGAGCGACTACGCAAGCTCAGGAGAAGCTCCGGCGAAGTGACAGCGCGCAAGACTCTGACGCTGGCGGGAAAAGCGGCTGGAAGGTCGAAAAGACACGTAAGTTGCCGTCCCTCATGTCTGTTGCTCCCTGCACAATATGATGTCGAATGTTATCATTCAGTTATCCCTGTCTGAAAACTATTGTTGAAAACTTACTATTCTGATTTGCGTCTATCATCACCCTCCTGCAAAACACGAAAGTTCCGGGACTTTACTGACAACGAGCAGGCCTTGACGCGACTGTACAGACCCTCCGAACGAAGCTCGACCGCGCCGACCGTAAATCCGCCGTCCTCGAAATCGAGAAGAAACGTCTGAGCACCGAACGGGATAACATGGCCAATCAGCTGGGTGTCGCGTTCCAGACTTGCGAGGAGCTCAAGATCGAGAAGAACGCCCTGACCAAGGAAAACGATCAACTCCGCCAGGAAATTGATACCCTTCGCGCCGAGAACGAATCGCTGCGCGATCAACTCGAACAAGACTTGTCTCACCACCGAGAAGAGACGATCCAGCTCCGCCAACAGTTTGACCAAGCCGCAAACGCAACTCAGAGGGAGAACGCGAACCTGCACGCAGAGCTGGCTCGTGTGCGCGCTCAGCAGGACGAAAACACACAGCAATTGACTCGCAGAGACATGGAGCTGCGCAAGGCACGTCAAGAGCACGCCGAATACGCGAGATTGAAATCCGACCATGAGTTACTCAAGGCCCAGGTTGAGGAACTGAAGAGGAAGCGCGAAGAGGATATCAAGCGTTGGGAGAGGCAAGAAGAGAGTTTGAGAGCAAAGGTTGGGAGGCGGGACGATACTATTCGGCTGTTTGAGGATACGACGACTCAAGAGCGTACAAACGAAGCTATGCGTCTAGACAACGAGAATCTCCGAAACGAACTCCGAGAACTCCAAGCTCAGCAAGACGAGGAGAATGAGGAGTGGGCGAGGAGAGAGGCGGAACTACAGCGCAAGATTCGACAGCGTGAGATTGCTGTAAGGAAAGCCAGGGTAGAGAACGATACCGAGCACATCTTCGAAGACAAGCCTAGCTATCGCCGCGAAGATACACGGACGCGTATCAGGAATCGTGTTCAGCAGGAGGTCCGTAACAGCAAGATCGCCAGCCAGGAAAGCCCACGGAAGTCGTTCACCGGACATTCGAGGTTCTCAACTCGCAGCTTTTCCGCACCTGTCCCAGCCGATAAGCATGCGCACGCAGAGAGCGATGTAGAATCGACCACCGATCTCTCTCTTGTGCCACGCTCCACTCTGCGTATCTCACGAAACCCTGCTTCTTCTGCTAGGCAGACGACAATGACGGTTCAACCCCCCACTGATCTGAGCCTCACGGAGTTGAGCTTCTTCCCCCAGGAGGAAATTGCGCGGTTGAGGCGCGAGCTGGAGGAACAGCGTGCGAATGAGCGGGCTGGTAAAACTCAAACTGGAGAGCAGACGAGGGAAGACACCGTGAGGAGTCAGCGACAGACTCGCGAGGATACAGGGCGGTCTGTGGCAAGTGCAAAGAGCACATCGCATTCGCGTCGACCCTCTCTCGTACGCAAGTCTAGCCTCAAAGACACCACACAGCGCACCGCCACCACGCACTTTGACGAAGACACAGGCAAGCTGTCCCATGCAGATACCGCCGCCGACGACGCCGATGCCGAAGCAACGCAAACTCGCCAGTCAGCCATGTCTGATGCGTCGATGCTCAGCAACACTGGAAGGCGAAGGCGGAGCGCGCCTGCCACGGAAATGACCAGTGCGTTTATCCTACCGGATATCAAACTTGCTTCTTCCACTACTACCGGAGTGAAAACACACACTACTGCTACTACCACCAAGCCCGTCATCAGCAAGGAACACGACAATGACAATTGCACCGTGTGCCGCCGCGAGGGTTACACGACGGCTACTGCTGCTCTTGTTGTACCCAAGTTGGTCAAAGTGTCGGAACGCTCAACCGCCGATGAAACAGATGCTACGATGCGGCCCGTGCAATCACCAAGGGAGGCTCTGGCAACGGTTGTCAAGGGACTCAATGATGAGCGCATACACTTGACTGCCGAACTAGCCGTTCAGCAAGCTATGCTGAGCGAGCATGACCCTAGTCTGGGTAAGAGACGCCGCGCGGCTATCGACGTCAGTATCCAAGATTTGTTGCGCAGGCTGTCTTGGTTGGACCAGCAGATTTACAGGCTGCATGATGTGCTCGAGGGACAGGAAGATGTTACTGAGGAGGAGGTTGAAGAGCTTACTACTCAAGCTGTTAATACGGCTGCTGCTGCTGCTGCTGCTGCTCCTGCTCAGAAGGAGAAGAAGAAGGTTACTATTCGTAGCTTTGTGTCTGAACATGAAGTCTCGGACTGCGATCATCACGGTGAGGATGGCGGTGATGAGAGTGTCGAGTTTAGAAGAGGTGGTCGAGGCAAGACAGATGAGGAGAGTGGGGATGAGGAGGAGGAGCGTTCGCTGGAGTTGCCGTGGGAGGGGTTTGGGGATGATGGCGAGAGTTTGGGCATGGAGGGGGATGTTAGTTTTAATGCGCTCGCGGGGTGGAGGGGTGTACATTAGATAAGGAAGGCTTTGGAAGGACGGGTTGTTGTTTGGATGAAAGGGTTTGTTGCTTTTCAAAAGATGGATATGATGGGGCTTTTTTGCATTGTTATGGGTGTTTGGGTTATTGGGTTTCGGGATATTGGGTATAGGGCATGTCGGCGTCTTTTTCCTTGGTCCTCTTCTGGTTGTTGGACTTTGGGTTTTCTACCTGTTCGCTCTTCTTGTTTCTTTCCTGCCTTCCTCTTTAGGACTATGGCTTTCGAGGCTCCTTCTCGTACGGCGTATCTCCGCACTAAGGCACACGGCTTCGCTTTTGTTCTTTTCGGCTAGAGACCTTGACTCACCCTTTCTTTGGGTTGGAGTTGGTCTCGCTGGTTAGGACGGAGTGAGGAGCTGTGTTGAGTGAAGGTGCCGGGAATCAGGTATTGGATATGGCAGGCTGCAGAGGACGCGACGTGGTAGTTTGAAGTGTCCCAAATTGACATGAATAAGACATTCCATTACATACATTACTTCCTGATAGTGAAAAGTCAATCGCCCTAGAGTCTGCAATACTGCCGTGCTGATGATGATGGTTCCGACTTGGACACTACTTCACAACATGATGTTATTGCTTTTCAATGACCATAAGGTTCCAGTAGAGACGTCATCTTGCAACATGCCCAGCAATCAATGGCTATGATGTAATTTTTTGACGCGGTGGGAAGAGGGGCCATTGACCTGATGCATGTATAACAATGTGCGGTGTAACATTAGAGAATAAGAATTTAGTCCCTAACGGGTAACGTCACTAACTACCTTGTTATATCCATATCACTTCACCCCCGGGTGGCGAAGGTAGGCAGTGGAGGGGGTGGCGAGCTGCGCCCTGGATAGCGAGTGTGAGTCTCAGCCTTCCTTCCTCAACACAGCATCTATTCACCACTTCTCACTCGTACGTAGCTGCCATGACCTTACCTTTGTGTATCCCCTGGGCGGAGCAAGAGCATATTCATACTTGCGATTTGTCCCATCTAAGACAGTATTTTCGTTGGGATCATTGAGAGTCGTGGAAACGGTAATTGGCCCAAGCTGATTCGCGTCATAGTGATACCATGACATGTGCGAAGCACACTGTGTCTATTAGGTCAGACTTGCTGTGATTCCACAACAGCTACCGCACTACTCTCAACCTCGTCAGTGAGCATGTTTGAACTGTCCATCTCCACATCCAGACAGCTGGGCTTAGTACTGACATCAGTGCTCATTCATAAAGTTGGAAAGAAGCTGACTGCATGCAGCTCGCCTCGCCGGAAACGGCATCCAAAGCTGGTGATTCTATTTGCGAAACGTGTCGCAGGATCAATTTTCACGATCTGGTCCGAAGTCCTCGACAAGTAGAAAATTCATGGGACCCGATCGTGCCCTCTCCGCACACTATGCGATATGTCATCGAGTGCAAGCTCTGTCGCCTGTTATTTCAGGACGTACCTTCACGCTATATGAAGAAGGATCTCGAGCTGCGATCCTACTCGTTCAAGAGAATATCCAGCTAGGCCAGGGATACCAGTAGCAACAGCCTCGATGCTAACGACAGTGTCTCCCTTAAGGTCGGCCTTCAGCATACGTCCGGCTTCTATTATTTTTCAGACGAGGACTTGTTCTGTAAACTGGCTAAGAACACTTCGCAAGGTTCATGCTGTGCTCAGCCCATGCAGGGCACCTGGGACTCTGTCAAAGCCCGTTCTTAGCTGCAAACCTGCGCAAGTTTCCACAGATCCTGGTGTAAATAGGAGGTGCTCCGAGTTCCTGGTATGAACTTGATAGACTGCGAGGATATGGTCATTGTCAAAGTGGTCAAGGGGATGCGATGGTTGGCCCTGAGCTACGTGTGGGGCATGAATGCCCAGTCAGAAAATGATGCAGGATATTGCGCAGGGTCAAGCATATGTTCGGATAATCCGAACCACGCCTCGATACTCGAGTAGAAGTATCCAGAGAAACTGACTGAAAATTGATCTATGATCCACCTGCAACGCGTCAGTCAGAACTCTAGGCCTGCAGATGGATACTGTCGCATAGTTCGGTGCGGGTTTCATAGACAGAAGAACGAGGAGAGAGTATATATTATTGTTCATAGCATCCTAGCTGAACTCATGAAAAGGTCATCGCACGGCGTTATTAGTGATAAGGTTCCCGACAGCGCTTAGGTTGCGACATAGTCATATTCACTGTCACGACAACTGCGAAGATTGATTGCAGCTTAATAGATTGATAGAAACTGTAATTAACTCTGTTAAAAGTCGTGGCTCTGTTGCCTGACTCTATAAAAGGTGCTGCAGAGTTCTAGTCCTTTGCGAGTGGGAAGAAAGTACCCTAGGGGTCTAGCTAGAAACTCTGTACATTATACGCCTGCGACACGTTAGCCATAATCCTAGGATAGCAGATGAATGCCTATACATTTGCCGCCCTTGCAGTGATTGCACTGGGCTCCTACTTGCCAAACGAAAATGTCCGTTACCGCTTCTCGGCAGATAGTCTTAACGATGATTAGTATATGCTTGCTGCGCAAAGATGCAGAGTGACTAGTAGGCGATTATATCGCAAAAACAAGAGCTGCAGTGTTGTGCTGTAAAACAATAATGCTGGCTTAACGTACTATATGGTTATCTTCTCCGCATCGTGCGACTCCAAGGCAACCTTTGTAGCAGAGGCTGCCCATTTTATATGGACCAGCAGGACAGTCGGCCAAGGCACCGCCACTAAGTAGAGCTGCTACAAAGCACCAGATAATATGCATGATAGGAAGTAGTAAAAGAGGATATAGATATTACAGATTTTATAACTGCGGACATTATCTAGGACTTTATAAAGCCTCCTAGGATTACAAATTTTCAAGTAGCGACCGATTCTGCTGTATAGGGCTAGTACAAGACGAGTACACAGAGCGAAGTAAGGCCACCGACTTTACTGCACGAGAATTGATCTCTTACGTCTTACATCCTAACAAATCCCCGAATCCTACACCAGCGGAGGCTTTTCCGGTTCTAGAAGCACTTGTAGCCTGTAGTGTGTCGCGGTCCTAGTTGCCTTACGAGAAGATTCTCCGGTACTAGCGATCCGCTTTGTAGGTCTTACTATTGTTGCGGGCTAGTACCATATAAACAAGCAAGGGCTGTCAAGACCCCTAAAATAGCTAGTCCTTGAGAAGTAAGACTAATTCGTAGGCACAGGAAGTGACACTAGTAGCTTGAGCGGTTAAAAAGTCTGTTGAGGCTTGTGCGGTGAAAGGAGCCTCTGGAACCTGTAGCGTGTCGCGGGATTAGATATCTTACGAAAAGATTCTCCGGTGCTAGCGATCCGCTTTGTGGGTCTTAGCGTCATTGCGAACTAGTATCGTATTTTGATCAAAGTACGCGAGCGCTAGCTAGCCAGGCACTCTTCTAAGCATATCTGTGGTTCGGATCACAGCTTTGCGAATGTCCAAAGCGTTATCTACCGCTGAGTTCTGATTCATGACTAATAAAGCGCACTCTGAGCACTTTGCTTAATTCTGTATAAAGGTATCGGTGTCTCTGCTCACAATCTCAAGCTATACCAGCTTCACAGTGCTCTTTCGAACTCAATCAAGCCACCATCTCATTATGAAGTCAATCTCTTGCCTTCTTGCAATGCTACTTAGCACCACTGTCCTTGCGGCTTGCCCTGCTGGCCCATACACCACGAATGATCCATGCCCAAGTCGATGTAGAGGATATCAACGATGTGGAGATCTGAATTATGTCGTATGTCAATCGTCTTTCTATTGGCAAATACGGCAATCTTTACACATTCCTTACATCGCCATTTTTTTTGACACCTTTCCACTGTCACGCTATGAACAAGGGCTAATTGTTGCTGTAGATCAGATGTGAAGGAAACACTTGGAATGCCATACAAGGATGCATTCATTGCAAGAACGGTGGATGCATAGAGTATAGTGGTCTTTACACGAGTGCATGACTGGAGTTGACATGTCCTAGGTGAATCACAATGCGAAGCCCGCAAGAGCTGTCAGATCCGAGGCCATCATACTCTGCGAGGCACACATCCTATCGATAATCAGCTCTCGACAATGTTTGTGTTATGGGAACTAGCTCTAAGGTGGCTTCGGGGGTTTTATCTTCTGCTTCCTAGGTCTCTCTTAGATTACTAGCTACCTATTACTACAGCTTAGCCTCATGCTGTCCTTGCAATCGGAATACGAAAATTCTATCGTAAGCTGCTGCAAGTTCCGTAATGTTCCAAGAGTCGTGATGATCAAGTGGGCCTCCTACGTGACATTTCAAGCCTTCGTTACCCTCTACTCAGCACCTTGTTCTAAATCTTCCCTCACCCTTTGTCATGCTGCTCGACCTGTGCTATCTTACAATTTCGACAGCTCTATGAGAGCCTTCTAACCTTAATGCTCTTGGATGCCCTGCTTTTCCTGTCGACCCTCCAGTATCTTACGATGTGTCGTGGTACGTTGCAGTAAGGAAAAAAGCTCGAAAGAACGTCCGTTCCATGCTCGCATCCCCCCTGCACACTCTCTTATCTAGCCTTTTACTGCTATTGCGCTTTCTGTATTACTTATTACAGCGAGTCTAGCGTCCGAGAGTGTTATGGATCGCTTCGAGGTCTGAAATCGAGACCGCGCAGGATCTTGTCGTATCTCGATCGTAACCCTTTTGGCTGTTTAGTCGCTCACTGAATCAACGCATTGATTATATAACACCACTATACTGGCTCAAAATCTCCAAAAAGGGCTGCTCAACATTAGAAAAACATCTATAACTATAGTCGTCAATCTTGTTTTAGATCTTGTTATCTTGCTCTAGCTCAGTCTAGACAGACAATCAAGTCACACATATCACCATCGATGCTGGATATGTCGAGAGCCGTTCAATGCTGACATCCGATGCCAAGTATGCTCTTGGGACATGCGCCAGGTCACTAGCACACATAGATAGGCAGCCACCCATATTTATCTTGGCGCTTGTAGTTAGCCTTGTTATAAGTCACTCCTTCTAATCGAAAAACATTAAAGCGTAGCTGTGCAGAAGATCTAGACAATTGATTAACGCCGTAACACGCGATCTCGATCACGTATTTGTTACTTCCGCCTGATACGATCACACAGCCTAGTGTTTCCTCATACGAAGAAAGGACCACGTCACGTTCATTATGCTTGAGTATGTTTCACCGCTCAAGTGTAAACCACAACACTATTCACATCTCTTGCTAGCACGGGCGTCCTCCGTGTCAAGATCCCGTCTGAACAAGGCGCCTGCAGCGTGGTAGCTTCCCCTGATCTTTCAACTAACCATACCTAGATATTAAGCGCACCTATTGTTCCTATTTTATCTGAGCTCCGCTGCGCTCCGCTTGATAACGCACGTGCGGAGTGTCGGTGAAAGGTCGCGAAAGTTGGCCCACAGCAGGCTCAGAGCAGTCTCCACGCGCTACCTTAGGCCCTGCAGAACACGGGACGATCTAGTTAGAAGACAGGAGTTAGTAGCTGTTAGTGGTGTTTAGAATTATGAGCTGCGGAATAGAGTTAGTAGCCTCGCTTAACTTTGCGGGCCTTGCCTTGTACCCACTTATAATCTTGCGAGTGAAGCTGGTGTCGTTGCTTAGCTTTGAGTCCTAGTTTTAGACAGTGTCTGCCTTCTATAAAACTCGTGGTGCCCTTATTTTGGAGGCATACATCCTACTTTATCATCACCATCTAACTTTACGACTACTATTACTTCTCAAAATGTACATTAGCTGGTGTTTTATAGCAGCTCTCCTCAGCAGCAGTGCCTTGGCCGACTGTCCTAATGGTCCGTACTCAACCAACTCTGAGTGCCCGGGAAAATGCTATGGCTTTCAAAGATGTGGTGATTACAATCAAGTAGTACGTTGAGTAGAGCCGCTCTCATCATCTATGCATTCTGCATAACGAACAAGCACTAATGTTCGCGAAGATCAGGTGTGAAACATCCGTAGGGGGGGGTACAAGATGGATTGGTAAACAATGGTGCAAGCATTGTAAATGGGGAGGCTGTACGGGCATCTTTTTCCCAACTCAGTTTCGCAACTAACACGCAACAGGTGATTCGTGAACCCAATTTGCTGACAAAGCAAGGGTTTCGACCAAATTGTATGCTCGTGTAATCACGATATTCAAAGAAGAGTTTATAGCGCGTGATTGTAATAAATACAAATCTTGTGCTTGTTCAATCCCTGCCAGTTGCAATGACATATTACTGCCTCGGGTAGAACCCCAGCCTCCTCGCCTTCGACTATCATGCCAGGTCCAAGGTAATTCAGCTGGACCTTTTTCATCTCCCGTTCTTTTCTGTCTGCCCATCGATAGGTGTGCATCAGTTTCTCCGGTCGCTGTGCGTAGTGAAGTATTCTCTTCTCCAAGATAGCCGTGTACTTGTTTGTTGTGTTCGGCAAAGCCATGACGACGGATGAAGACGTAGGCGACAATCGAGATCTGATAGAGACAGTTGTAGCGTTGCGGTGCGCATTGTCGAGGATGACAGCGGGTGCAGATGTGGTGGACGATGGAATGCAGACAATGCCTTCTTGAGGTCAGCGCCGCTTCCACGTTCACCTCGCGAGAAAGACCAAGCGCGGCGACCCTGTTATCTCGATCGAGCCATGATAGCGCGTGAATTCCACGAGCCGTGCTCAAAGGGTATAGAAACAAAGGTTTCGTGTTGCAGATGCGCCGATCTGAGTACATAGACTGCGTTGCCTTAGCACGAAAACCCATTAGAGCCTGAGAAGCATTCAACTTTCCGAATAGATGCGAGAAGTATGTCTACCTGCTGTGGCTCTCGATATGTTGCCTGATCGGCATGTCAGATGAAAGCTTGGAGATCGTCACTTTGCCGCAGCGCCGAAGGACTCGGGACACGGGACACGGGACACAAGATCTTCTAGCATAATCCCAAAAGCACTGGCTTTGTCAACTGCTGCTGCCTCGTGTAGCGGTGCTCAGTCGAATTCTTACTCTTATTTAGCGGTCAGTAGTCGCCTAAGACACAATTGACACTTACTAGCTTTAACTTAGCTATTGTTTGCTAAGACTATAATGTCTTTTATATTAATTAACAGTAGATAAAGGCCTACTGCGCTTAGAGCGCAGATACTAGAAAGCGCCTGCTCTACTGTTATAACTAGAACAGTCGCTCCAGAATGGAGATCCAAGCGAAACGCAGGAATCTATCATTACGGAACTTGATGTCGCTCTCCAGTTCATTGGAGAGGAATATGGCGACTTGATACCTAACGTTGAGCAACTCCTCAAGGAGAAAAAGATGACGTTCAACAACCTATGGACGATACTTGCACCCAACACGCTGATCTACTCAAGACGAACTGGGAAACGATCGAATTCACCGCCTTGAAGCCTCAGGAGTGACTCAGGACCAGAACGGATCCTACTATCTTGCGATATCTGCTAATCACATAGACTAAGATGGTTTAAGACTTAGGATCGTTAGAGAGGGGCTCAAGATTCCCCACTTTAAGGGCGCTCTACCCATTGGTGAGTTGCCAATATATCCAGTGGAGTATCATACGGATCGTGAACGTCTTCATGCCCGGCTACTAAAGCGAGGTAACATTCAACTGGTCTTCCATGGTGATGGATATCGCTTGAGAGAGCATGAAGGGTACGGAATGCGAGCAGGAAAGCAATCAGCTGTGAAGTTCAAAGTATACAATGTCCTATGACTGTTTAAGTAGTCTGACCACCTTGTAGACCCATGGCCGTGTGATAATTGATGCTGCTACTTATGTAGAGCTGAAACCAGAACTAACAATGGTTCCAGAGGTCAAAGAAGCCATGCAATCTGAGCCCTCGAAGAAATTCCAAACAATGGCCTTCGGCTACGTGTTGTCTGAGAAAAAGGAGAAGGAAAAATCCAATGTCGAAGAACCGTCTTTTCGTGGTCCACGTCTTCTGTCCAATGCTGACACTGGAGCATCGTCCAGCTATGGACCACGAGCTTCACGTTATGCAACATCAGCTCCGTATCCCCACCCACCACCACTGCCTAGACCTGTTAGGAGGCATCGCAGGACCCGGAGTCTCTATGATCCTGAGGATTCACCCGACGACGAGGATACCTCGGGATCCCGAAGTTTTTACAAAAAGGAGGACATGACTGACATACTGAAAGTCATGCTTTCGGGCAAGGTGTATGGGTTCAGTCTCGGAGACTCGACTTGGGGTGACTAAAAACGCCTCCGTTTAACAAGTGGCTTTACTGATAGAGATTAGGAACTTTCTCGGTCTCTCGAGTTGGAAAACCCGATTGGAACCTGAACGTATGGGGACAACTTGTCATGAATGCGCGTCAGAAGGAACTACTGGAGAGCTTAACTCTGTCTCATGGAAGGGAACAGTCTGGCTTTGATGACATTATTAAGGGCAAAGGTAAAGGCTTGGTGGGCCTTCTATTGGGTCCACCGGGTGTAGGAAAGACATTGACGGCAGAAGCGGTAGCTAAGATCTCTTAGTTGCCACTGTACGTCATGTCTTGTGGTGGGCTTGAAAGTTATGCACATGAGATCAATAGTTTGTTGAAAACGTATCTCGAGCTTGCCTCAAGGCGGAATGCTGTACTCCTGCTAGACGAAGCTGACGTTTATCTTGCGAAGAGAAACGACAATGACCTGGAAAGGAATGCCATTATCTCCGTATTTCCACGAGAGATCGAGTATTATACTGGCATTCTGATCCTGACCACCAATCGGGCTCAGTCTATCGATCCGGCCTTCCAAAGTGAGTTTGTTTTGCAAAGAAGTGGGCGCAAGGCTAAGGAATCGCAGGTCGTATTCACTTCTGCCATCACTACCATCGCCACAATACCTCCACTCGGAAAAAGATTTGGAAAACATTCGTGGAAGACTCCAGGAAGAATCCTAGTATCCATATCGATATTAGTGAAGATGGGTTCGATGAACTGGCCGCTCTCAACTTAAACGGTCGCGAAGTAAGTTGTTGTGAGATTCACATCTGCTGAGAGCTAACAGCATCGTAGATCAAGAATACAATGAGTCTCGCAGTATCTCTGACTGCCAGCAAGCCTGGAGACAACCTATTGCAAGCTGAAAGGATTATCGACATCACCAAGCTTCTACAGAATTTCAACTTTGTCGACGAGGATGAACCTGAGGATAAGGAAGAGGAGTATCGCAACGACGAAACTTTACTAAACCTTCAAATCGACTTGCCATGTCAAGGGGTGACTGAGAACATCCCAAAAAAAGTGAGAGATCGTCGACCGCGCAAGATTGGTATACCCAAAATCCAGATACGCAATCGCTCAACAGAGTCTTCGAATACTGGCATCGCGAACAGTGTTTGACAACCGAACATTCAATATTAATGAGAAACGGTATGCGCAAGATGATGATGTGGTGTAGCAGGTAGTCACGTAAGATCGGGAGGCCGAGGAGTATATTGGCAGCCAGAAAGCAAGCTTGCGATCCTTATTAGTTACCTACACACCTTCGGTAGCCACATACTTGAATTCACCATGCCTACCTATCCCCAATTGCGGGTCGAGCATGATCCGCCTGAACATGTGCACCCCGCGGTGCCACTATGTACCCTCATAGGAGCTTGCACCAAATTCTGTTCGAAGAAATTCTCGATGTTGGCAGCACAATCTCGGCAGTATGAGCAGATCTGTTTCTACTTGGTACAAGAATCTGACAGATGTAGTATCTTGAACGGTCAGATTCTCTCTACCCAAGTCTCAAAACTAAACGAGCCATGTCCAGATAATTGCTGCCCGCGGAGACTGTTTGATCTGCGATGTTGGCATCTCGCTACTCCACATAGCTCAAACCATCTCCAAGTCCTGACACCTCTTGATTTAGCTCTTTACCCTACCAAAAGTCCTGAGGTGAACGACTCCTCTGCCGCCGTATGCGCAAACCTTTCGGCATATCTCCCTCAAATGCGCCAATACCTCTCCATATACTCGACTTTGACCCAGTAGCTTGCTCTTCTGTTGGAACATTTTCTCCAGCTATTTCGTCTTTGGGACCATTTTGATTCTCTCGAGAACTCGCGCGATCGTTATCCAGGGTTGGTCTTTCTTCGTCTGCGGGCTCAACACTCGGTTTCGGTGGGTATCGTTGGAGAGAGTTAGGACGTGGTCTTGATGCAGGCGTTCCATTGGCGCTATCCGACTGCCTTTGGGATCTCGAGCTTGACTGTGAATGGGATGCAATACGAGTGTCTCTTGCGTCGTATCCTTGAATGGGAGCATATGCAATGTAGGTCCGTGGGCCTGGAGTTGGTGGCCGAATGGAAGTGCTGTGGGCCTCAGTGTTGATACATGTACCTGAGCACTTTTGACAAAAGTTCAGTATACTGGTTGTTTCTTCTTCTTCGGGCTGTGTCTCGACGATAGGACTTCTTGCTATAGATGGCTCTGGCGATGTTGGGGGCGACTCTGGAACTGGATTTCGATGATGTGAGGGCTGAGTGGACGTTGTCGATACTGTAGCAGTGGTCTGGGATGTCACAGATGAGTCGTTCTGATGTCGTCCTGATCCAACTCTGGATCGCCGTGAGGGACGGGGTGGTCTGTTGCCAGTTCTATCCACCGGAAGAACACGATCAACATAGCGGTTTACAGATTCTGAGAATTCCCGTAGTTGTTCCATCTGCTGGATAACCCCGTAATCCTGGCTCTGGTTTGTGTAGGCTAGAACTTTGTTCTGCGCTTCCTGAAGGAGGATCGGTAATCCGCTCTGCTGCATCTCGTATGTGTCTCTATATCAATTTAGTCTCGGTTGACCTTAGTCATGAGCAGTCAAGCTACCTTAGGCCTTCTAGTTCTTCCTTAGTCATGCCATACTCCTTCTCAATCTCCTTCCTCTCGCGCCGTGAGATCACAGCTTTGAGAAGATCAAGTTGCTCGTCCAGTATTGCCATGTTGTGGATATTCGTGAAGCTGACTAAACTCTGTCTGGCAACATTGAGGGAGGCGCGTAGATATACTACATGGTTCTTCCTGAAAGGCCATTTCAATTGGGCAAAGGCGAGTTCAGTGACAGTATGTTTGTGAACGGGATGTCGAGCAAGTGCATCCACTTTGTGTAACAGTTTCTTGTAGTCTTGTATGGCTTGCCGAGTCCATATGACTAACTTCTCCTTGGCCACAGACACACGCTTCTGTTGCTTCCCCTCTTTGGCGCAACACCGGAGGAACGCAGTATATGTGCCGGTAAATATATCCATCTCGTCGGTAAGTCCTTCTAGTTCGCTCCGCGCATACTTGATTGATTTATACGCATTGCGGAGTTTGCGACTGCAACTGATGACCACTGGCAACAAAGCTACAGCCCCGAGAGTAAGATCCGCCATGATATGGGGATTTCAGGGCTTTTAGACTGCTTTGCTCTGGATTGAAGGATTAAAAGGTTGTATGCACTTAGCAAACACGAAAGATCTGACAGCTCTGAAATGTATCGTCTCTTGAAATACGGTCTGGTCTCTTTTAAATTCGAGAAGAATTCAAGACTACGAAAATAGAAGAAAGCGGCAGAACCATACCGAAATGACATATTGACCGGTGAACTGATGGTTTTATTGGAATTGCAAGCGTCTACCAACCAGCGCTCATTGGCACTCACCATCTTCGATGTCTGCATGCACGGCAGGCGGGGTAACGACCTCGCCTCGCTACGGGCGTACTCGTCGTATTGCGATTCCTAAGTAAAGCATAGGCAACACCTCAAGATCTGATGGTTGTTGCAAGCTGTACTACGTTTCCGCAGTGCAATCCCTCCAGCATGTGGGCAAAGCACTGGTACGACAGTATGGTTGTAAACAGCTTTGATGAAAGGCAGCCTACGGGCGCTCTGAGGCAGATTCAGTATACCGGTCAAGAAAGATCATCGCTTTTACATGGCGATCCTTCGGATTGACGAACGTGTGGGGGTTGCAGGAAAGAGTTGTTGCATGTGCTTTATCCGACGAATCGCCGCTTGAGTGCACGGCGCAGACAAGGCGATAAGACGCCTCGCTGCAAGCCTTGCTCTCAACCTTGTCGCCGGATGGACGTATGGAAGTTCGAAGATTTGAGAAAGACGAGGAATGTAGGGTTGAAAATGGTGCAAGTAACAAAGTTGATGTCGGTATTGGCGGCTTGGCAACTGCCATGAGAAGGGCGCTCTGACTGCCATGGCCAGTGCTAACAAGAAGGTACGATGCATTGAGCAACCACTCAACCTGTTGCCTACCAGAGGTTTATGGATAAGTGAGATTAAACAACTAAGTCGAAATCACTTTCCTCCGACTCTATGCTTAAGTTGTCCCAGGTTGTTTGGAGGGGAGTTGTGCGCTTTTCTTGTACGATACTGCAATTCTAAAGCAGCTAGATATCGACAAACACTGATGTTGGCTTACCGCTCCTGGTATCATGTGCGCAGATGCGCGTGCCGAATAGTTCTGACCACCCAGCACATCTCACAAGCCGGCAACACGTGACGCATTTCCCATCCATCATACCCACTCCTCCCAATCTCTCACCCATTACGCCTTCTCCAAATCCTTACATCTCTTGATACCCGCTCTCGCATTTACCAACCCGTCCTTGAACCCCATCTTCTTTGCCAGACTAGCCGCCTCTTCGTACCTCTGCCGCGCCTCACCAAGCTTGCCCTCCATTTCGAAAAACTCACCCAGGTTATGTGTCGCAACCGCACAGCCCATGTCACATTCTTCATTCCTCTCTGGCGCCTTGATGTGGGCTGCTTGTGCTAGTGCGCGCTCGGCCCATTGGCGCGCTTGGTCTATGAGGAGGGCGCGGGGAGCGGAGTTTGAGACGGGGAAGTCGGAGGGTTCGGGGGCCATGGTGATGGCGTCGGTGTTGGAGGGAGGGGTTTGTTGGACGAGGCAGGTTGATATGTTGTTCACTGTGGTGGATCTGTTAGTAGGGATGGGGGAACGGGGGAATGGGGGGCGTGGTGCACGTACTTAGGACGACGCTGTGGCATGATGTTGGTGGGCAGAGCTGGAGCGCTTTGACGAACAGCGGCGCAGCGAGGTAGTGTGAGTCGAATTGCTCGTAGTGTGTTCCAAGAGCTACAAGACGTTAGCATGCATACACCAAGGCAAACATCGTATCATCATACCTTCTAGCACTCCACCCATCTCATCGTTGGTCAGCCATGGCCCCTCGCCATTCTTAACACCGTCCCTCTCCCGCCTTTGCTGCTCCTTGAGCGCACTCTCAACAGCCTCGACTAGTCGCTTCTCTCCGTTCTCCGGCTCGTTGACATATCGCACGTCGTAGAGCTGGCCCAGCTTGAGATTAATCTGCACCATGTTCTTCTTTACCCTGCTCCTGTTCCCCGTCGTCCAATGCTTATCCGAGAACTCGTCGACCCACTTCTGGCAGTCGTTCCGCATAATTTCCAGCACATCGATAGCCAGGCTGTAGTACCCGGCGTCCTCGAACAAGGCAGCAATGGTGTATTTCACGCCCATGATCTCGTCGCTAAACGGATCCATGCCCATCTCATCAGCGAGCGCAAGCGCCTGCCGGAAGTGCTTGTTCGCCTCGCGAATGTCGAGCCATTTCCCGCGAGAATAGAACAAGGCTTTCCGCAGCTTCTTGGCGACGGGCTCGGGGAAGTTGTGGTAGGGTTTGATGATGACGTTTTTGTAGTACCAGGGTATGTAGAAGACGCAGATACCCGCCACAAGCGCGATTGTCGCAATCGCAAAGGGAAACAAGACGGGGCTTTTGTGGTATTGCTCTGAGAACTGCTCGCGTATCGTAGACCGGTAGCGGCGACTCAATTGCTGCTGTACTGGCCGCCGCGGCCATGGCTTAGCGGGCAGTCGTGGTGGTGTGCATCGCGTTGTCAGGGGAGCTCGCGCTTCGCAGCGTGTGAGCGTGAATGCGCTCGTTCGGGGCGCGGCTCCTCGGGCTATGATCGTGCTGAACATTGTGCGCCGGGCAATGGGCAAAAAGACGTGCGAGGTGGCATGCGGCGGCCGCTTGGTGGAGCGAGTGCATGACGGGACGAACTTTTAGTGCCCCACGCGTCGCGTCGAGTTCCGCGTAGGGCTGACGACAAGGTTCATGACGTAGTCAACCGTCAACCATCAACGCGCCGCCGTCGCGTTGCCTTCCCACAGCCTCGACCTCACGGGCAATGCACACAGTCGATTTGCCATGTGTGGTCGCTACGTGCTGGCCCTGGTGAGTATGCGTCTTGACACGAGTTTCCATGCGCCATCTGACAAGCTTCCCAGCGGCCTTCTGAGGTCCGCCAGCAGCTCGAGCAGTCGCAGATGCCTGTAGAAGAGGCACCCGACGACGATAGTAACGTGCGCCAAAGCTACAACTTCGCTCCCGGTTACCACGGTCTCGTATACCGAGCAGATGGTCCCGAAACAGGTGACCAGCAGGAAGCTACGACCGAAGACACAAAGTACAAGCTGCAGTCTATGCAGTGGGGACTCGTGCCCTTTTGGACAAAGCGCAACCCAGACTATGGCTCCAAGATGAAGACAATCAACTGCCGCGACGATTCTCTGATTGAAGATCGCGGCATGTGGACAACCATGAAGAAGAAGAAGCGCTGCATCGTCGTCGCACAGGGCTTCTACGAATGGCTGAAGAAGAACGGGGGCAAAGAGAAGATACCACACTTTACTAAACGCAGAGACGGTCAGCTCATGTGTTTCGCTGGTTTGTGGGACAGTGTGCAATTTGAAGACTCTAGCGAGAAGCTCTTTACCTACAGCATCATCACCACCGATTCAAACAAACAGCTCAGCTTCCTGCACGATCGTATGCCTGTCATATTGGACAATGGATCTGATGCAGTGCGGACCTGGCTCGACCCAAATAGGGCGGAATGGAGTAAGGAGTTGCAGGAGCTGTTGAAACCGTATGAGGGTGAGCTGGAATGCTACCCGGTCAGCAAAGACGTTGGCAAGGTCGGCAACAACTCGCCCTCTTTCCTCGTACCGATAAACAGCGCGGCGAATAAGAACAACATTGCCAACTTCTTTGGCAATCAAAAGAAAGCCGCTGAATTCAAGGCAGCTCATGGAAAGAACATGGTGAAAGTCGAGCACGACGACAATGAGACGCGTGCTACGACTGACCGAGTCGAGACTACCGAAGATAATGCGCCGTTGCCCGTACCTGGGACGTGTGAGTCAAAAGGTATCAAGCGAGAGCACCAAGACGAGGATATGGTCGCCAGTAGCGCGGAAGGCGAGCCGCGATCTAAACGGATCGCGATTGCGTCGCCTACCAAGAGTCTTGCAAAGAAGACTTCAACGCCTGCAAAGAAGCAGGGTACCAGGAGTGCTACGAGCAACGGCAGTGCAGCAAAGACATCCAAGACTGATGGCACACGGAAGATTACCGCGTTTTTTGGTGGCAAGTGAGCGCAAGAGGAGTGATGCGATGATCCGTTGATGACTAGTCGCATACAAGTTCCGCAATGTATACATGTCCATGCTCAGAGGTCTTCATGAATGAGGTATACTGTAGAACATCAGGGTTGACAAAAGGACTTGCTGTACAACCAGGTGTTTCTTGAAGGCTATCCCCTTCTCTAATAGACAGAGCAAAGGAACGCAGAAATGACGCTAGCGTTGGGAAGAACACGGTTCGAGGCTGTCATCGCGGTCTCCACCGAAGCCGGCTTGATCAAGCGCTATGGCATCCATATGAATGATAGAGGCTGGAAGAAGGATTAGGCGAGCAGCACGCACTCTAGCTTCATCGCATGTACATTTACAAATGCCGGATCCGGGCATTTACTTGAATTGGCGTTTTCTGTCTACGCTTCTTGATCGCCAGCCACGTTAGCCACAATCGATGTGGGGGCAACAATGACAACGTGCGAGGTTACACAAGCCCCGCATCCTCCTCCTGCCAAGCAGTAGGCAACGATACATTATTTTATTACTGTTAGCCATTCTGTATGTACGACTACTCAGCTCAGTTTCCTTGAATTGTTACGGATAAATGTACGCACATAAGAGGCACGTACGGAGCTTGTTAGTAAAAGCATACGGCTATTCAATCAAAAGGTAAGGCTGAACTGCGCAGCGCCGCTACAGGGAGGATAACAAAGACAACAGCAGCCCCGCGGTTTTGACAAAACCCCAGCTCTGTACTCGCAAGCAATCGCCTCAGGAAACAATGGAAGACGACTCCTCACCACCCAAGACCCGTGCGTCCAGCTCAGACCTATCGAATCCCTCCGAGACCCGCAACCGGCAGGTCAGAGGTTCCCTACTACCGAGAAACGTGCCCGCGATCGACTCGATTCGCAAGATTCCGATCCTCCCCGGTACCATCGATGCTGCTGTAGTCCACCTCACGATTGCAATTCGTGCTGCGAAACTGAAAGCTGAGGATGCATTGAATATAGCGATCGCCGCGCTGAAGAATTTGGAGATGGTTACGCTGATGAAAGCGGCGGTGGAGTGGATCAGGTTACATCCCTGGGAAACTGCTGCGCTGGTTATTCCCGTCGTTCTTATGGCGTGCACACCTGCTTTCTTGGGGCTTGTTGGATTTACGGCTAGTGGTGTCGCTGCAGGTATGTTGGCAATATTGAACGTCTTTACTTGTTAGTTTGCCCACACGAATTGACTTTTTTGAGACAGGGAGTATTGCGGCGGGTATTCAAGCTGGGATCGGAAGCGTCGCAGCTGGCTCTGTTTTCGCGACTCTGACAAGTGCCGCAATGGCAGGATACGGTGCGCCTATCGTCTTTGGTAGTGTCTGGGGTGTTAGTAGCGCTGTTTGCTGGGGATTTGCCCTCTGGAAGAAGTGGAAGAAAGGTTCTGGTCATGCAGATGACCCTGGTCACGCAAACAATCATACTGATGGTCAAGGCGTAGAAACCACTCGTCGCATCCGAGATTGCTAATCAAATGAGGTTTGCCAGGGTGGAGGATAAATATTGGCTCGACCCCTTCTTCCTTTCCTTCGTGTCTTGAGAAGATGAGGAGATTCTAAATAAAGATGTTCTAGTAGGTCCTATCGGAGAACGTACTATCCCTTGATGAGATTGGAGGGTTGATCATCGGGTATATCCGCACTAGGGATCCCTGTGCATTGGGACCATAGCTCTAAACACCACGTCGAAGTCACCTCACTGGCAGGAAGCTGTATCGGAAGGGATGTAGGCCCGATCTCGTGTAAGACAATCCGCTGCTACTCAGGACCTGTGCCTTGCCGCAATGGTAGCTTCTCTTCTTTCGTCTTGTGATTTTTGTTGACGGTGATAATGTAACCTCGGAACGTATGGATCTTTTACCTTTATGGATTTCTCTTACCCGGCTTATGCCCAGAGTATCGCCAAGAACGAAGAGAACGTAGGAGCTCGAAGACTGATTTGTCGACATCCGGAGACAGCCGAGTAACAATGAAGGAGTCCTTTTGCTTCTAAAGATGTAGAGGTTGTTCTGTAGGGGGCATCATCACCTCAATGACCTTAGATGGAAGAGTATGACATCAGCTATGCCTTGTGCAGTCAAGGCAAACATGAAAGAATGGAAGTTCAAGGGCTGCAGAGACGAGATCTCAAGCGCCAGTCCTCTAGCAAGCGCGAGACATTCGAATCGGTACCTGCAGAAACACATGGGAACCCCTCTCCTACCCGATCATGGTAACGGCCGTAGATGTACATCCGCTCCCTTCCATACTCTTTGCTGCTCCTTAGAGTTTCTCTCATAAAACTCTAATAGCGGAACGTAGCAGATGACAGCTCTTATTAACCGGTAGTGCTTACGTGATAGAGAGGGGGTCTATTTGCTTTTACAAAGGAAGATATAAGGACGTACCACCATTCATATTTGTCCACTCACCATCAGAACAACGCAAAAAGCAAAAAGTTATCAAGCACACTTCACTTGCCCATCATTCTTATCGTCTTTCCCAAATCACAAAATTCTTGTTCCTATTCCAACTTTTCGAGATGAAGCAGTCCATCATCGTTTCTATCCTCTCCATGGCTATGGCTGTTTTGGCAGTGCCTACAAGCCTTTCGCCCACGAACAACGTAAACGTAAACCAATGCAGCGGCGGAAACAACAAACAGGTGTGCTGCAACAACGGGTTGCTCGGTCTCCTGACCTGCAGTGTTCAGGTGCTTGGTGGCGCTTGTGATGGCTCGGTAACTTGCTGCAACACCCAGGCCGCAGAAGTAAGTTGTTTCTTTCCCCCACGCTCAGTCCTGCGATACCATCCTTTTTTTTCAATTCCAATTTTGCGAGCCGGTCATGTGCCGGCTTCACGCTTCTCAACCGATACTAATATTTGTTTGTAACAGGGCGTTCTGATCAACGTGCAACTACTCAACTGTGGCCTCTGATCTGAATTTCCGGTTTTGCAACCGACGTAGGATTTTCAGGAAACGGAGACAGAAGGGGACGGAGGAGGAGGTGGCAAGGGCGGAGATTGTAGGATACGATACTTGTACGGTTAATGGATATTCAACATGTCACTATCTTGCCTTTAGTCACAATTTTTGCATTCATATGTGATACACATTCTGCATCACTTTCGTTTTATCAAGAACTATAAGGGCTCATAGCTCAGCACAGTCAGCGATATCGGCCTTCTTGACTTGTTGTGTAATCCACCATCACCACTCCAAAAGGAACATATTCGTCTTACAAAGAGCAGTCCTCATCCTTTAAGACCTCCCTCACTACTACTCTTATCTCATTTTCTAAATCAAGATGCCCAATAAAGCTCGAGACTATGGCGATCTCAGAGTCACTATGACATCCGAATGGGAGTGGCGATGGAACGATCGTGGTACCGGTGCCACGAGAGCCATTGACGTTTACCATGCTAAATCGCAGGGTGAACTGCTTCCCTTGGGGTCCTTTGTGTCTTCAACCTACATCGACGGAAGTACCCTTACGAGGAAGCGAGCCACCGAGCCACCTTGCTAGTCGGAAATAACCCAGATGCCAAGGGCAAGCCTGCATTTGCCAGTCCTACCGGTTACACGTTGATGTGGAATGACAAGGGCGGTGACGGCAAATTCGATGGTTCCTTTTGGAGACCCACAGCACCCGCTGGTTACGTCTCTGTTGGGAATATCTGTACCTCAAGCTACAAAGATCCTTCGTCCAATGAGATTTTGTGTGTCCGAGAGGATTTGGCGATTGATTCGGATTACGAGCCAGCCAGTCTATGGGACGACAGGAACTCGGGAGCCAAGCTGTACGCCTCCGTTTGGGCAATCTCCCGCCCTGTGTCTGACCGTGCAGGTAGTGAGAGGATTTGTGTTCTCAACGATACGTGCCGGCTTGGTCCCGACAACAAATATGATCAGCCAGACTGAAGGCTAGCGGAGGTTTTGGGCCTTCCTTGCCCTAGGGAGTTTACAAGATACGACACGAAGACCCCCGAGTTTACCAAAGACAACTTTCCCAGGGGTGGCGACAAGTTTAGCGAACAAAAGCAGACAGAGCTTGTCCTCCCTTACACGGCCTTCTTCCCTTCCTCGGAAAGGAGGAGTCTCAGCTTGATTGATGATCCGTTTATCTCGCTTAGTAGGCATATCGCGTGGGAAGTCTACACCACGCACACGAACAACAGCGCAGGTGAAATCACTGACAAGACTACCATCACGAAGGGCATTTCGCAAACGGATACAACCGAGATGAGTCATTCGGCTGGCGCTGACATTTCGGCCTCATATGGCATTGGTAGTTTTGGTGGGAGCATCAGTCTCAATTATCAATTCACGGCAACGAATACTAACTCGTTCAACGAGTACAAAGAGACTTCTCGCGAGCAAGGCTTCACTGTCAAGCCGTACCAAGCTTGCGTGTACCTCGTTAGACATGTGTGGATCAAGTCGCGCCGGAGCAATGGGTCTTCTACTTTGGCTGAGATTGGCTACAACATGAATGAGGACATCATTTTGGTAGGCGTAGACCTGAAAGCCTAGCGTCGGCCTATTGTAATTGCAAGACTGGAAATCATTCCTCTAGTATCAAAGGATAACGAAAAAGCCATTCATCTGCTCGATGTCCATGTTGCTCATCCAAGGTGCGAATTCGTGAAGACCAGCCTATGGACTCAAGACCAGTGAGTGTATTAGCTGCTGTACACGGCCAAGTCTGATAGTTTGCGTGAAGTGACATGTTCCTTTTGACATCAAGTGAGCGAACGTAAAGGTTCTCTGGATATGAGATGCTCAAGTATGGTAATTAATTCCCGCATGTGTATGTATCAAACATCGTTGATAATCCTCTGTCACAAAGTTGTACTTGCGCACACTTCAAATGTCGAGCAAGCAATGGAACTTTTTATTCAAACCATAAGCTCGGTGGAGTCAGAGCTAAAGCATCTGTGGTTTCGTATGAACGACCTACGTTCAAGAAACTCAACCCATCATCCGATAGTATGGCATCACCATTGTTTCAAATTCCTGAATGACTGATGCAATGTTGTCTAACCCAGCTATAGTACCACCAAGGACAAAGAGATCCGTGAAGATCAAATCTTAGTGTAGGAAATTTTGCTTCATAAAAGGTGTCTATCACGCTGTAGGATAAGAATAGAGAAGGGATTTTGACTCAAAAAGAGGTTTTGCCGCTCGGGGAGCGGGCCGAAAGCGTTTCCAGCTCCACACTGGGGGTTGCATGAAGGTTATTTTAATAGCCGTTGCTGCCCGCAGCAGAAACGATGCAACAGGAGGGTTTCGGTATAGAAGTGCGTGCTTATGGATCAATATATCAACGCGGTCTACTCGTGATTACCTAATTGGTACATTAGGCACTGTATTACTTTCTGTACTTGTGACGGTAATCATCTCTATCACTTTACGACCACCTATCAGCTTGAGGGAGTCGGTACAGTGAGTATTTCGGAGCATAAACGGGTTGTGTAAAACATCAGCTTGTTGTAATGAAGAGATGTGGCATGAAAGGATATCAGGGAAATTTTGAGACATTACGTCGCCGTAAGTATATATAGCAGGCGCAGCGCATTTCATATCGGTGCCGAACTCAAAAATGTCCACATCAAGCAGAACAGAAGAGGCACGACGAGAATGCAGTGCAGGAACATCAACTGCGACCGTTGTTCGGTGTATACCGGGACTTTTCCGGCGGGCTGAAAACAGCAGTTGAGGGGTAACACATGGGTGACGAAGCTTGTGTTCTGCCCCACATTCTGGGTAGTTAAATGTATTGTCATTCCGCCAGTTCCGAACACCACATGGTTAGTGCTTAGTTTCTGACTCCGCTGTCACAGACCGAAAGCATGATAGTGTTAATCAACCACGAAGTATGAATCTCCGGCTTACGTACCCCCTTCCATTCACAATGCTCTTCCATCGCACGACCGTCTGGCGAGTGCAGCATCAACGTGTTATTGCCTGAGTATTACTAATATGTTTGCGTATCTTTTCCCCGATGCAGGATGAAAAATTTCAGGGTATTTGGGGAAGTGTGAAACGTGGTTACGAGTCTTATGAATGCCTACGTATGTGTCTACTTCGCACAGACCCCTATATTTAGCGCGAAGAATGCTACAATTTGGTATGACAATCGCGCCAGTGATTACTAGATTGTATTCATACATTGCTCTTATGTCTGAAATCTGTCTTCTCTTGACTTTGCAGTCAGTACCAGCGGCTTCAATCCTCTTTTGGCAGTCCATCACTAATACCTGTGTCCACGGCGGAGACTATCAATCATGACGGCCCGCCCTACTCCTTGGCCCGAATTTCATTCCACTACACTTCCAACCATTCTTTTCTTGCTAGCTTCACAGTATCCAGATATCACTTATGCTACATTTCCGCGCGACCCCAATGACATCTCAGAAGGCTACCGCAAATTCACGTATTCCGATGTTGCAAACGCCGTCAATACTTTAGCTTGGTGGATCGACGAACATGTAGGGAGGCTGGAAGAAGGCACGAAGAATGGAAAGAAAACGTTGGTATATATCGGACCGAATGACATCCGATATGTGGTACTATGTCTCGCGAGTATAGTGACCGGGTACAAAGTAAGTTGTGTTCTCTTCCCCATGATTACCAGAAAAAGAGACAAGAAAGTTTGTTGAATTTGCACTGACAAGCACTCGAAGATGCTCTTCCCATCGCCACGATATGGCGTCACAGCTCTACTAAAACTAATCGAAGCCGTGGACGCAAAAGCTATACTAATTCCCGAGACGCCACTACCCATCGTGACCGAGATCTTGAAGAAGAAAGAGATGAAAAGCCAGCAGATACCAAGTGCTGAACAATGTATTGCAAGCAATGTGGACCATTATCCGTTTACCAATAAATTTGAGGAATGCAAAGACGATGAGATATTATGTCTGCGTAAGTTGGTCTGACCATCACCCTTTTCCATTGTCATTTCCGACCATTGCAGACAAGTAATAACCAACAACCGAAAACAGATACGTCCGGCACAACCGGGTTTCCTAAACCAATTCCTTATACACATGACTGGGTGAGCAGCTTTTCGCGCACCATCCGTTTACGCGCGACTCCCGGTTTCAGACGTTCAGACAATGTCCTATATAATGCAAGTCGAGAAATGCGGGTCTTCACCACCGTGCCCCCATTTCACGCTAGCGGTGTTACATTTATGGTACTGCTGCCTCTTCTCATCGGCATGACGCCCATATATCCACCCGCATACACGACGCCAGGGGAAGCCGTAGATGCCACTCTCTCGGGCCTAGAAGCCCTGCATAAGTCTCAACAGATGAATGTTGCAAACAGTGATGCAGCAAAAGAAAGAATCGAAAAGGTAGTAGACATGGTGGTCATGGTACCACCTTGCATCGAAAACGTTTTCAAACACCCTGAGAAATTGCACAGATTGAGCCAGCGTGCACATGGTTTGTGTTACGGGGGCGGCAGCATAGCCCGTGAAGTCGGGGATGCAATTTCACACAAAATGAAACTCCTCAACGCTATTGCCTCTACGGAACTGGGTTTGTGGCCGCTTATCCGCCCACGTAGCATCGACTACGATACCAACCTCACAGACCAAGAACAAGAGAAGAAAGAAGACTTTTCAGATGGAAGATGGGAGTACTACACCTTCCACCCCGCATTTAACATCCACTTTGACCCCGTCTACAGCTCGGACTCTGGTGACACTGTCTTCGAAGCCATCATGAAGGGCAACAACGGGAAAGATTGGGGCAGCTATGTCCAACCCTGGTTTAAACTTTACCCAGACAGCAGCGAGAAGCGACTCGGCGATCTTTTCATCCAGCACCCCTCCGACACCTCATTATATAAACACTACGGTCGCGCAGACGATCTTCTAGTCTTCCTTACGAACGAAAAGTTCTATCCTACCGTGGCAGAGCAGCGCATTGCAGGGTTCCCGGAGGTGGCTGAGGCGCTGCTTGTAGGTACGCGCAGACCGAAAGCGGCGCTTGTGTTGAGGTTGGAAGATGGTGAAGTGGTGAATGATGCGCTGTGGGAGAAGATTGAAGAAGTCAATAGGAGCTCGCCGGTCTACGCGAGGGTGCAAAGGAACATGTTGCTTCTGGTTCAAGAGCCCTTTTTGAGAACCGCGAAGGGAAGCGTAAGAAAAGCAGATATGAGTAGGATGTATGAGAGGGAATTAGACACTTTGTACGGAGAGGAATGTTCGGAAGGGAAGAACAGGAAATGGTAGGATGTGTGCGGACATGTATCCTGCGAGCAATGGCGAAATTGACTGTCAAAGTAGTAACGTATCCTAAGAGTTTTTTCGTCTAGTATGCTTTGCAGTCTATTTATGCTAAGACCTTACTATAACACTAAATCCCAAGAGAACATGTTGACTATCACTATCAGTAAAACGATGAAAACAGGTTTGTCATCTAAGCTAGTGTATCGAGAGCAATGAGATATTTCGGACCGATAGGAAGGATGTTCATGGAACAGGCTGCCATGCACATATTGGTGCTGAAACAACGGATAACTTCGACGAAGAGTCATAAACCCCCCTTCGATTAATTTCGCGTGATACCAGTAGCTGCAACAAGCGTGTTGCCCATGACCGGTGCACCGCAAATTTGGTTCCCGCTGTTGACGTACTCCGGCACAATGGCCACAGCAATCGTCGCTGCCTGTGCAGCGTTGGAGTCGTAGATTTCAGCACGCACAGCGTTGACTTGATCTTCAGTGACGGCGCCGCTATTGATCAGGGCAGCCAGTACGGCGGTGTCTTCTGCTTGAGAGCAGGTGCTAGGCACTTCACTGGCAGAGCCTGAGGAAAAGTGCTGGGCAGAGATGTAGCCCGTAGCGACACCTGTACCGATGGGGATGATGACGGGTTGCAGGAGAAAGTTCCAGAGGTTTTCTAGAGTGGCCTGGGCACGTGCCGCTTCTATGGCATTGACAACGTACTCTGTCTGGTCGGGGAAGTATATGCTGGCAGCCCAGGGGAGATATACGACGCATTCGTACGCGCGTCGACAGAAAGGGAGCAGTGTGCCGGGAAGAAGCATAGCGTCAGGTCGTTCGGCGAGGGAAGTACCTGGGCTTTGATCCTGAGTTTGACTTTGGGGTGCCATATCGGGGTTGGCCATGTAGTACTCCTCAAAGTTGAAAGGATAGCTTGCGTTGAAGATCAGGGGCTCATTGTTCATCACTCGAAATGCGGTATCCCATTCTTCCGTAGGCACCCCGGTGAAGGTGCCACGAGCAATCTGCTGCCAGCGGTAGTCCTTGCCGTCTTGCTCAAAAACATCGCCGTGCTGGAGCTCGCCCACTGATCGTGCCCTGCGAGGAGCGACTTGTCTATTCCCCGCCTTGTGCGCTCTGTGCGAGGTGACTTGCTGTAGACCGTCACTTCCACCGAAGACTCTGACGGCTGAGAAATCGTTCCTGCCAAATCCGACATTAACACAGCCCGTGTTACCGGCAGCGACAGGATTAGCAGGGTTGTTCAAATCGCAAGTGTCGCCTTCGAAGAAGTACAGCAAATGGTCGAGCTGGTCCCCGTCTTGTCTAGTGATGGTGACTGATGAAGAAGCCGTGCTGTATGAATCGTCAGGTACGCAGCCGTCTTCAATTGAGACGTCGAAGCCACCAAGCCGTTCACCGCGACATTGATCGCCTACGTAGAATGTCAAAGAGAAGGCAGCAACCGTGTTGGTAAAGGCCAGAAGCCTTGCTACATGCAGGAAGACCATTGTACCGAAGGCAAGAATTTGTCTGGAGAAGTCGAGTTCGTGGACGTTTGAGATAGAGAGTGGTGTGAGAGTGGATTGAAGAGGGAGTTATGTGTCCGATGAATTGATGGCATTTTGGCTCTTCCTTTATACCTCTTCCCAGGCCTAGTTGCAAGACCTTCCCAGCTGCCCACGGCGCAGATGCGCCGTATCATCGCGGTCAAGTGATAAAACACCAAGATATCCTCCAAGATATCAAGACCTCGATGAATGCGCCTCTCCTGTAAGTCGCTCTTGAGTAACATATTTTCGAAACCCTATTGGAGGAAGCACTGCAAGCGAACCGTATTACGCCCCGAATATGTGGGAAGTGTCTGTTGGATGATCTGTTCAGGTGGTTAATCATGACGAGAATAGAGAAGTCGTGTTGTACAAGCATGAAGGAGCGCTCCGACTTAACCGCGGGACCTGTGACGTCCGAGCAATCGGGTCAGCAAAAGTGCGCGGATAAAATGGGCGGATAAACAATTGTCGTTGAAAGGAGGACTTAGAAGCAACTAGAGTGATGGGGCAGACTCGACTCTGCGTTGCATTGCATAGTAAAGCTTGCTCGCTCATTCCTAAAGGAAGAGCATACCCGAAAGGAGGTGACGGAGGTGTTGGGACTACTGCACATGACACGTTATTCTCAGAGACAGCTGCTTGCTTGAGGGGACTTGTTCGCGGACAGATCAATAAGGCCACTGTTTTTACTCATCCTACAACCGCAAACTTTTATTAAAAAAAAAAGTCATCAAAAAATTGTTTTTCATCATCAGAAGGTCCGCTGTTATCAATTCTAAAGCATTTCAAGAAAAAATCATATTTTTCGAAGATCGAACAGCCTCGAAGTTGACCAGTTTTAAAATCTTGGTAAGGCGACCCATGGATGGATCTCTAGCGGGTTCTTTTGCAGAAGTGCTAAGATAAGATACTGGGCTTTACAGAAGAAGTGGATCATTACTGATATTTCTGCGAACAACGCCCTTGCTAGAGGTTTGTCGTGACGTCGCGCGCGGTGCCGTTCTTCCTCGCCAACCCAGGATAATAGTTGCATGTGCCTTGGCGGGCCAATCAGGTACCCTGCCGAGCCACGGTAGAGTTCCTTCCGCGCAGATGGCTTGGCATGTAGCCTCAAAAGTGGAGAGGCATGAGGCAGTGCAGGTGCTGTCAACCGCTTAAAGAGAGCCGGGGTTGTCCACTCCCTTGACCTTTCTCGTCGTCATTCCGTAACAGCCATGGCAGCCCGAGCCCACACGGCCGAGCCCACAGGCACGGGCACGCGAAATGACCTAGAAAACGCAGATCACAACAACAAGCAGGCGGACAGCTTCACATGCGCGTCCAACGACCCTCCACTGCCTCCAGAAAGTGCCACGTCGGTAGAAGTCCGCACATTTCTCACGGACGTCCTCTGTACGCAATACGGAGTTGAATCTGAAGCGTCACGCAACATAGCCAGCCTTTGGACGGTCGGTTCGGGGCGCGAGCTACGTACCTATCCAGCAGACATGTTTTTCAGTGTCTTTGGAGATCAGGCCGGATGGGTACTGTACAAAGAGGTCGGTAGCCGGATGACGCAAATGGATATAAAGCGGAATCCTAACTTTGACGCAACGAAAAACCGTAAGTGTCCCGCGCCCCTTACCAAGACGGCAGAGTCTGCAGAGAGGAAAGCTAAGTCCATAATCAAGGCTCCGTAATCTCTGGGGTGTGTACGATAGAGGCCGTGTTGGCATTTATCTTTATGGTGTTGCCAAGGTTTCGATGGATTAGTGGATTGCTTCTTGCGTTTTGTACAGTCGTGCTTCTTAGCATGATGTTAGTTGCAGTCGCGGGTACGCCAGATACTAGAAAAGTTCCTGAAGCGAAGTTGAAGGTGTCTTACGGAAGGTGGTTTAATAATTCGAAAAGATAGAGTAATGAGATCAAGAGAGACAAACTAGAGCATATGACCGCAGAACCAGAGCTTGTACTCTTCAAGGGTTCGTGCTGTCCAAGTCCTCCGATGAGACTTGTTCGTAGCGCCGTGTGAGGCTTGTCTAATCCTATACACTTGCAGTAAGACAGCGGTAAAACATTACATAGTTAAACATACTTCACGTTTCTTTTCTAGCAGTCTCGTCAGATTCCACGAAGCACTTTAGCCAGCGAGACCACCACCATCTTGCACATGAATGTTAAGGAAGAACAAGCACGATATCCATTTGAGAAAGAGGGATATGTCAAACGATATATCCCGTTCTCTTGATTTGAATATCCTTGAACTATACTGACTCAACGTCTATGTACCCAGCACCGATCACAAAAGGTATGGAATCAGGAAACTAGATAGTAGGTAATTGCGAATAGAGCCCGTGAGCGTGACACTTGGACCTTGGCTGGGCAAAAAGCTGAGTATCTCAAGTTCATTTGGTATCAGAGTGTCAAAGAATCCGAGTGAAAAGATGATCGATTCGACTGGAGATGGTACCCAGACTATGTACATAAAATTGATAGAGCCACGTCATCCTCCACTCTATAATTTGGAGCGTCTGAGTGTCAGAGAAACCACAGTGACGTGTATGGCAACTTGACATCTAGATGTTGTTAAATAATAAATGACGATTTTTAGAAGGAAGCTTACAATCTGATGATCTTTTCTTGGAACATCTGCCCAAAAGCTTACTTAGGGCAGCCGATACCTAATCCAGTGCTCATAGAACAGCAGTCCGCATTGCAAGTTTTCAGAATCTCAGCATTGCAGAAATCTCCGTCTGCAAAGCCATTTCCTTGCTTAAATCGTGCCTTGTCGTCGCGGAGGCAGCAATCCTCAAGGAGGAATTTAACGTCACACCAAGCCGATGTGGTCGTGGCAAAGAAGCTGAGAGCAGTGATAGAAACAGAGAAGATGGTAGTGGAATGCATGTTGGCGTTTTTGGTGGGGCTGGAATCGGTCTGGGATTGCGTTCGAGTCGAAATAAAGATAAATAGGGAATGTTGCCGTCAGAACCCTGAGAGAGAGAACCAAACTGAATGATGATGATGATGATGATGATGATGATGGATGTATGAAGAAGAAGATAACATGTCTTTATATATGTGATAAAACCTTCGTAGTGCCTTGGAAATTGCTTGGGCTTTAAGATCGTCCTCAACTAGTACGGTCAAGTAGGCCTGTCATTTGGTAACAGCTGCTCTGGAGCTAGGATAGCATGGGTGGTGCCCGGCCATGACCTTCTGCGTTGATCACAATGACTTGGTACTCGTGAGCTTGGGTTTCGGTTTAATTTCTCAAGCAGAAGTATCACCCGTACTGAAACTGTCCAGCTTGTTGTCTTTCGGCGCAATTCACTTCAGCCTGTATCAACAAGACTAAACTGGAAACTATACTGGAATGCGTAACTGCCAAGGTTTTTGATCTCTTAAATCGCTAGATGCGGTTTTTAGTCGGACTACAATCTTACTGCGTCGGCGCTTGTGCGCAGGTGAGCTATGGTGATCAAGAGCCAAAGCGCGGTGATATCGCAGCGAAACAGAGAGGTTCGTAGTCGAACTGCATCGCATCTTTGCGCGCAATGCGCATGTTCAGTTGTTCTGCTGGTAACTTTGCGCAAAGACGATGCGCCAGTATCACAAGTCCGCCAAGAGCGTTTCATCCCTGTTGATGCACGGGCCAATGGCTTTACCTCCGCGCTATGGCTTTACTTCCACTGTAAACCACCGTCGTGAACGCACCTATGCATCAAGCAAAACACAGGGTCTAGGTTTGGAAACATGTTCTCAGATGTTTCTTGGCTGTTTTCGAAACAAGTTAGTCGCATTATAGTTCTACAGCGCCTATAAAGACCTGCGTCTCTCCTTTGAATTATCCATCATCACTCTCAGCTCCGACAGCGACCACATTCATTCTCACTACTACTTTCGCTATAAGCAAGAATCTTCTCAGCGCTCACTTCACTCCCTTACCTCACCAACATGCATTCAAACACCATTATCTCGGCGGTTGTTGCGACTATCGGCATCTTTGCAACGGCTATCTCAGCTGAGTGCACCGTTAAATGGACAGACAACAATTGCTGCTTCCGGGATGTGAAGGCACGTACTTCTCAGGACGGGTGGTCTAACATAGTCCCTGGTACCAAGACTGGCGGAGATATTCGCTTTGCAGATGGAAATTTGTGTCCCCCTGAGGTTGTGGCTACGTGCAGTGCCAACTGCTGTGACCCGACGACTGGCTGGGGAAAGGGCTGCCCGAAGTAGAGCTTCCATTGAACTCTCTTTACTCGAGCTCTGCTTGACTGTAAGTCATTATCGACGAACTTGGAGCCCAGGATTTAGTTAACAGATCTAGATCTCTCCTGTCAATTCTGAAGACGTCGGACGTAGAAGCATGACGTGTAAGCAGCGATTCCAAACGACCAGCATACTACAGAACATTGGCCAGTCAAATTTATACGATGGAATGTACGGGATGCACGCTCAGAGTAGTTTAGCCTAGAAATACACGTTCATGTTTGGAAAAACCAAGGCGTCGCATTCGCACGTCTTCCACTGCCCATTGCATCAGCCATGTGCACTACGATCTATTAGCTCCATACACAAGATTGGACTCCCAGAGCTTAGGCTTGCATTGAAAGTCGGTATCTGATATAAGGATCACAAGTTCAGGAATGAGTAGAACATGAATTGCTATCTTTGTAGATGCGGCTTCATCTATACCTGCAGGGCTGAGCGTAGATTGCTAAAAACCTCTCATCTTTATGCCGTTCACCCAGGCTAGCTTCGTTAAGCGGTAGGTCTTTGGGCGTTAGCTTGTAGTGACCGCTGGATGTCCAACCAAGCTGCCGAGCAACAAGCGGTCGGCTCGGCAACATGGTTGTATGAAGGGAAGAGACAGTTTTGCCGGGGTAACACCATCAGGGCTCAAGCCTTCTCTAAGACAGAATATACATGGGATATCTGCCTAAATGCCGTGCAACAGATTCACGACAATCGTCACGGTGATCCTACCAGAGAAGTGCTGATCGACCCCCGGGTACGGACAGAGCTGGGCAAGAGACCCGGGTACTACGTGTACAAATCGTCACAAACTCTTTTGGCATCATATCTCAAGTTTTCCTCTTGTTTTATTTAGGAAAATGCCGCGATGGTACGCTGAATAGAGGCTGAAGCTACAAAGCGTGATCATTAGCATCCAACGATGCAGTGTCAACGAACGTCAGCCGGCGCAGATCGCCGTAGAGAAACAGCGTCGCCGACTGCTTGCTTCCTAGTCGTCCAAGGTGAGGCAGGGTGAATACCCACTGCCGCCACTGGCTCGAGGAGGTACAGGGGAAAATTGGTTATAGACATCTATTACAAGATCCCCCAGCTCACCACCCTCTATCTGGGAACGACGCCAAGCAACATGCGGCAGTATGTCGTCGGAAAGCTGCTGAACAGATGGGCAAGCGCCTTTCGGATTACATTGTACGTCTGCTTCTCCGACAGCAAGTACATCGCAGAGCCTACCTGCAGGGACACCCCTCCAATACGTTGTAGGAGAACTGTCTGCACTGACGCTCAGAGGCTATCGCTGAACTCTTTGATCCTCGACAGCTTCCGTATCTGAGTGGACAGGAACGGTCTGATATCGCCGATCACGTCCCCATCATTATGAGGGTTTAGTCCTATTTTTGGCAGTTTTCCAGGCTGGGCAAGTCTCGGCTGACGATCGCTTGCTTGAAGGCACTAGTCTACGTAACACTACTGTAGTCACCTTGCCCTCCTTTTCTTTGACACAGCAAAAGATGAACGATAGCTCTGCGCTGTCTATGCCTGCTGCGCGCCTCTCTAGCTCCTACGTTAGGAAGACGAAATGTATTGTCTTGCTCTTGCCGAGCCCGCCTGATGTCCAAAGCAAGCACGACGTGCCGCTGTCGCCATCATTATCGAAACCTTGTTTTCGAAGTCGACGTGAAAATTGGTGAGAAAGAGCGCGTTGCAACACACCGCGTCTGCTTGTTCCAGCATTTGTACGAGGCGGAGATTCTAGCAGCGAACATTACAGGAGAGAACATCTGGTGTACCTTGAACATTCTCCACATTAGTAGAGTAAACATCTCTCCCTGGTCCTGCGAAAGCTTGCGACTGGTTCTCAGCAGAGACCCTGTAGACATCTGGGTAGACTGTCCAAAGCGATGGTTATTCTGTACTTGACGCTGCTGAAGACGCGATCTTGTGATTTACAAGGCACCTACCCTTACACTTGCGATGTTGACATAGTATGATCGCAGAAACATACATTTGGTTACAAGCGCGCGCGAGACTTGGATTCCAGTAGGTCGGGTCTGGCGGTGAGGACAGACGTCCCCGTAAGCCTGTCGTTCCGTGCGCTATATTGTCCGACTGACAATCCAGGGATAAGATTAGCAGCGCAGGTACACGAGTAAGCGAACATGCGATCGTGAGGATCTACAGTGTGGAGGACGGGAAAGGGCAGCCCTTTGCAAAGCGGAAATGAGCATGTCTGGAGGCACGGTTGAGCAAAATCGTGCCAGTCCTTCCATTATCCCGCGCTAATGGCAGTTGGGGGACATTGACCTCGCGACTCTCAAAATGTCCAGCACCACCGATCGTGACCTTTCAGAGGTTTCGAACATGCTGCGCTACGCATCCTGCAGCTCAGTCCAATCTGGTCGTTCCTTCGCGCTGACTTGACTCGGATTCATCTCTCAGCAGCTGCTTGGCTTTGCTCCTGCGTGCGTCCCATGACCCGACACCAGCCTTCAGGTTCGACAGATAGAATTCAGATATTCTGGCTGTTGCAAGTTCAGTCGCATTCGGTTCCATGAATTCCTTGTCTATTAATAGCCAGCCCCGTGATCGCTAGCATCGATGCCAAGCTTTGTCGCTTCCGCACCTGACCCCAGCAGTTCGCGTTCCTGACACGATGGACTCAAACATGGCGTCTTTGATGGACCTTGTGTCCCAGAACCAACCACGATTTCAAACCCACCAAGCGCTTCTGATCATTGGACTACAAAACGACTTTGTGACATCAGAGGGACGATTGCCAGTTGACACTCAAACGCGCTTTCTAGAGCGCATCAAGACCTTGATCCCGATATTTCGGGAGCGCAGCGGCAATGCGATATGGGTCCAGACGCTGTTTGAAGCGGACCGCATTGCGACTGGCACCGATACGGGTGAAGGCGACACGCTCGTTGTAGGCGGGCTTGTCGATGGTGACGAGAAGGACAATGACGCAGCAGAGGAAGAACTGGCCAAAGAAGCGGCGTCACTACCGGCGCAATCCAGATCCTCGAAGCACAAGCAACGCGCGATAGATCTGCTGAAACGTGTGTCCGCTCGAAGGAAGACGTTGCCCAAAGAAATTGCAAAAGCCAAGGCTGAGGAAGACGAGGAATTGTTCTTGTTGAAGAGCGAGAAGAGAACGCCGGCATGCGTACCAGACACGCACGGCGCTGAGTTTGCGGATGTCATTGCGAACCAGGTCGAGTCATCGACGGATGTCGTGATTCGAACGACCAACTACTCTGCGTTTCAAGGTACCAACTTGCTCATAACGTTGCGCGCAAGGCTTATCACAGAGCTTTTTATTGTGGGATGCATCACCAATGTGTCCGTGCTGGCGACGGTTATTGATGCAGCGCGCCATGGTGTGAAGATTCATGTTGTTGAGGATTGTCTCGGCTACCGAAAGGAAAATCGACATGATTTGGCTCTGAAGCGCATGGAAGACTTCTTCAGCGCTTTCCTAGTCAACAGTGAGGAGATACTCAAGGAAGAACCGCAGATAATTGTGCAAAAGACGGCGGTGCCTGCGAAAGGCGCAAAAGGCGGCGAGGATAATAGTGACACGAACATGGAGGAGATGATGGCTAAGATGTCTCTTGCAACATCCATAATAGCGAAACGGACCGCGGCAAGGACTGCAGAAGAGTCTAGCGCCAGAGGAGCAGTGGATCCTAGCGACAAGGAGTTTTCAGATATACTCACAAAGGGAGCAACGGTACCCGGCGCACAAGAAGAGGCGAAGAAACCGGAGCTTGTCAAGACGAAGATACGCATGAGGACAGGAAAGTCCAGGAAAAAGAAGAAGAAAATGAAGGAAGGAGAAGAACCAAAAGGTGACGACGGAGATGCAGACGGCAAACCTGGCACGTCTACAGACCAAGGTACGAAAGATCCACCACCAGCCATAGCATCGCCTACAGTTCTACCCCCACCCGCATCAACCGAATCTCAACGAACTTCAAAGGTTGCGAAAGCTGGAAGTGTTGCAGATTTGCGGCAGAAAGAAGTGAAGCAGCACATATTGAAGAACGCTACTTCGGTCCCTATGCTATCTACCAAAGCTGATGGCGAAGAGATGGAGAAGAACAGGTTATCAGATTTCTCAGATCGCGTCCGCATGTCATTCACGAGGGCGGCAAAGTCTGAATCAGGGTCTGAGTCAAAAAGAGGGTCTACCAGTTCTGCAAATGCTGCCTCTATCAATGTGAAGCAAGACGACAAACAACCGACGTCAAAACTCCCGCACAGAGAGCAGTCTCCTGCGGTCACACAAGAAATCGATCCTCCATCACCAGCAAAAGTCACTACGATGCGGCAATCGCGCAAGTTGCAATCGCTCGCAACTTTCCCAGTCCTGGGACCTGGGGATCACATTGCAGAAGGCGATTCGCGCATCATGCACAACTTCTTCTCTGCCGACTATGTCCACCTATCTGCTCCATCGAAGCCACTCAAAGATGTCATATTCGCCCAACTCTACAATGAAGTGCCATGGCAGAAGATGTTCCACCAGCAAGGCGAAGTTCCCCGTCTCGTGTGCTGTCAGGGCGCCTTTGGCGACGACGGCTCGATACCGGTATACCGGCATCCATCCGACCAAAGCCTACCGCTCCTGCGATTTTCTCCCAAAGTACAGCTCATTCGAAAGCACGCTGAGAAGCTTGCTGGCCACCCCCTCAACCACGTGCTAATCCAACTCTACCGTTCTGGCAACGACTTCATATCCGAGCATTCCGACAAGACACTCGATATAGTAAAAGGCTCTTCAATCGTCAATGTAAGCTTCGGCTCGCAACGGACGATGCGCTTACGCACCAAGAAGGCTCAGTCGGCAGAGCAGCAACAAGAAGAAGAAGAAAACTTGGACAGTGACACTATCACGCAACGCAGAACCCAGCGCGTAGTCCTTCCCCACAATTCCATGTTCGTTCTCGGCCTCGCTTCAAACGCAAAGTGGCTCC